TCTCTCGTCTCTGCCTAACTAATTTTTTCTTGGGCCGGGAGCACACAAAATCAGCTCGTATGGAAGATGTTCTCCTCACATGCGAGATAAGAGTACTTATCTCATTAGATTTTCGTGGGATTATTATAGCTTCCTCTCTCATAATTAAAGAATCTTCTTCACTCTTATATACCTATTTTTTGTCATTTAAAGAGGCACCTTTGAGTCTTTGACATATACTTTTTAGGGAAATGATAGTCTCGTGCTACATAAGATACCTATCTCATATCATACACCCATAGAATTTTGTGCCAATTTTTTATTTTCTTTTTAAATTGTGGATCTCACATATTTGTATTACCTACATGAGAGTACTATCTCATGTAACATGAGATTAATAAACCTCTACTTTTTATGCTATAGAAATATCACATTTCAAAATCGTCGTGTGTAACACTTTCTCCTGATTCTCAACTTCACCGGAGACACTCACTCACAATGACTTTCCATTGAGTTTAGATTCATATCCATGCCTTATAAACTATTGTTATATTAATATACTACACCCATTGAAAGAAACAAACTCATTTCCATCACAAAAACAGTTCACATATACAGCTATTAGAAAGAAAGAAAACATTATGCATTCTCCACAGTGTTTGTATTTGTTTGCAATGCAATACATCTGTACACCTAAGAATACAGCTAAACAATCATTCATTCACTTAGTTAATGACTATTGATGCCTACTAACTGGATGTTATTTACATTTTTTCAGTAAGCAATATTATTTACTTTTTGAAACCAACAAAAATAAATAAATAGAATTGGTTGGATTAGTACGTGTTATAACCAATTACATAGTTGAAATCGAGAAAGTACCATTTATTGCAAGGCACCAAAAATTAGTTCGGAAGGTTTTGTAGTATATTAAGACCTTAAAATATTCTCTATTGTTAGGAATATATTATTACAAATTCAAACTGGATAGCTTTTGTTTATTGAGATACTAAAGTACTAAACAACAGTTCATTCTCCAAGAGTTTTGATACAATGTACTCGAAGCTATATTATTATATAATATTCATATTAATATTTATTATATCTATTTTTTATAATATATTGTCACATGTAAAATTTACTATGAATTTGAGCTTATAATGTTGATGAGTTAAGGAAAAAATTGGAGGAGGCACAAGATAAGTTGGTTTATTTTTTATGGAATTGAAGGTCGAGGTATGATGAATTGAGATTATCAATCATTTTTAAAAATGAAATTATAAGTTGACTTATTTTTAGTTGGATTAAAAGCAAAGCAGGAGAGATTATCCAGTTTGTCACAGCCATGACATAGTTAAAGCCATTTTCGGTGGATCAATATTGAAATGAAGCCTCCAAAGTTATTTTCACATTTTACGAGTTGTGGAATGGAAAAACATTGTCCAAATTGTGCAGCACCTATGCCTATAAATATAATACTTGCTAATTGGTTTCTATCATCCTAAAATTGAGAAACAAATTACTCGGTATCTTTTGAGATTCATTTTAAATGATGTGTGGTATAAACCTATGTAAGCTCATATACGTGAAGGCTCAATAAAGGATAATATAAAAGGAAAATTATATTAATTAGGAAAAAATATGTTATTAATGAGAATCCTATCACGACAACTATTCAATCAGATATTGGGCTCTTGGATAGATCATCAAAGGTTCAGAACTTTATCATCCGCAGGTAAACTCTATAAAGAAGAGATATAACTAGGAGTGTTCATCAATCGATTCAAACCGCGATGACCGAACCGAAAATCAAAAAACCAAAAATCGAAAAAAAAAATCGCATATTTTAATTGGATTGAATCGATTTTCGATTTGGTTGGTGAAGACTGATCCAATCCAAACCGATTCAATATATTATGTATTTATTACTTTTGAAAGATGGTGGCTTAGAATCTTGTTGTTTTGTAGACTTGGATCTTGGATGTTATTGATAGCAAACTATCTTATTTTAGTTTTTTTATTGTCTATTAATCTATTTTAACTCTTCATGAGTTTTAAGACTTGTTTTAGTTTGAAGAATTGAATTTTCTAGTAGTTTGTAACTTTGTATGCCTTTATTTTGATATAGCTAGTGATTTGTAGTGCTGAAATTTTAGGCTTTTCGAAAATTCAAAACCAATCCAATCCAAATAGAATAAAATTGGATTAGATTGGATCAAATATTTAAAAAATTCAAATCGAATGGATGATTAAATAATCAAACCGAAGAGATTGGATATGATGATTTTTGCCTCAAAACCGATCCAATTCAGACCGCGAACACTCCTATGTAAAGCCTATAGGTATGGACGAATTTTTCTTATATAATGTTATGTTGTCACTATGCACATACACCATCTCTTTGGCAAACGCCGTTTACACCTGTGTGCAGTGATATGACATCTCAAGTTATTCTCACTCGTAGATACCTTTGAGAGAGTACCAGATCCCATATAAATTTATTAGTCTTTGACTAGCACTTCTGTCAATCAGACAGAACAATATGTATTCTCCTAATATAAGAGAGATAAATATTATTTCCTCTTTATATTTTAGAGAATGTCGTAATTTTTTTCACTTAATGAAAATCTTCCATACCCTTACCCATTGTTTTTCCTAATTGAGTTTTTCACATAAATTTTATGTATCACTTATATTGTGTACTTGTACATGTTGACTTCTTGATTGGTGGAATTAAGATAAAGTTAATTCATACATTGGTGTCAAAGAAAATGATTCAAATTTAATTATTATTTAATTAGTCACCGTCGCATAATATGGACAAATTTTCGTTAAATTTTCTTTTACGTAATTAATTGATATGGTTAACAATATCTTAAAATTTCCATTTCTTTTAATTCTCTATTACCTCATTGTTGCAACCTGTGAGTAGTAGAGATGTTTAACAATCGATCCAAATTGATTCAGACCGCAGTGACCGAATTGAAAAATCGATAACCGAATTAATCGAAAAATCAAAAATTGAAAAAAAACTCGTATATTTTAATTGGATCGGATAGTTGGATTTTGTTCGTGAAAACAGATCCAATCCAAACCGATCCAATGTATTATGTATTTATCATTTTTGAAATTTCGCTAATGCCCTTTTCTCTCTTAATCTCTTATTTTCATTAAAGTTGTTGTCTTGCTGGTTGTTTTGAAAACCACAAAATGAACATTGAGCAAACTAAAAGAGTGAAGTATGGAAGAGAAAGATGATGACTTGGAATCGTGTTGTTTTATAGACTTGAAATCTCTTGAATAAACTATTTTTTAAGTTTTTTATTATTTATTACTCTATTTTAACTCTTCATGAGTTTTAAGACTTATTTTAGTTTGAAGACTTGAATTTTTCAATGATTTGTAACTTTGTATGACTTTATTACGATTTGTATAACTGAAATTTTAAACTTTTTGAAAAATTAAAAATCTATCCAATTCAAATTAAATAAAATTGGATTGAATTGAATTAGATTTGAAAAAAATCAAACCAAATAAATAATTAAATAATTAAACCAAAGAGATTGGATCAAATATTTTTTATTTCAAAATCGATTTAATTCGAAACATGAACACCTATCCGTGAGAGGATTATCCCCAAAAGCATCGAATTTCGCCTTGAAAATGTGTACTTTGTGATAAAAATCAACCCAATATTCGCATTCTATTTAAAATTTAAAATAATATTCGTAATATACTCATTATAAAAAAGATTGCTAAATAGTGAGTATTCGACAGCAAATATTTAAAGTATTTATTTTTTGTTACTAAAAAAAAAGTATTTATTTTTCATCGGATTTGGAAAATCCCTTTTGTTCCCCATCTATGCCTAACAAGAAGGAGAGATATGGACTTTGTTCAATTGTGGACGATTACCGGACCGGGAGACCTCATTTTCAAAGCCATAAAAATATATCATATAATAACTACACATGTAGGAGACGTTTGATACGAGAGATATTTTTTTTAACCGAAAAAAAAGTTACCGAGAATATGACATGATTTTTTTTATCCTAGGCAAGTTAAAAAAGGTGTTTGGTATACCAAAATTTTTGCCAAAAATATTGAGTTATTTTTATAATACTATGTTTGGTTAGCTGTGAAATATAAGTGAGAATATGAAATAAAATTACGAAATTACCATGTTGTTTGAAAATTTGTTGACAACATTTTTTTTGTAAAAGGACAGTGTGGGATATAGCTTACAGGTCACTTCTTTATAAAAGAACAATGTGCTATTTATATGCATATCAAGATTCTCAGTTCTAGAATTGCATTTAAACTTGCCAATGTCTAGTTCAATTTTTTTCTCATGGGAGACACTCTAGCCTGGTATTATTCAATATATCTCGTACCAAACATGGTATACATTTTTTCCCCATTCCACTTTCCTAAAGATTCTTTCAAAATCTTTACACCAAACACCCCTGTAGGGTATAGCTGTAACTTCAATTATTCAAAATAAATAAATAAAAAATTAACATTAACAGCATAAAGATAAGGAGAAGGATATTGTGACAACCAAGTTGAGTTACTATCAAGTGACTACCAATCAATCTCACCGTTAGATCAATTATGTTGATCCAACGGTTATATTTATTTCTATCTTTGTATGGTCATGATTCCTCATATTTAAAGTGAAAGCATTAAATATGAGAAATCATAACCATACAAAGATGAAAATAAATATAAAGTATTAAATTTGGAGAATCATGACCATACAAAGATGAAAATAAATATAACCGTTGGATCAATATAATCGATCTAACGGTAAGATTGATTGGTAGTCACTTGGTAGTCACACAACTTGGTTGTCACAATATCATTCCCCTTTTATTTCCTATAACATAAAAAAATATTAATCCAGAATAAATATCATTATATCATTCCCATTGTATAATTTACACAGATATTTTTTATTCGGCTAATGACAAACAAATAATATTAATGTAATTTTATGAAGATCCTTTAAAATATATAAAAGTGGAAATTTATATATATTCTTACACCGACACACTATGGCCTTACTTGCAAAAAGAGCTGGGTTTCTGTGCAGGCGTGCACAGCTGTGAGGACACTGGACAACCCTGCAGGCAATTGTCCCCCAAGCTGCCGGAAACCGTCGCGCCGGCAGCGAACAACCCTGCCGGCGGCTTCCCGATGAGGAAGTTCCCATCCAAGAACAACTTCTTCAGGGACTTGCTCTGGCCGTACTCCAATGGGATCGTGCCACGTAGCAAGTTGTAACGAATCGACAGGAACGACAGCATCGGATACGCAGCGAGATTCGCGGGCGCGTAATCTTGGATTTTGTTAAATCCGAGGTTCAGTGCCACGAGGTTACTTCCTCCATAACCGACGGGTCTCGAGATCTGAATGCCCGTGAAGCTGTTGTTGGCCAAATCCACTTGCTGCAGCGAGGGCAAGAGGAAGAACCAAGATTCAAGCTTCCCGGCGAGTGCGTTCTCGCTGAGTTCCACCACTTCCAATTGGTTCAACCCCTCGAAGCTTGATTTTTGGAGAGTCCCAGATAAAGAATTGGCCTTGAGTGCAAGTTCTAGCAAGTTGGGTGGCAGTTTGGGGAGTGAACCAGTTAATTTGTTGAAACTCAGATCGATTCTGCGAAGGTTGCTGAGGGAATTCATGGAATTTGGGAGAGACCCAGATAAGGAATTGTGTGAAAGGTCCAAAGATTCGAGGGACTTGATGGTGGTTATGGAGAGAGGGATAGAACCTGTGAAGGAATTGGATCGGAGGGTTAAGGTTTGGAGGTTGGAAAGGGAAGAAAGTGAAGAGGGGATTGGGCCATAGAAGGAGTTATCGGAAAGGTCTAGTGTGGTAAGGTTGGTGAGTTGAGAGATAAGTGGGGTGAGTGAGCCTGAGTAGCCTGCTGGGTCGAGTGTGATTTGGTTGATCCGGGTTGAGTCATGTGTGCAGGTGAAGCCGCAGATGAAGTATGTGCGGCGAGGGACTGAGCAGGGATCAATGGTGAAGTTCCAAGATGCTAGACATGACCAGGGTGTTATGGAAGAGGGTTTGATTGAGGCTTTGAAGGCTTTGAGTGTTGCAATGTCTGAGGCTGAAGTGAGGGCTTGAACAAGGATATTGTTTGTGTGAAAGTGAAACAGGGAGAGGCAAATAATTGTTAGGCAAAGAAAAAGGAGGTTTTGCATATTTGAACCTTTGGATTTTGTGTATCTCTCTGACTTGGAGATGCAAAAATGTTCTATCTTGCTAATCCTTCACAAGCTACTTTGCAGCATTGTCGGTTGGGAGTGACAGATGCGTTGAGTAGTTTGTACTATTTTAAGGAAGAGGCCCAATTTTTCTGTTGCAATTTCTGATATTTTCAGTAATCAAAAGGAAGAAAATACACGGTGAAAAAATGAGAGGCTGTAGATGCTGCAAAAGGAATTGGAACGAGGGAAAGAGAAATGAGGAGGGAGAAAACTGCCTTGTCTTACGGGGTGAGAGCTTTAAACAAAAAAAAAAGAATGGGGAGAAAGTTGACCAAAATTGGTGGAAATAGTTGGTGCGCTAGATTAGATGTGCACTGCACCTGCTAGCCACTAGCTCTCGATGTGAAAGATGAGAAACTTCAAATGTGAAATCTCTCATACTTTTTCTCTTTCGGATACAACCTTACAAATAACTTTCAGGTAATGTGATTGTAATTAATCTAATTAAAATATATCACGTGATATAAAAATTAAACCAACATAAAGATTATTAACAGCTTATACCTTAGTTAATACAATTAACGAGTATATAGGTTTGGGCTTAACTTGAGTAGAAGCGCAGGGAGTAAAACTTTGTGTAAAATGTTTAAAATTCGAGCTATGGCTAAAAATATATCCCATAAAAAATGTTTGATTTTGAAACTCATTATTACACATTGATGACAATATTCTCTTCCCCTCGCCCCCCAAAACACCCAAAAAAAAATAAAAAAATACTAGACCGAAGGCGGGTAATATGGAGTTTTACTTTTTAATTTGTAAAAGTGTTACATAAGTAGGTATTTTTTTTTCTTTTTTCTTGGTTAAATAAATAGGCCTTTATAAGACCCGAAATGTAATAAAATCATTGTAGATCTCCAATTAAAAAGCTTAGTTGTAAATTTTTTAATTTTATGTTAAAATAAAGGACAAATCATTTCTGCTTCTGTGTTTTCTATCACAGATACAAAATAAGAGTAATCTTCATATTGGGGTATTTCTCTCTCTTTTTATGATTTCTTTCTCTCAATTATTTGTGCCTGTGGCAAAAAAATAAAGGTAAAAATATATATCATTTTAAATGATGTAAAGTTGTGTCATTTTAAGTGAAAGAAAGAGATGGATAAAAGAGGAGAGAGAGTGAACAAAAAATATAAAGATGTAAGTTTTAATTCATTGTGAAAATAAAATGACACAAATTTTATTATTTAAAAGGATAAATACTTTTCCAAAAAACAAATGCATAAATGATTTTCTGGAAAAGAAAACTCCTCTCACTTGGAGTTCGTTTTTTTTAGAAAGTATGGCGTTGGGTTAGGCAGGTTTGATGCGCCTGACAATCTTTTCGATTTTTTTTTTAATGTATGTTTCTAGAAAAAGAAATTGATAGAAAATTTGTTTGGTAAAATCAGTTTATTTTTTTTATTTTCGGGATAAACCAGTTTAATTTTTGTGCTATGAAACAGAAAAAAGAATCAATTTTTTTTTGTTTTTTTGTTCTCGGTACAAAATGAGAAACACTTATCTCTCTTAATTACTCTCCACTATTACCATCATCAGCACCACCACTATTTTGACACAACCATCGCCACCATTGTTATACCACCAACCATGTCGTCACCATCAGCACCACCTCCACATCATCATCACCACTATCATTACCACCACTACCATTATCGTCACCATTATTATCACTACCATTACCACCACCCCCGTCACCAACCACTACCACTGTCGTCGCCACCACCCTGCCACCATTACCACCGCCACCACCACTCCCGTTATCACGCCACTGCCATCGCCATCGCCATCGCCGCCACCACCACCACCATCACGCCACCACTACTCCACCACCACCACCACCACCACCGTAAACACCATTATCACTACCACCACCACCATGCCACCATTAGTGTCGCTACCGCCACTACCATGCCATCACCACTACTATTGCCGCCACCATTACCACCACCATACCATCACCTCCACTACTACCACTGTCAGCACCATCACCAGCCGCCACTACCATGCCACCATTAGTGTCGCTGTCGCCACTACCATGCCATCACCACTACCATTGCCACCATCATCGTCACCATTATCATCACCATCGCCGTAGCCACTAATGTCACTACCACCGCCACCGCCACCGCCACCACCACGCCATTACTACAACCATCACCATCGCCGCCGCCATGCCACAACCACCAACACCACACCATACGAAAAGAAAAGTGATGATCCAAAAAATATATGCATAATATGAATAATATTTGTTCTATTATTTGTTGTATTATCAAACTCAATTCTAATTCTCGAAATAAAAATAAAACATGTTATAACACACATATTTTTCTCAGAATCTATTCCAAGGCATAGAAATAGAAAATAATAGTTTCTTTTCAAAAACAATGCCAGAGAACACAATAGTTGTCATATACACCCTTAGAGTTATGAGTATGAATAATCTCGCATAAAAGTAATGAATAACCATTACGCAACACAAAATATACACCCCTTCTTATAAAAGTTTTATTAATCTCATGTTATAGGAAATAAATTTTCTCCTATAATGAACACAATTATGGGATTTATTCACTTATAAAAAATAAAAAAATCTAGTTATACGAAAATCAATGAATATTTAAAAAAACTACTTTTCAATAATATGATACTAGTTTTTCCTTTTTTTTTTATAAACTGGTAGATTAGTTTTGTGCAATTCTTTTTTGCGGACAATAGTATTTGTCTTTAACTAAAAGTAGAAGGATAAATATGAAACCGGCAGCGATGTGTGTCCGATAGATCTTATCCATACAAAAAGATTTTATAATGTGTAAAACTAATTATTATAGAAAGTGTAATAACAATGGATAGATTGCAGGTACATTTTTTTATTACAATCGCATTAGTTAAGACTTATGTCTAAATTCTAAAGTTACTTTTGTAATTAAAAACAATACTAAATAAAAAAGATAAGAAATATTTCCATTAAGTGTAGCAAACTAAATAGACCACGGAGTTCAAACTCTCAACATAACTAGTGAAATGTAGAGAATGGAAGACAAACCACGTAACTGTTTTTTTTTTTAAAAAGAAAAAGAAAGAAAGAATAACCACATAACAGAACCAAAGTGATGCGCAGAACCACAAAGAAGGAAAGTTAATATTGGACAACAGGTCATAAACGCCCGGGTGCAATCTCGATGCTCAATGGATAAAGAATTCTGCATCCGATCTTCTCACGTGAAAATTCACGTGATCATGTTATCTGGAGAATTATAATCATATAAAGTGAATCAATGGTAAAAAAGGAGAATAGATAAAAAATAATAAAATAGGTAGTTACAAAATTATAACAGTTAATTTACATTTATATAGTTGTAATCTTTCCACATGACCATATCATGTTTTTTTGGCACATGATAGGATCTATTTTCAAAGTGTTGAGATATGTAGTCCCACATTAGTTGTATGAGCAACTAATGTGGCCTTTATAAGGCCTTGGACACTCGCACCCTTTGAATTAGCTTTTGGGATGGTGTATCCCAAGGTTCTTTACAATGGTATAAGAGTTTAAGTGACTATAAGGTCACAAGTTCGATTCTCACGGCCCCCCACTTTCAAGTGGAATTAAAATAAAAAAGCACAAAAAGGTAAACTAAAAATTGGGCATGTGTTCCTTGGCGCTGAGTTAGTAGGGTTGAACATGTGTTCGATTCCCGCTGAATGCATTCTTGGGGAGGGGGCTGAACCTTTAGCCATCACTGACCCCCGCACTCCGGATTAGTCCCATAGCCGGCTCAAAGAGTCGAAACTTGTGGGGATACCGGAGGGAGCCAACTCGCCTCAAAGAGGTAATTAGGTTTGGGTAACTCCAAAATAAAAATAAAAATTGGGCCTGTGCAGTTCCATGCTTCTAGCTCAAAGGGTGGGAGTGCCCAAGGCCTTGTAAAGGCCACATTAGTTGCCCACACAATCAATACGAGACTATATATCTCAACACAAAAAATTTCATTTTTATTTTTTTGAGTACACTCAAGGGTATCCCCACCCCCTTTGAGGGTGAGACTAACTTCAACCGTGCATTGTTGGTCCTTTACGGGGGTAGCACTACCCAATCCATTTATTCCATATCCAGGGTTCGAACTCGAGACAACTGATTAGAGGAACTCAGACACCTTACATATGAGCCAACGGGTTTGGGTAAGAATTTCATATTTAATAGTCATAACTTTTGAAGTGTGAGAAAAAATTCAAATCCAAAATTAGATTTGATAGAATTTCGGACATAGTTTATAATAATAATATGGAAAAAGTTCAAAAATTTCATGTGATATTATTTTGAATTATTTATATTCTTCATCTTCTTTTTAATTACTTAATTTTGTGTGATTTTTTTCATCAACATCCCTTTAACATTGTTAGAAAATTAACTAAATATACCTATTCTATCCTTCTTAGAAAAAGAAAATAAAATGATAAAAAAAAGAAAATAAGACCAAACGTTATGAAAATTTATAACACTTAATAAAAGACTAAAAAAAAAATAGCAAAAAAAAAATCAAATGGATTATGTGTCTAAATAAAAACAAACAAATGTATAAAAAAGTACAATAAAAACAAAAAAATAATATCAAATATATTAAAAATCACAACAATAACAAAAAAATAAAAGAAAAAATTAAGATAAAAAATAGAATAAAAAGAAATTACAACTATGAATTTTTAATATATTTACTTTTGATTTTTTTGTCCTTGGTCTATTTATTATTTTTATTTAGATATGTTAGACTTTTTTATATCTCTATTTTATTCCTTTTTTTAATTAATTCTTTATATGAAAATTTTAGTAAATGGGAATGCACAAGGCTAAAAAAATTAGAATAAAATAATTAAAAAGTGAAAAAAGACCAAACATATCTAAATAAAAATGAATAAAATATACCAAAGACAAAAAAAAGACAATATATATTGAAAACTCATAAGTGATTTTTTTATTATATTTATTTTTTATTTTATTTTTTCTTCTAGTTTTTTTATACAGTATATTTTTTTTATTTGGACTATTTTCATTTTTTTAATTTTAATATTTTTCATCATGGTTGTAATTTTTAATATACTTTTGTCTTACTTTTTCATCTTTTTTTTTGTTTTTATTCTATTTTTTTATACATTTATTTCCTTTTCTTTATTTTGACAAATTTATTTTTTTTACTATTCTTTCTTTTGGTCTTTTATTAAGTTTCTAAGTTTTCATAATATTTGGTCTTGTTTTTTTATCACTTTATTTTCTTCTTTTAAGAAGGGTAGTATATATATATTTTGTTAATTTTCTAATAGTGTTAAGAAAGGGTGTGGATGAAAAAATTATAAGGGATAAAATGCTTAAAAAAATAGGGATATAAGTTAGGGGTGTTAACGAGCCGAGCCGAGCTTTGGTCTTAACGGGCCGAGCCTGTGTTCAAATGTGTCAGACTGGCCTTAGCCTGTTACTTGTTACGAATATAATATCAGCCTATGGCTTGACTCATTTATAAAAAATAAAAGCCTTGTTTAGCCTGTTAGTCTGTTTAAAAAAAATAATACAACAAAAATTTATCCAAACAAAATATACAATTAACAGCACTAGTAATTCCATAAATATTCATAAATTTAATGTATATCCAAATAGCATAATATAAAACAAAATCATTTAAAAAATCTGTTTAATTAATAAAATTGGATGAAATGAATTGAGAAGGGAGAGAGGGCTATCACAAGTAGTATAATAAATAAATCAATAAATAAATAATATATTAGGCAAGCCTGAGAGGCTCTAAGGCCGAGCTTTTGAATTGGAGCCTGATGCCTTTTTATTAAACGAGCTTTTATACAAGTCCAAGCCTGAGTCCAACAATCAATTTTAGACATGTAAGCTCAGGTCTTCACGAGCCGAGCCAAAGGCCCCTGGCTCGTTTAGCACCCCTAATATAAGTTATTCAAAGCAATACGGGAGGTTTTCGAATTTTTTCCTAATATTAATCAAATAACAAAATTGAGTTGTATAATTAATAAACTTTAAATATGTTGCTTTGTATAATATTTAATAACATTCTTAATTACCAATTACCGGTTCGTATTTTTTGCGGTGTAGATAAGTTATCTACATTAAACCCAAAACAACGTCGTTTTGGGGAAAAAATTATGGTATTTTTATAATTATAATTTATTTCAGAGTTATAATAGTCTTTTTCATTATAATTTTTTAATCTTTCAATCCAAAACAACATAATTTTGAAAGTGAATATAGATAACTTATCTACACTGTAAAAACATTAAAGCCATCAATTATATATAAACAGTTATAAAATTATCACAAGTGATAAAATATTCATATTATATGAAAATAATTTTATTTAAAATTTCAAGAGAAGGATATAAAAGATTGAATCATAAAATTATTTGTAAAAAAATGTAAATTAGCAGTTATAACTTATAAAAGCTTTTCATGTCTTTGAAAAATTGGCTCAATATGTCAGAAATGATATAATAATATTTTTACTCATTAAATTATGAGAAATATATACTTCCAACCTAAATATTTTATAATCTCTTAACATTAATTTTTAATCATTAATTTTCGTTAATTTAATAATTATAATTTATTAAAAAATAATAATTAATAAGTGTGACCTAATAAATTATAAATTGACAAAAGTTAACGGTCAAATTGAGGTGGTAAGAAATTGTAAAACTTTTAGTTGTAAGTATATCATCCCTCAATCATAAAATTAAAGTGTATTTAAATATTGGGAAATATTAGTCTCCTTTTACATGAGGTAACTTATCTCATTTTTTCTCACTTCGATTTCCGCACCTCACTTTTTTTTTCTTTTTCTTTTTTCTTGTAATGGTGGGACCCACCTAGTTTCTCTCTACAACATAAGATACCTATCTTATGTAAAAGGAGATTAATAAAACCCTTAAATATTATTATATTTCCAAAAAAAAATAAAAAATACTATCATAAATAACTAAATAAAATAAAGTCATATAATTATTTATTTCAATATATATATATATATATATAAATTTTTTATCTACCAATATATCTTTATATTGTGATTTATAAAATTATAGTTATATTTAAATCAATTCATATTTAGATTAATTTATTTCACATTCAAATTTTAATAAAAAATAGTTACCTAGTAAATAAGATGGGTTATTTCCAAAAAAAAAAGAGTAAATAAGATGGGTTTGTTTTTTCTGATGTTACTTTAGATAACTTTATCTAATGTTCATCAAAACGACGTCGTTTTGGGACGAAAATCATGGTATTTTTATAATTTTAATTTATTTCAGGGTTATAATAGTCTTTATCACTCTAATTTTTTAATTTTTCAACCCAAAACGACGTCGTTTCGATAAACATTACATAAAGTTATCTAAAATAACTTGAGAAACTTTTTTTCTCAAATAAGATACGTACAATACAATGCCGAATATTTAATTTAAACAAAATAATATAATAAAAACCAAAAAAAGATAGAATAAAATTTGTTTGCTTATATAAAAACAACACTCTAGAAGAAACAAAAACAAATTGTGTCAACAGCTATGAAGTCTCTAGCAGTGTTACCGTTTCTCTGTGCTATTTCTCTGCACTCCGTCGCCGCCGCCGCGTCCACTGCCTATCCTTCCATCCCCGGCACCGACCCCGGTGAGTGCTCGCTCATCGGCGGCGACAGTATTCTTGTCCCTCCGCGCCGAGAAGTCTACGATGACGGACGAATCTTCGATATCAGCCACAAGTACGTACCTGAGATGCCGGTGTGGGATTCGGAGGAGGGGCTCGGCCACTTCCTGTGGCTCCAGTATAGCATGAAAAATGGTTCACTCGCCAATAACTCAGCCATGAAGCTTGGTGTTCACACCGGTACCCATGTTGACGCGCCGGGCCACTTTTACGACAATTACTTCGACGCCGGCTTTGACGTTGACTCACTCGACTTAAGAGTCCTCAATGGTACCTTTTTTTTTGTTCAAATTGAATACTCTGTGCAACGTTTACCATTTATGAAATTATTGAACTGAAATTGAAATTGAAATTGTGATTTATATTTTGACAAAATTAAGCAATTAATTTCTGAAATAATTATTCATTTTTGGAATACCGTGGTTGTTTATTATGAATTAGTTAGATGCTGACAACTGTCAACTGATACACCACTTGTTCTGTTCATAGGCCTTGCACTTTTGGTTGATGTTCCACGGGATAAAAACATTACTGGTATGTATAATTGATGATCTCAGTTAAATCATTTTATTTGTTGAAATCCTGCATACGGTGTATTGGATGAATGTGGTATTCTTTTTTTAATTGGTCTGATTTTATTTTTTGCCTATCAATTCACAATTTCTCAGGCATGTAAATGCTTCATCTTCCAACACATTAAATAATTGAGAAAACATTATACTTGTTTGAGCAGTGCTGCTCTCAAGCATGAAATTGGGTGGATGCTTTGCTTTCCATTATACAAACTGTTTTCTTGAGTTGTTTTATATTGAATTACTGTTATGAAAATGCAAACTTATTCCCGTTGTCGTTTTTATAATTAATCAAAACATAAAAAATTGTCTTTTTACAGCTGAAGTTATGAAGTCCTTGATTATCCCTAAAGGTGTACGCCGCGTGCTCTTTAGAACCTTAAATACTGACAGGTCAGTTGTATAAATTACATGCAGCATGACTACTGTAGCATTTTCTTTTGGTTTTCTTATAACAAAGTGAGTTTTAAAAATTTCCTTCATGCTTGCTTCGAAAGTGCTTCCCTAAGGTAGCTTCATACTTCTTGCATACACATGAGATGCGTTTTGTTTAGCATTATTTTTGAGATTATTACAAAATTAATCTCGAGAATTGTCTCTGTGAATCTAATACAAGATCAAATTAAACAGTAATGTGCAACGTTAACACATAATTGTAAATATGAAAAGCAGTTTGGAAAGGGAATCATATTTTGTTCCTGAAGTAAAGTCTTTATCATAGTTTTGAAAGTGTAGGCAACAACAATTTTTCCTTGTGCGGAAACAGATTGCGTTGCATTCATATACTTCTTCAGTCTTTTGGTAACTTTTAATCACTCAGATTCGATTTTGGATTTCACATTCTTATTCATTGTATGTGGCTTCAGATCTGAATCTGTTAGCATGCACACAGGTAATTGTAGTTTTCTTCATTTTATTTTATGGTCTGTGATGACTGATGAATAGGCTACTGAAGAATGGAGAGCGGGTGGTGGTAGGCAGAGGTTATACTTAGTAACAAGATTGGCTAAGTACCTAGGATATATGTATGCCTCTTAAGGGGAGTTTGGAAAGTTGAAAACTGTGTTTCTAGCTATTAATGTTAAATTTTTTTGTAAGTCACTATAAACTTTAAATTATAATTAAACAAAATCAAAATAGAGAGAGAGAGAGAGAGAGGAAGAGAATAAAAAGATCTATGGCTCTAATGAGTGAGCTTTATGGTAGAAAATAAAAATTATGAAACATAAACTTAGAAGAAAATGTAGGAGATTTTTGAGTTGTTATCCAGTTATTGTCGTTTGATAAACGTCATTTACCAAAGTTTATGGTATGTTTCAATGGAGGAGAATGCTGGAAATGGGAGGGAGGGGAAGTTTTTGAGTGGAAAGAATTTAAATGAAATGGTTTGTAGTTAAACTTTCCCTTCTCCTTCATTTCTCTCCATCCCAACATACCCCTGAATATGTTTGATTTGATCTTGCAATTTTAACCTTGATGATTCATAAAACATAATATATTTTTAACCTTGCAATTTCAGCCTTTGAAGCTACATGTGAGTTAAATTTACCTAGTGATATTTACTTGTTTATTTGAAGCTACATGTGAGCTAAATTTTTGTTGAAATGTTAGGCGGCTTATGTTTAAGAAGGAATTTGACACAAGCTATGTGGGATTCAAGGAGGATGGAGCAAAATGGCTTGTGGAGAACACTGATATCAAACTTGTTGGTGAGATATAAATAACTTTTTAAGATTTGGGTTGGTTCTTCTCGAAAGCTTTTCCTCTGTCCCTTTTTCAACTCAAATGGTTGGGTTCCTTGTCTAGGTCTGCATTCTGAATTTGTTTCAGTCATATTTCTCTTTTAAATCGGTCGTCTAATCACTTCATCTAATAATGTGGGGTCATTTACTTATATAGGTTTCCTCGTCACATTTTTAAACATACTTTTTGTTCGGGCCATTTCTTTTGTCTTGAGTATTCCTATCTTATCAATTTTTTTTTCTGCTCAAAGGACAACCATTTTTAAGCATGTCATTTATCTTTGTGGTGCCGAATGCATAATTTTATTTTCGACTCAGTCTATAGAAGTTAATAGTGTTTATTTGCAAATTTGCAATGTAGGAGTCAACCTAAATGACTTAATGTCAATTGATTCCGTTCTTTGTGGTTATGGATTAATAAATAATAGCAAATGCACAAAATTCGGAATGCAGATGATTATTTTGAATTACTGACCTCACTCTCCCCTTTAAAAGTCATGTATGGACTTTCCCCCCCTCTTTGCATCAGCTTTTTCACCTGCAGTGTTGGATAATTATCTCTCCTAATATACACCGTAGTAATCATATGAGGCCTACAATTTATCAATTCTTTTACCTAGATTGGTTAGTTCAGCTGTCTACGTCCTCTTATCCCTCAATACCTACATAGACAATCAAAAAGCCCTTTTTTGCGGCAGCATCAAAATTCCCAGACAAATGCTACGTAACCTAGCTACCTCAGACCCTCCCAATTTTTATTTTATTTTTATTTTTTTCATAGAAAGGTTATAATTTCCTTCAGGTTTTTTGTGTGTTCTATTTGTGAATTACCTTGAACAATAATTCAATGTGGCTATGTTATACTTGTAGCCTTTTTTTGTCCCACATAACTAAAGACTAGGTGTGTGTCTGTGCATGTGTTTATGTATGTTCCAGATATCAAAGTTAGGAAATGATTAAGGGTTGAATGTGTTAGTGACAGGACAATTTTCCCTTTTTGTCTTCTTTTCTTTTCATTCCTCTTGAAGTTCAACACTTTTATTTCAAAATATGAAAATAGCAGATTGGAATGCACTACATGACACCCACTGCATATTTAAACTTCAATGTTAATATCTTGTACAAAGTGGAATTCTTTTGCTGTTCTAATTTATGGTAGTCATATTTCCATTTTTTCTTTATTGTGAAAGTTATTATACCGCTAATTCAATTCCCGGTGATGTAAATGGTAGGGATTGATTACTTATCTGCTGCTGCTTATGATCACTCGGTTCCATCTCATCTTGTTTTTCTGGAAAGCAGGGTAAGAAATAATTTGTCTTATGGTGTTAATTTATGCAGTGTTACTCCCCTGTCCTCACTAACAATAAACTAATTATTCCTACTATTTTGAGTTGAAAAAACTATAAATATTACAAATAAGATCTATTGGGCCAAAGTATATTAATTAGTGCCTAAAGCATGTCATTATTCTCCCTTCTCGGAACTTCCAAACTTGTAGTATTGGTAACGGGGGTTGTATACTTAAGTGTGGATTTTGGTACTCTTTACTTACCCTTATTAACCCAAGCGCCATGGTTTGATTTGACTCCGAGGTAGGATATTGGCTTCACTAACAATCCTCTCCCAACACCTATCATGAATCAAACCTATGACCTTGGCTGTGGTACCAAGTGTTGGATCGAGCGCTTATCACTAGGCTAAAAGCTCTATAGCTGTTAGTCAGAACACAACTCTTTCTACTTTCTTTTACTGGCCCAAGTACCATGGTTCAATATGATTTTGATCCACACTGGGTCTTGCCAAGGTAGGATGTTGGCTTGAGCAACATCTGTATCATTTGATGTCTTGTTAAGGGAAAATAATTATTTATATTAGATTGCTTATGTACTTCCACTTGTCAAATTGATATACTATTTATGTCTGACCTCAGACCTCTTGATAATTTATAAAATTTATGAAAATTAGGTATGACTATTGCTAATTTCCTCTATTCGTTATTCTTGTTATCAGCTGAGAACTTACAGTTTCATAGCTCAACCCATCCTTTGTGCTCATTCATAATGGTTACTTCATTTGATTCATCTTTACTCAATGTTATAGCCTTAATCCGGTTGTTCGGGTTCAGCTGCAGGTTGATGAACTAATCCAGATTTGTGGTGCATTTGCATTAGCATTCTAATCTGAGAGGCTGTCGTCACCTCTAGACAAATAATGTTTATTTTATTTTGGAAAGATAATTGTAGTTTTAGTCAGTAGAAGATGCGGTTGGATAAAAAAAGAGGATGCTAGCATGTGTCTTTTGATTTCCTTGTTTGAACAAAAGTAAAAATTTTGTCATTTGTGACTTGGATAAGAGCTAGCATCAATAAGCAATGCACTAACAAAGTTCAAATGCATCAGGAAATCATTCTTGTGGAAGGCCTAAAGCTTGATGATGTTCCAGCTGGAATATATTCTCTCCACTGCTTGCCTCTTAGGTTGGTTGGTTCTGAGGCATCACCAATTCGATGCATTCTGATCACATAGTATGGTCCACTTGAGTTTGTGGCGCTCAAACCTGGTTTACAGTTGCACGGTATGTTCGATCTTATTCATGCTATCAACCTTTCAAATGTGTATTTATTTTGGGGGTGGGGGGTTTCTGAGTGCATTATCTTTAATAAGTCAAATGCTGGTGCAGAAGGGTGAAACTGCCGCAGGAAACAACGTAGCCCCGAAGGTAATTGGTGGTGTCCACAGGGAGTAGTATGATAGTAATATGTTGAATAGTCTTCTTTTACGTGCTTAGGTTGTAAAGTACTAGATGGCTCGTCTAATGTCCGCATTGATCAATTATTGTGATTAAACTTCGGTTGTGGACTTGCGGGTCCACCTATATGGACCCTATATTAAACTAGTGCTCTCAGTACTTACCGGTGAGTCCTTTCTGAATGGTTATGGAATAAGAAAAGGAACCAGTAGTGTAAATGTGGATAATAACCTGAGTTGCCATGTAATTTTTTAAATCGAAACAAGCAATGTAACTAAATAATACCACGTTCATTTTTCATTCGTGGTTGACATGCTTAAGCAATCTGGTGTCAAGTGGGACATAAAAAAAATAAAATCAATGTACATATATTTATTGATTTTTCAAGATCACCATGAATTAGACTCTGCACTGATTGCGGATTGTGGTGGCGGATTAATGAATGAAAAGGCCTAAGGCCTTGATTGGAGAGCTACGAAACTACAGCGTGTACACATTTTCTTACTTTCTATGTTAATCGTACTAAATGCTCACTTAATTTTTTAAGTACTGATTTTACTCTATAAAACATTTTGAATACTGAAAAATTTTAGAGACTTCAAAATAAAATAAGAAAACTATGGTTACATCAAATAACATAAGAAAACAAAAAATATTTAATCATTCATATTTAAGAAATATGACTTATATGTATATATATATATATATATATATATATATATATATATATATGTGTTTTTTAAAAAAACTTATAGTTAATAAATACATTTTTTTTTAAATATTGGTTGTATAAGGAAATATGACTTGCGTAAGTACATAACTTATTTATAAAGAATATATTTAAATATAATGTTACAAAAATATATTAAAAAGTAAATTTTTGTAATTAGTCATATATTACTTATGCGACTTAGGTTTAAAAAAAAATTAGTCCTTTAGAAATATGACTTATGCATGTACATTCTCAATAATAATTATATGAACTTCTCTTCGAAAAATAATGAAATATTTCTCTCACGTGCATTTATCTAACAATTTCAAATTTTTTAAACCATTAGCATATTGACATAGATGATAGAAGGAGAATAATGTTTTTTTTAAATGTTACTAGTATAATGTTTTAAAATAATTTTTTAAATTATTACTCTTTTTACCATGTTACTATATAATATATTGACATAGAACACAAATTGTAATCCATTAAAATTGGTTCAGTGGTGAAATATTTGCATAGACTGTTTGAGATTATACGTTCGAATCCATTACATAAAAAACACATAAATTGTGTCAACAAATACTTATGTTTGATCAAAGAAACGGATGAGTTTGAAGAGAAGGGGAAAAAGAAAATGGTAGTTATGTTCCCTTAATTTCCTTCCTTTTTATTCGTACGGTTCAGTTGCATAAAAACATCCAAACAAAGTATAAATGATTAAGTATGCAAATGGCTGATACTTCGCAGCAAAAGTGGAGACGTATATATACACGAGAAGCAGATTTTTGAGGTCACAATTGACATTAGCTTAAAAATAATTGAAGCATGTTGATAGATGGCAAAAAAATTAAAATAATGTATTTAAATTAAATAATTACGTATTTAATGCTGTTTTATAAAAAATTACACATCTACTGCACAATGTGACGCCACTTTGGGGCGTCACAAGTGACGTCCAAAAGTGGCTTCACATGTGTGCTCTGTATATTTCCTCACTCCTTCCAATCAATTCACACCTCTTCTCTCACTCTTCATATCTTTCTTCTCCACCAACATTCTTTTATCTTTAATTTAGTATTTGAATTTTATTTCTTATTCTATTTAAAAATGAGCTCAAATCCTGATTCTGTTCGTGTTGTGTTATATTACAATGGTAGGAAGGTAGAAGGTCGACGATGTATCATCTTTGAAGGTGAAAAAAGGCCGACACGTATCCAGCACAACACAACCATTGACGAACTGCATCAGAGAATTCGGCAGAAGTTAAGTCTTCCAGACAACCAATGTATCACTGAGATCACGCCTCACTGGGGCGTCACATGTGACGCCCAAAGGGGACGTTTCATTATGTAATAGATGTGTAATTTTTTACAAAATAACATTAAATGCGTAATTATTTAATTTAAATGCATTACTTTAATTTTTTCGCCGTTGATAGATTCACAAACAATTCTCCTATTTGGGGGCGGTTTGCATAGAGTATAGGACACAAACTGAAATAAGACCCGATCCTACATTGATAATGTTAAGGTAACGGTTTAATGGAGGAAAGTAACTTGAAGTGATTGCTCTGAACGCATTCCCGACAAAATTGCAATTTCCAAGGACTTTAGGGGTGTTTGTTTCAAGTTTTTGAAGAGGATTATCGGTAATCCTTTTTTGGTAAATGTAATTATCACGTTTGGTAGAAGGAACAAATTACGATTTCCGGATATCCAAAGATTATCGGTAATTTGATTTATAAAGAAAAGTCACTATTCAGATTACCAAAAATAATATGATAATTCGGAATACCAATCAGAATACCAAGTAAAGGGAAAGCACAATAATAAATTTTGAGACAAAAATACCTCAATACACATAAAAATCTAGACCCAATCTATCAATTACAAAAGTAAAAATAGTTTGGGGTTATTTTTGTAAAATAACCTCATATTCCAAGTCATATTTCGTTTTAAACCAAATATGGAATCAGTAATTTTTACCCAATATTCTCGGTAATATTTTGGCGAACCAAACACCTCTTTCGTAAGATTCCAAGTAAACTCAATTTTTACTGAATTTCCATTAATCATGATTCCCGATCACCAAAAAATTTCTCTTGTACCAAACACACCCTTAAGTAAAAGTGGAGTATATTTGTTTGAAGGGAAAGTAGTTAATTCATCTTGTAGAAATAAATTACAAGTGGGACCCACATGTAAGAGGAGAAAAAAAAAAGTGGTGGGACCCATCCTCTTTTGTGAGTAGGAAAATTTTTTATCTCATGTAAAATGAGATAAATATAACCCTTATTTTATTGTATAGCTTCCGTTAAACCAGCTACTAACTGCAAGTAAATATCTGGAGTCACCATGCCAACTGTGGAGCAAATACCAAATTCAGATAACTCACATTCATAGTTCTCCCAAACTTGAAAAGTTTGAACAACGGATTCAATGATATTCTTTCTATATCACTGGAAGAAATAGAAACTGGAACATATATAATACAAAAAATTGGAACAATTCAGATCAAAATTCAGAGGTTCTTTTCATCCAATTTCCTCTGTTGATCTGCACTGCAATAGAAATAATTTACTCATGTCAAGTATGAATGTTTTCGTGATCTCCTGGACAAAAATGTGGAATTGAACTATAAATTAGAAAATAAAAAGTAAAAGGGTGAAAGTGGGAGGAGAGAGAAAGGGTAAAAGAGTTGTGATCGAATGGTGGGCAGAGAAGAAAAAAGAAAACATAATATCATATCATATCCTTAATTTAAAATATTCTAAAAAACTCTCAAGATTGTGTTCAACTTCAAAATCATAATACAATTTCAAGATTCTATAATTAGGGTAAAAAATCTAAATTAAAAAATCTAAAAGATATTATATAATATTAAGCTCGATTATGTCTTAACACAATTCAAAGTAACCTAACTTATAGGATTCTATAAATATGGAATCTATAATTATGCTAAAAAATAAAAAATAGAGTGGATCCTCTCATGTGCTAATTAACATGATCATGTTATGTGGGACAATCATAACCATACATGAGTGAGTTAATGGTGGTAAAAAAAGAAAGAAAATAAAAATAAAAATAAAAAATTATACAATCATCATCGTTGATTTAATTATTAATGGTTAACTTCGTCTCTAACTATAAATAAGTATTAGACTTGGTGACAAGATTTCCAAAACCCTGAAAAGTGCAGAAAGAGAGAGAGAAAGCGAAGAAGCGAAAGAAAAGGAAAGAAAAAGAAAGAAAAAGAATGAGAATAATGTCAGAGGGTCTTGAGTTTTGCGGAACAATGCATGGTCACACTGACATGGTGACAGCCATCGCTACTCCAATGGACATCAATAACTCAGAGATAATAGTAACATCATCACGAGACAAATCGATTATCATGTGGGATCTTACCAATAAGGACGACGACGACTACGGTGTCCCCTGTCTCCGGCTCACCGGCCATTCTCGCTCCGTTCAGGATGTCACCCTTTCCTCCGACGCACAATACGCTCTTTCCAGCTCCTGTGACGGAGAACTCCGCCTTTGGGACCTCGCCGACGGCACCTCCCTCCGCCGCTTCATCGGCCACAAAAAGGGAGTGCTTTCCGTTGCGTTCTCAATGGATTACAACCGTCAGATCGCGTCGGCATCTCGCGACCGCACGATCAAGCTCTGGAACATTCAAGGCGAGTGCAAGTACACCGTTGAAGAGAGAGAAGAAGACGGAGACGAAGAGGAAGAAGGAGACGGAGAGGGAGATAGCCACTCCGATTGGGTGATCTGCGTCCGGTTCGGGCATGAGAGTCTTGTTTCTTGTTCAAGGTATGGTACCGTTAAAGTTTGGGATTTGAAGTTTAATAATCTTGAGCTGAGGCACACCCTTGATGGCCACACTGGCTATGTTAACTGCATTGGTGTTTCACCTGATGGGTCTGTTTGCGCTAGTGGTGGGGATGGTGGTGTTATTCCGATATGGGACTTGGCTGAGGGAAAGAGGCTTTTCTCTTTTGATGTTGAATCCAACGTTCATGCACTCTGCTTCTGTCCCACTAGGTATTGGCTCTGTGCTGCCACTGACCACAGCATCAGAATATGGGATTTGAAGAGTAAGGATATTCGTCAGGATTTGAAGGTTCCCATCGACATTAATGAGGAGGAGAATGATGATGAGTCTATCTACTGTACAAGCTTGAGTTGGAGTGCAGATGGAAACACTTTGTTCGGTGGCTATTCTGATGGTGTTGTCAGAGTTTGGGCAATTCCAACATACTTGGAAAGTGACAAATCTTCGGTGCATCACTTATATCTAACTCGATATATTTATTTTCCAAAAAAATAAACTTTTTAAATGTGTCAGGGAGAAATTTTTAAAAGTGGTGATTTTTTTTTTCAAATATGAAAAAAAATATATCGAATTGAATACATCTTATGCACAAAAAAATTATTTGATTAGTTTTTAGACTAGTATTATAGTTACTGGCTTTGCTGTACAACTCTCAATAAGTTTTTTTTTTACTTCGTTCATATCCGAATATTTACGTTGCAGTTATTGATTTTGTGGCTTTTTGTTTATTTTAAAATGTCGCCTTATTACCTATTGTTTGCGGTTTTGAATGAAGAATTTTTTTTTTGTAAGAGCTAATCCCAAATGATATTGATATTCTCGCTCCAACATGGATGCATTTGGAAAAATATTTATGATTTATCTAATAAAGGATTTATTTATTTATTTATTTTTTTACACGTTTATCAATTATATAATTTAATTTAATTCGAACATAATTAACTCCATATAAAAATAACTCTATCAAAATTCAAACTCTAACCTCTTAAAGAGCTTGAAAAAACTGCAAAATATTTATAGAATGAATTTGAATGAAATATTTTGGAGTAAATAAATTTTGTCTCGACTTGCAGATCGAAGCAGTTATCTAATGAAATATTTGTTCATCAATCAAATTATATATAAAAGATATTAAAATGTTTTACATCGATGAAACTCATCAATTGTGTTCAACATGGTTCTTTGATCTCCTAGCATTGCGAAAAATTATTTTTGTCATCGAAAATATTATGAAAAAGTCTTGGTCTTGAAGTATCACATTTAAATGCATCTAGGGCTTGTGTGTATCTTGCTAATATTACATGACTTGATATAACATTTTCTATATATGTGTCAACAAGATATAATGTTATTGCAATGCAAACATATTCGAACAAAATACAAACTCATACGCGAAATACATTATATGCGATTATTTTATATATAAAAAAAATTCAAAGCTCATTTTAATTGGATATACTAAGACTTGAATTGATTGCATTGCATGAAGCTAATAGAGAATATATGGCAAGGATTAATGATTCAACATGTAGAAGAAGCCCATGGTCTTCATATGATCATAGTAAAATCAATATCAACATAATGTTACATGTATTGCTCAAATAAGGGAATGCCTTAACAAGAGAGACATGACTAAATACATTTCACCAAAGTTCTTTTCAGACATCATCTTCAAAGGAATCGTGAGATAGATGTCCATCAGATTCGTCAAATAAATATTTGTTTGTAAAGTTGTTGTCGAAATTGTTGCCTCTGTCAACTAATTTTTTTTAGCAGCTTTGTAAAAGATTGATTTATGTCACACAAAAAAAAAATTATATGATTTGTGGAGGTTATTTAGTGGAGGTTGATAAAACCTCCAAAAAAATATACAAATTTTGGCATTTTTTGAGAATACCACCTTGCATTATTATTATTTTGTTAATTTATATAGTTAGTGGGGTGTTTGACCCCCCAAAATTTATATAATTTTTTTAAAGGTTTTAATTATTTTGTCAATGACGGCTGCAACTTTATATATATACTTTAAAAATATATTTATATATATACTTTATATATACTTCTTTCTTCTCATTCTATCTTCTGAGCGTATTTCCACGTTAGAATTATGGTGTCTGCAGTCAAAGGTGGATCCAAGTTAGAGAAGGGGGCAAGTGCCCACCCTTAAAATTTGATGCTAAAATATAAAATTATTTTTCTCTTAAAATTCAGATTTTCCTAATTTAATTTTGGGGTAAGATATTGTAACAACCAAATAGTGTTACCAATCAATTTCACCGTTAGATCGATTATGTTGATCTAAGGATTATATTTATTTTCATCTTGTATGATTATGATTCCCCATATATATAATCGTTGGAGCAATTATAATTGATCTAACAGTGAAATTGATTGGTAGTAACATTGGTGTTAATCTTAGTTTTGTTACAATATCCTACCCTCTAATTTTCCTCCTTTTATTTTATTTTCTCTTAAGTTTTTTTTTCCTCCTCAGCCTTCATTATCTAAACCTAACAGCAGAGAGCTCGTTTGCATCTACATACTGATTCATCTCCTCTCAAACTTCAATGAAGTTGGAACATTTGTTTATTTCTCCATCATCGGTCAAGTTGAGTCGCAATCTATCCAAATCTAAATCAGGCCCAGGCAGCCGAGATTTGCTCGAAAGTCGCACACAGATGTGTACGGAGTTGAAGAGTGCCACCCTTCATTAATTTTCTTCATCCTTTCTATCGAGGATGATGACATTTTCGTCTATGCGCTTTCATTTTTTATCTTTGCTACTTGATATTTTTATCTTTTTCGGTTCAGATTTTGGATAAGGTTGAAGTTGCGAGGAAACATTTTGGGAAGGTGAACACGATAGTGATGAACGCGATCATGGATGCTTGTGTTCATTGCGTTGACCTTGATTCAACTCTGAAGATATTCCATGAGATGAAAAACCCCACGGGTTGTGGTGTGGATACTGTCATATATGCTACGCACTTGAAGGGATTCGGATGTACGTGATTTTGCAATTCCTTTTTTCTTTCCAAAATATTCGTTGATTTTTTTGTTATAAGTATTCTGGTTGTAGAAATGATGAAGTAACCGAATGATACTCTGTAACTAAGGTATCTTTGGATGGTGGAGTAGAGTAAATCTTTCATTTTAAGAAAATAATCTATTATTTGAGAATGTTCTTAAAATGAAAGGAATAAAAGGAGATGTTAGCATATAACCTCCAATTATATTTATTTTATTTTGTTTATAATCATTATATGACTTCCATTCCAAAAATGAAAAATTAACCCTCTATATCCTTTTTATCTGAACCTTTGTAGTCTCACAGATAGTCTCGTCCTCTATCTAACAATTCAATGTTGTGCGCATTTTAATTATCTGTTATGTGTGAGCTTCATTGTAATTTTATTTTAAATGTTATATGAAGGGGTTAGGTGAGGCAAGAAGAATCAATGAAGCTTTTCAATTGCTTGAATTTGTGGAAAATGGTACTGCCATGGGAAGTCCAAAGTTGTCAGCTTATAGTTTGTTAAATCAATCAACGTAAGCTTAGCTTGGAAAATGGAAATTACTTGCATTTGGATTTTGATTGAACGTTTCTCACGATATGTTATAACAACTTGTAACATATGTAATAGGCAATTCTTTATTGGTGATACTTAACTATGTTGTCTTTTTCTTTGTTTATACTGAAGGAAAAGAGCTAGTTCCAACATCCAGACATCATCACCCAAGCAGGAAAATAATTCCATGGTTTCCCCAAAAGCAATGCTTAAGGAAATGTCACAGAGGCCCTCTGATACTAAGCTTGAGAGTCCAACCAAAAAGCTTAAGCATGTGAATCCCAATTTGAAGGCAAAGAACCCAACAAGTCAGTGATTGACACTAACGTTAAGAAGCTGAATAATGTGCTTGATGTGTACGAGGACAATCTGAGCAACACCAAGTACCTTGCTGGGGACTTTTATAGCCTTGCTGATCTTAGCCATATTGAAACTCACTATTTTATGCAGACCCCTTGTGCTTCAATGATCAATGATCATCCCCATCTTAAGGCTTGGTGGATGGATATCTCTTCTAGGCCTGCTTTCATCAAGGTTGTGGGAGGTATGACTCTTCACCAGAAAACTCTTCACATTTCTATTTTCTATTTTATCTCATTAAAATTTAACCCAACATTCTGTCCCAGTAGGTATTGGCTCTGTGCTGCCACTGACCACAGCATCAGAATATGGGATTTGAAGAGTAAGGATATTCTTCAGGATTTGAAGGTTCCCATCGACATTAATGAGGAGGAGAATGATGACGAGTCTATCCACTGTACAAGCTTGAGTTGGAGTGCAGATGGGAACACTTTGTTCGGTGGCTATTCTGATGGTGTTGTCAGAGTTTGGGCAATTCCAACATTTGTAAAGCGTGTGGTTTTTTGATGAGTTTTTAGACTAGTATTATAGTTAGTTACTGGTTTTACTGTACAACTGCCAAACAGTTCTTTTTACTTAGTTCATATCCGAATCAATTTTTACTTTGCAGAGATTGGTTTTGTGGCTTTTTTTTTTTTTTTTTTAATGTCGCCTTACGTATTATTTGTGGTTGTGAATGACAAGTTTTTCTTCACGGAGAGGTAACTCCAACTCCAAGAATATTTCCACACGATTGACACCGAAAAAATATTTATGGTTTATTTCAAAAAAAAAAAGAAATTTACACCTTCATCAATTATCTAAATTAATTTAATTTAATTCGACCACAGTTAAATTTAAATCCATATAAAAATGACTCTTACCAATAATGGATCTTTCAACATCACCCTTTGTTCATCTCTTAGCTACAAATGTTATATTTAAAAAACAATAATAAATATAATAAAATCATTCATTTATATTCAGCGTCACAAATTTTTTCATAATATATAGATAAATTGATCTCAATCCAATATTATCAGTTTATGTCAGGTTCTGTTATGGATTAAGTTACAGCTTTGAAGACAGTTGGATACCCACGTTGCAGCTTACTTATTCGATAATATAATAAGTGCAATTTTTTCATCCCACGACAACTGTGAACTTGTTGATTTAATTATACTCTTTTTTTTAATATATGATCATTAACATCCAACATGATATGGTGGCAATTATTTAGAAGGGAAGCACCGGTCAGAGCAATCGTAACAAAATAAGTAAGCCATGCATCTAAAGCTAAAAACAAAACAAATTGCTTTTTTATTTATAGACAAAATGTATAGGACACTAGCTTTGGCTATCCTCTTCGAACCCAAGAAGAATTTCGCTCCCACTTTGTTTCTTCCCGTAATATGGGGTTGTACAGTATAATAATAGTCTACTTTATCAACTTTCTACTTGTACACAAACTATACTACAATATCTGCATTTGACAATGATAAATTTGTACTGTTGCGGTTCTTGTTAAACCTGTTCTTTATTATTTCTGATAAGGATAGCTTCACAAACACCTCTCTCCTTTGGGGGCGGTTTGCATAGAGTATTCAGAGAACAAGGCAGAGCTGGACACCAACTGAGATGAGACCCAATCCTACATTGATAATCTTAAGGTAATGGTTTAATGGAGGACAGTAACTTGAAGTGATGATTCCTGTGAACGCATCCCTGACAAAATTGCAATTCCGAAGGCCTTTAAGTAAAAGTGGAGTATAATGTTCTAATGCATAGCTTTCGTTAACTGCAGCTAGCTACTAACTGCAAGTAAATCTCCGGAGTCACCCTGCCAACTGTGGTGCAAATACCAGATTCAGATAACTCACTAATTCGTAGTTCTTCCAAACCTGAAAAGTTTAAACAACGGATTCAATGAGATTCTTTGTATATCACCGGCAGAAATATAGAAACCGAAACATAATACAAAAAATTGGAACAATCCAAGATGAAAATTTAAAGATTCTTCTTTCCATTCAATTTCCCTCTGTTATTTTTTTTTTTTTTTTATATCTAATTGATTGATTGGCAAATAATCAAGATAGTTGTAAGTTATCTACAATATTTTCAGTTATAGCCATTTGGTATTATGCGCAAGTCAACCATCCATGTACAGAAACATCAACAAGCATAGGCTTCAAATGCCAGTATATCATGTCCAACGTCAAAAAGAGATAAGAATTCTACATGAAGCTTAACCTCCAGGGCCAGGCTTTATCTTAAATACAAGTAAAAGTTAAACCCATTTTTAAAAGTGGCTGGTTCAAGACCTATTTGTATCTCTCAACCACCCATTTTCAGAATAAAATTCTCTGTATGGATTTGCTTATATATTAGAGGCGAAATGGTGGTTCGTGGATAAAGATCTCTATGTGAAATAATATTGTAGTTTTTTGGGTTTTGTGGTAGCTATAGGTTATGGGGTTTGAAATATTTTGTGGGTCAAATTCATGGGTCATTGGTAGTGATGTTGCAGGGATATGGTGGCTTTGGTGATTTATGGTTTTGCTGTTCTTGGTTAAGTAAGGGAACTAATAATGTTGGATATTTTGATTTTTGAAAATGATGCTGAAATAATAGCCAAGTATGGTCAGAAAGTAGTAGACGAGCTTTTATTTAATCAGTATGTTTGTGGAACTCAAAAACCTTCGGGGTGTTTGGTCAAGGAGAATTTTTTTGAATACTAAATGTAATTGATAGGGAAATGGATGGAAAGTGAGTTTGGTACGAAAATGTAAAAAAAATTGTTTGATTGAGTACAATTTTACCAGAAAAATTAAGTGAAATTCCTGAAGAGTGTGTTTGGTTGAATATAAAAATATTGATGGGAAACTAATTGAAATTACGAAACTATCCTTTTAAAAATTGCCCTTTATACTAACAATTGTCCAAACGGTAATATCCACGCAGCCTCAGCAATCCAAGTTCCAGCAGGTTCTCTTCAGAGGTGGCCTTACCTTACTTGATATAGCTAAACCCCAAAATCAGCGGCAAGGTGGAACTTTCTATCAACGAACAAATCAGTCAAAAAGCTAAAAAATAGAGTAATGGAGAGAGGTGAGGTAAAGTGAATGTTCATAATGAATCTCGCCAATCCAAAGAGAGTCGTGACCAACCTGTTTTCGATATCTCGAGCTGATCCTTATATAGACGAACATATACGCTAGCCACGAGTTGTAGTAGTAAGCAAGAGTTGACCAGTGTGAGGGGTAATACACTCACCCATTTATACCACTTTTGTCACTTTTTTAACTTCTCCAGTTTTTACACAAAATACCACATTCTAGGAAGCAATCTGTAACAGTGATTTTCAGACAAATCACACACAATGCAAGATAGATGGACAACAAAAAAAGATGGGTAAAAAAATGGAAATCAGTGAACCAAACATGGAGTTACTAGAATGCATGCATCACTTCCCCAGAAAAATTTGACAAAAACCTAGAAACAAACACCACCTTAATATGAGTTTTTTTGGGAGGCGTAGATATGTTTTTTCGTATTTTAGGGGCGGTGGTCAACTCTAGCTCTATGTAGGTTCACCCCTGCATTGAAAAGGAAAATAATGTTTTTTTTTTTTTTAAATGTTACTAATATAATTTTTTAAATTATGACTCTTTTTGACATGCTACTATATATATACTAACATAAAACACATAAATTATAGGATTATATTTATCTTATGTTATATAAAATAAACAAGTTTTTTACATACAAAAAATGGAAGTGGATCCCACATCTATTTTTTCTCTCTCTTCTTACATGTGAGTCTCACTTGTAATTATATTTTTATAACATGATACAACTATTTTTTTATAACATAAGATAAATATAACCCTAAATTATAAGCCATTAAAATTGTTTTAGTGGGAAAATATTTGGATAGACTGATTGAGGTTATAAATTCGAATCCATTACATAAAAAACACACATAAATTGTGTCAACAGATACTTGTTCGATCAAAGAAACGGATGAGTTTGAAGAGAAGGGGGAAAAGAAAATGGTAATGTTCCCTTATTATTCGTACGGTTCAATTGCATAAAAACATCCAAACAAAGTATACTAAATGATGGGTAATACTTCTCTCGTTTAATACGAGGGAAGTTTTTTTTCTTATACTAATAGGAAAATGTAGAGCCTACAAGTTAAAGAAAAATAAAAAAGATAAAAATCATAAGCACGTCTTTTTATGTCTAAGTGATAATAGATAAGACATGAGATAGTTATCTCTTACAGTTGAAGAAAACTTTTTTTCATAGAAATTTTTTTTTCTTACACTAACCGAAAATATACAAGTTAAAAAAAAGAAAAAAATAAAATTATAAGCACATTTTTCTATATCTCAATGACACGAGATAGTTCTCTAAGGTGGAGAAAATTATTTCTCATAAATGATTAACTATGCGAATGGCTGATACTTCGCAGCAAAAGTGGACACGTATGGTATGTATACATGAGTAGTAGATTTTTGAGGACACAATTGGCATTAGCTTAAAAATAAGTGAAGCATGAAGTATCAAGCTTTGTCAGTGGTTGTGTCTATCTTCGCCGTCGCAATTTGTGTGGGCGGCGACAACGAGCTTGTCCCTCCTCGGCGGGAAGTGTACGATGATGGTCGAATATTCGATATCAGTCACAGGTACCAACCGGAGATGCCAGAGTGTGTGTCTCAGTCGAAGGATGGCATCGGGCAGTTCCTATGGCTTCCGAAAAGCATGAAAAACGGTTCTCTCGCTAACCAATCCGGCATGAAGATGCCAGCTCACACAGGCACCCATGTTGATGCCCCTGGTCATGTCTTCGACCATTACTTCGATGCTGGCTTCGATGTTGACTCCCTTGACTTACATGTCCTCAATGGTCAACCCTCACACCATCCCTATTTTTTATGTCTAATATTTATATATTTCAATATCATTTTCTCCTTCTTCTTCTCTCACTGTTTCATATTTTTGAATTGACTTGATTGCTCGCGTTAATTGAGTCATGCTGATTGATTATTATGCTTGTTTCTGTATGCAGGTCCTGCTCTCTTAGTCGATGTTCCAAGAGATACTAACATAACTGGTATGTATGTATGTATGTATAACTTGCAAACAAGATTTAACATGGAAAACCTTCACTTGATAAGGGAGAAAACCACATCCAAGGGTAGAAAAGAAAAAAACAAAATAATGGAAGGAATTATAAACTCTCTCTAAATGTATGGACAAAACAATAAGGCTCTCTCTTGAGATAAGGGAATTACCCCTCTCTAAAAACACTCGGCAGACACTTTATTTGGGAATGGGATGATTAGAACAGATGGAGGTGGTCCGTATTTATTGGCAAAATTTCACATTTTATATAGTGCCCTTATGTAAGGGGGCGAGTTGGAGCAGTGGTAAAACTGTTCCTTCATGACTGAAAGGTCATAGGTTCGAATTCAAAAAACAATCTCTTTGCAATTATGCAAGCGTGTAAGGCTGCGTACAAAGATTTCCTCCCCCCTACACTCGTTGGTCGGGGAGTGGTTTTTATATAGTGCCCTTATGTGTTTTGATACAACCCTCCTAAGATGAGAGTGTACCATAGGAAGCACTTTAGGGAATCACCTACCTATAGTCAGTTAGACCCAATTGCTGACTCAGCAAGGCTTGAGGGTAATTTTACTTAGCGCATTTCTGTTAGGAGAAACAGCTAAGCAAGGAAAGTGGTGGGAAGAATGGGGAACAATGCTATATTGAGGGAGCGGAGGCATTTGGAGTATTATCTTTTGGGACATTTCTTACTTGGGCGCTTAGGAGAGATCAGAGGCTCTCCAACTCCTCTGAATCTATCTTTACTTTTTTACAATTTCTGGTGTATGTTCATCTTTTTTTAGTGTAATTTCAGTATTGGTTTTTGAGTTTGAAAGCAATTTCGCTACTGTTCCTTCCATTATTCGTAGAATTGTTGAATTGGTTGTAGCATGTTTCCACTGAAATTCTTTTTTATTTACCAAAAGTTTGTTTTGGAAATAAGAGGGGGCCAGATTTTCTACTGCTATTTGGTTGTTCTTAACATCTGTTGATAAAATGAAAATATGTCCTTTTCTTTTCCAGCTGAAGTTATGAAGTCATTAAGCATTCCAAGGGGTGTCAAACGTGTACTCTTCCGAACATTAAATACTGACAGGTAACTTGTACAAATGAATAGTACTGCTGTGATGTAGGGAGTATTACATCATTTTATTAAAATAAGACCAATTCAAACGTACTGCTGATACTTAAAATTTATTGAATTTGAAGAAACAGCCTTAAAATGCAATTCGTGCCATTCCTGAAGCTACCAAGTATGTGTTTATCTCATATGTTTTTGAAGTCTATGCAACATTAAGTTTCCATGTGGGAAATAGATTATTTTTATATACTTCTTCATTATTTTAATAATTCCTTTTTAACACTCTGTCAAGAATTTGTTGTCTCTTTTATTCATTTTAATTTCTGTACGTGTGAGGCTGAGAGTAGCTAATTATGTTTTTATTCATTGTACTTATATCAATGGCTATATTCTCCATGATAAATAGGCTTTTTAAAACGCGGTGGAGGTTAAGCAAAAGATACGTTTAGTTGTGATTTATGAGTCCTGATAGCTACTGTTCATATAGAACTTGATAATCCAACATATATACTTGATCAGATCTTGTCCATGCTATATGTTATTTTCACAAACTTTGAACTTCATGGCTTGTTTGAAGCCAAATGTGGAACTAAAACTTGTTATATTATTAGGCGGCTTATGTTCCAGAAGGAATGTGACACGAGCTTTGTGGGATTCACGGTGGGTGGAGCAAAATGGCTAGTGGAGAACACTGATATCAAACTTGTGGGTAGGCATAATTTGTTTTTCTATATTTGAGCTGCTTTTTTCTGTCATTTGTCTCAAGTCCAGTGGCTGGGTCCAGTTTGCGTTAGTAGACTGCAGCAACTAAAACTGTTTTCTCTGACTCTGACTTGATAGGTGTTTCATACGTTTCATGCAAAATAATTAGATAAAGATAATATTTGGTCAACTTTTTGTCTTTTAATGAGTTGAATAGTTATAACTATTTTGTTTTCTTAATTGAGATAGGGCAGCATAATTTTGAGTACTGTGTGAGCAACCAGTGATCTGGACTTGATGTGGCCTTATCTATATGGTGCCTCTACCGATTACTATATTTATTCGCAACTGGAAATGTAACATCGCAACTAGTTTGTTTACAATAAAAATATAGAAGTCTCTTCCTGAATCTTAACAGATGACAAGATGTTTCACCGTTTCATTTGTTGTGATTATTGAATTAAAATAATTATGGCAATTGAAGTAGTTTCAGAAGATTACCCCGATTCTTGATCTCCCTCTCCCTTAATGATCTAGGCCACTGCGATGCACTAGTTTTTGCATCTTTAATGAATGTTTACCGGAGATGTATCATACCCTTTCTTTCTTGTTCAACTCTTCGCATGCTTTTCTTTTCTGCTCCGCTATGTTTTCTGACATTTTTTGTTGTTGATGCAATGTAGGAATTGACTACCTATCTGTTGCTTCTTTTGATCACTTGATGCCATCTCATCTTGTATTTTTAGAAAACAGGGTAAGAAAAAGTTCATTTTATGGTTGGAATTTATAATTTTACGTTTCACTATGTAAAACAGGAATGGCTAAAATACCACAAGAGGGGGATGAATTGTGGTTACTTCTTCTTCAAGCCCCTTTAACAATAAACCTCAAGAAAACGTGAGAGATCAGAAATCAAACCCCTACCAACCCGAAAACAGTATCAAATTAGAGTTATAAACACTATAAACAAGTAATCAATAATGAAAAATAAAGAGATAAGAGTTAAGAAGATTAAACACCGTGATTTATCTTGATTCATCCTCAAACCATTAAAGGGCTACAACCAGACTGAGGTAGATCATCATCCATTATGCTCAAAACTTCCAATCGATGCCTGAGAAACTGATGTACAATGGAATTTCGCAAGAATCTTGATCAAACCTTTGATCAATCTCAACCTATACACCTATAGGATCACTCCACTCCACCAAATCGAAATCCAACAACAATTCAACTTCAAACAGATGTAGAGCAACCTCTCTACATTCACAATTACAAAAAAAAATCAATAAAAAAGATGAAGAATAGAAGTGAATTGAGCTTTTCTCTCAAAGTATGCAAAATAAGCTTAAATGAGGGTAATTCTTGAATTTTCAGTGTTTATGCGTTTTTCTCTCTTAATTCCTTTTTAGAAACCTTAATATTATGTTTATATAGGCGTCCTATGAAGATTATAGCTGATTATAGCCGTTGGACTCTTAATTTCGAATTTTAACATCATAATAGACTCATATCCGGATATCTGTCGGGCTTGTATCCGGATATGCGTATCCCGATGTGTAACAAAGCGTATACGGATATGCATATCCAGATATTTGATTTCACGTATCCGATATGCGTATCGTGATATGTGATTTTTCATATCTGGATATATCAATGACAACAAGCCTATTTTTTCCATTTTCGATCCAAATCAATTCTAAATAATTTCTAATCACTTCTAACACATTAATGAATGTTTCTAACATCAATTTAACAAACTTTCTATGTGTATGTGATATTGTATGCATGATTCAAGCATGTTGGTTCTTATAATGCATGTTTCATGACTTATAAATGCATTTCTTCAAGATAGAGCTCAATATACTTATTCTTTAAGTTTCTCTACTCAAAATACTATATATCTAACTGTATAAGTATTTGTCTTTACTTGACTTCAATGATCTTCAATTTTGAACCTTTTGGAATCTTTCCTTCACTTGAAACCTTTGACTTTATGGTTGACTTTGGCATTTTGAATTGTCCTTTTACTTTTGCATGTTGTCTTGGTCAACACCATTTGGGACTTGTTGCACTATTCTCCAAGTTGTGCTTTCATGTTGAGCTTGTAGGTGCTTTGTTATCATAAAAAATTTAAAGTACTTAGCCTTAGTAGCCTTAGGGTTCAACACACTGTTGATTCCTTATCCTAATAAGTACAGTTTTGCATAATACATGTCAATGAGGGCTTTAACTGTTGATCCAGTGATCTTTACATTTAAATCTATTGTATAGCAATTAATTCATAATTAGCTTACTATTTTCCCAATTTAACATTTTAACCTGAATCAACATCTCCTCATCAATCCCAACCTTAATTACATTTTTGAGTCGAGTATATGCTTCATTTGTTGCTTGGATAAGAACCAGAATCAACATGACATGAACTAACAACTCCAAATACTTCAGGAAATCATTATTGTGGAAGCCCTGAAGCTTGATGATGTCCCAGCAGGAGTATATTCAGTCCATTGCTTACCTCCTAGGTTGGCTGGTGCTGAGGGATCGCCAATACGATGCATTCTGATTAAGGATTAAGGTGTATTTGAGTTTGAGGTGGGCACACCTGGGTTTCCTGTAGCATTTATTTATTTATTGTGTTGAAAGGGGAATGTGCTATCTGTTCATCGTTGTTTCTATAGTAAATTCTATTAAAAGAATTGAGTACTTCTTTTCACCGAGTCAATAGCTAACACACAATGTTGAAATTGCTGCAGGAAACAGTGCTGTGTCGAATGCTTGTATTGGAGGTGTGGATCACCAGTGGTGTATGTATGTTTAGAGCAAGAAGGATGCAGCAATCTTTATAGCATTACGTTGAATAAATTGGCACAGTGGTCTCCTTGCGGAGCAAGATAGTATCAATGTTGTGCAGCAACTTTAGTGACATGTTTACATTTATTAGGAACATGTATAAGCACTTTCATAAGCATTTTGATAAAGAAAAAAAATGCTTGTATATAGGTCATTTGCACATCGCAGTTAGATTGAAGTATGTGGATACTGTGTCTCTCTTATATGTGTATTTATTTCCCCCCTTTTTGGACGGGAATGTGCAGCTGCTTTTAGGGATGTTCATCAACCGATCCAAATCAATTCAAACCGTGAAAACCGAACCGAAAAATCGATAACCGAATAAATCGAAAAACCAAAAACTGAAAAAAAACCGGAAATTTTAATTGGATTGGATCGGTTTTCGGATGGGTTGATGAAAATCGATCCGATCCAAACCGATCCAATATATTAATAATTCTCTATCCAATATATTAATAATTCTCTACCTACTTGTCATTTCCCCAATTATAACCCAAAAATTTCTAAACTCAAGACTCATTAATTCGTTAACTAAACCCAAGAAAAACTTAGTCACATCTCATCAACTATAGTATTGTTTACTGATATTTTTGTATTTCAAATTTTTTTTTTTACAAAGCCAATATATACAAAAGATGTTATTTGCACAATAATCATGAAACTAATTTTAGGATATTCAAAAAACCGAACACCGATCCAATCCAAACCGAAAAAAATTGGATCGGATCGGATCGGATTTGAAAAAAAATCTAAACCGAATGAATGATTACATGATCAAACCGAAGGGATTGGATCGGATGAGTTTTGCTTCCAAAACCGATCTAATCCAGACCGCGACCACCCCTAGCTGCTTTATATCTTTTCTGTGCATTATACTTACCATTAATAAATCAAATGCTGTCTTTAAACATGCATACACATTCCCAATAATAATATTAACCTCTCTTTGAAAAATAACGAAATATTTCTCTCTTTTGCACATTTATCTAACAATCTCGATAATTTTAAACCTTTAATATCCCGTCTATCTCAAAATAATAATAATAAAAATAATCTGAACCAAAATTGAAAGGAAAATAATAACAATTTTTAAACTTATTACTAAAATAATGTTTTAAAATATTACTGTTTTTGTCACCTCTGTCAATAGAACTAGACAAGTATTGTTATAGTTTCAGTTTTGCTTTTATTGGGCCTTTGGCCTTTATTTCAACCAAAAAAGTTAAATAAATAAGTTGTGTTGATATAATTTATTTAAAATTTGTTTCATTAATTTCCATAAAATCATCTAAACTTATCAGAGTAAAAGTGGTTAAAGACGCATGTGGCTGATATTTTGCAGCAAAAGTGAAGGCTTATATATATATATACATACGAGAAGCAGATTTTAGTGGACACAATTGACATTAGCTTAAAAATAATTTAAGCATGAAGAATCGAGCGTTATCAGTGATTGTGTGCGTCTTCGCCGTCGCGCTTTGTGTTGGCGGCGACGAAGACCTTGTCCCTCCTCGGCGGGAAGTGTACGATAATGGCCGAATATTCGATATCACTCACAGATACCATCCAGACATGCCAGAGTTTGAGTCGAAGGATGGCATCGGGCAGTTCCTATGGCTTCCGAAGAGCATGAAGAACGGTTCTATCGCTAACAACTCGGAGATGAAGCTCCCAACTCACACAGGCACCCATGTCGATGCCCCTGGTCATGTCTTCGACCATTACTTCGATGCTGGCTTCGATGTCGACTCACTTGACTTACACGTCCTCAATGGTCATTGGTCACCCTGCCCCCAACACAACATCCCTATTTTTTATGCTTTTATTGTTCTTGTTATATCTAAATATATGAATATTTCAATATCATATTATTATTTTCTTTTTCTTTTCTGTTTTATATTTTTGGAGTGACTTGTTTGCTCGCGTTAGTTGAGTCATGATGATTGATTATTTATTAAGCTTGTTTCTGTATACAGGCCCTGCTCTATTAGTCGATGTTCCAAGAGATAGTAACATAACTGGTATGTATGTATGTATAACTTGTGATTTTGCTTATTTATTTTCTTTGTCTCGTGTGGTGTACAAGGATAGGATACCTTAGGCAATTATGGAAGAATTTGCCTATTTTATCATGTCTCTTATATGTTGATTACCGAAGGTCACCACCCCAAAAGCTAGCTCAAGGGGTGGGAGTGCCCAAAGCCTTATATAGGCCATATTAGTTGCCCATCCAATCAATGTGGGACTATATGTCTCAACACGCCCCCTCACGCAAGAGCCCTTTAGGCTAGAAGTGTGGAAATTGCACAGGCCCATTTTTGGTTTACCTTTTTGTGCTTTTTTTTTTTTAATTCCACATTTTAAAGCGGGGGACGGTGAGGCTCTGATACCATGTAAAGAACCTTGGGATACACCACCCCAAAAGCTAGCTCAAAGGGTGGGAGTGCCCAAGGCCTTATAAACTCCATATTAGTTGCACATCTAACCAATGTGGGACTATATATCTCAACACGCCCCCTCACGCAAGAGCCCTTTGGGCGAGAAGCATGGAATTGCACAGGCCTAATTTTTGGTTTACCTTTTTGTGCTTTTTATTTTAATTCCACTTGAAAGTGGAATATGGCCTATATAAGGCTTTGGGCACTCCCACCCCTTGAGCTAGCTTTTGGGGTGGTGACCTCAAAGTTCTTTACATGGTATCAGAGCCTCACCGTCCCCCGCTTTAAAATGTGGAATTAAAAAAAAAAAAGCACAAAAAGGTAAACCAAAAATGGGCCTGTGCAATTTCCACACTTCTAGCCTAAAGGGCTCTTGCGTGAGGGGGCGTGTTGAGACATATAGTCCCACATTGATTGGATGGGCAACTAATATGGCCTATATAAGGCTTTGGGCACTCCCACCCCTTGAACTAGCTTTTGGGGTGGTTACCTCAAGTTTTGGAAATAAGCGGGCGCCAGATTTTCTGCTGCTATTTCATTGTTCTTAACAACTGTTGATCAAATGAAAATATGTCCTTTTCTTTTCCAGCTGATGTTATGAAGTCTTTAAATATTCCTCGGGGTGTAACTCGTGTACTCTTCCGAACACTGAATACCGACAGGTAACCTTTACAAATGATTAGATTAGTACTGCTGTGCTGTAGGGAGTATTACAAAATTTTGTTAACACAAGACCGGTTCAAACAGTACTGCTGATAGTTTAAATTTATTGATTTTGAAAAAACAGTCTTGAAATGCAATAAAAGGCATTCCTGAAGCTGCCGAGTATGTGTTTATCTCTAATACGTTTTTGAAATCATTGCAACATTAGGTGTCCATATGGGGAAACAGATTATTTTTACGTGCTTCTTCCATCTTTTAATAATTCTTTTTAACACTTTGTCAACTTTTTGTTGCTTTTTTAATTTCTGTATGTGTGAGGCTGAGAGTAGCCTATTATGTTTTTATTCATTGTACTTATATGAATGGCTACATTCTCCATGATGAATAGGCTATTAAAATGGGGGTGGATGATAAGCAAAAGAAATATTTAGTTGTGATTTGTAGACCTTGATAGTCCACATATATGCTTGATATTATCCTTAGATTTTGACCTCAATGTCCAAGCTATAATATCATTTTCACAATCTTTGAACTGCATAGCTCGTTTGAAGCCAAATGTGGAACTAAAACTTATTAAATTATTAGGCGGCTTATGTTTCGGAAGGAATGTGACACAAGCTATGTGGCATTCACGGTGGATGGAGCAAAATGGCTAGTGGAGAACACTGATATCAAACTTGTAGGTAAGCATAATTGTGTTTCTACGTTTGGGCTGCTTTTTCCCATGGGCATTTTTTCTGTCATTTGTTCCAATTCCAGTGGCTGGGTCCAGTTTTGCATTTATAGACTGCTGCAACTTTATTTGTTTTCTTTGACTCTGATTTGATAGGTGTTTCATACCTTTCATGTAAGATAATTAGATAAAGATAAATATTTGGTCAAGTTTTTGTCTTTTAATGAGTTGAATCATCAATATCAACAACTCCTTTATCCTAAACCAGTTAGGGCTTTTAATGAGTTGAACAGCTATAATTATGTCCTTTTCTTAATTAAGATAGGGAGGCTTAATTTTGATTACCTGTGTGAGCAACTAGACACTAGTGATCTGGACTTGATGTGGCCTTATCTTTATGGTGCCTCTACCTATTACATTATTTATTCGCAACAGGAAATTTAACATTGCAATTAGTTTGTTTGCAATAAAACTATAGAAGTCTTACTGAATCTTAACAGGTGACAGGATGTTTCACCGTTTCATTTATTGTAAGTATTGAATTAAAATTATGGGTTTGTTTTTTTTGCAGTTAATGTAGATAAGTTATCTGCATTGAGTCCAAAACAACGTCGTTTTGGGACGGAAATCAAGGTGTTTTTGTAATTTTAATTTATTTCAGGGTTGTAATAGTCTTTATAATTATTTTTTAATATTTCAAATACCAAAACGATATCGTTTTTGGAATAAATGCAGATAACTTATATGCCGTAACTGCAGAAACATTTTTCTGTAAAATTATTATGGCAAGTGAAGTAGTTCCAGAAGATTACTCTGAATCTTGATCTCCCTCTCCCTTTATGATCTAGGTCAATCACTGTGATGCACTAGTTTTTACATCTTCAATGTATGTTTAGTTGAGACATAGCATGCAATATTTTAAAATAGCTCTAAAGGCCGATGGTCATTTTGGCCATCTTGCCGAGTTGCCTTTCCATCAGTTTTCATGTCTCTGACGTCTTCAGCATCCATCTGCAACCATGTTTTGTGGAGTCCATATATATTATTTGGTTGGTGTTTTTTTTTTCTTGTTCAAAGGGTTAATTTGTGACAAGTTAAAGCTTACTAGCTTAAATCTTAGAAAGCTTTAACTTGAGGGGAAGTGTTAGAATATCTAGATGATATTGTATATTATTAAGATTATATGTTAATATGGTTTAGAGTATTCTAGAAGATCTATTAGGATTAGTTTTGTTTCCTTATGTTAGGAGTTCCTATTTAGTATAAATATGGATTATTGCTTTGTCTTTGGTAATCGCATCAATCACTGCATAACACATAATATTCAGTCTCTATTATTCTCTCTATCTTTTCACCTCCATCTATGCCTAAATTCCTATAATTTCAACACCCTTTATGATATATGCCACCGTGACGCACTAGGTTTTGCATCTTCAATGTATGTTTAGCTGAAAAATATCATCCCCTTTCTTTCGCGTTCATCTCTTCACATACTTATCTTATCTTATTCTGCTCAGTAATGGTGCCTGACATTTTTTGTGTGTGGTGCAATGTAGGAATTGATTACCTATCTGTTGCTTCGTATGATCACTTGATTCCATCTCACCTTGTTTTTTTAAAAGACAGGGTAAGAAAAAGCTCCTTTTATGGTTGAGAATTCATATGGGTTACGTTTCACTATTGGTTAGCTAATTATCCCCTACCCTTTTGAGCGAAAACAAATTACATCTTGAGGCATTTAGGGTCAAAGTACATTACTTGCCCCTAAGCCTGGGATTTTTCTTTACAAGTACCACTAAAATAATTTTCAATCTCTGTATCATTCATTGTGGTGGGTTCTGTACACAAGTGGGAGCTTTCGTTTTAATTACTTGTGATCTTTGTAACCATGAACATCATTTGGTGTTTCCACCCCCGAGGGTTATCAGATACTGGTTAATCTCTCTGTCTCTCTGTCTCTCTCTTTCTTTCATTTGTAACTTTAATATCCACTAGTCAAACTGGTAACTAGTAAGTATTTTAGTTCTGACAGTAGACCTCTTGAAGATTGTTGAAAGTTCTTAAAACTGAATGACCAGTGCTGTTGATGTTCTCTTTGCTGCAGTCTTAATAGTTGGTTAAGCTTATCAACTTTAGACAAGCTGAACCTAACCTTTGGATATACCCATATAGTTTCTAAAAAAGGACATCCTAATTAGTACAGTTTGGCATAGCATATTTCAATGAGGGCTTTAACTCTTGCTCCAATGATCTTTACTTTTAAATGTAATTTATAGCAATTAATTCATAATGAGCTTACTATTTTCTCAATTTAACATTTGACCCTGACTCTATGTCACATCATCAATCTCAATTTGTGGTCGATTTGGTTTCTATTCTTCTGATAAAATATTTAACTTTTTAGCTTGAAAGATAATTGCTGATTAGTTGGTACAAGATGCAGTTTGAAATGAGATTGCTAGTTGTGTCTTCAGATTTCGTTATGCAAACGTAGATTGAATATGATTCATTTGTTGCTTGGATAAGAACCAGAATCAACACGACATGAACTAACTACTCCAAATACTTCAGGAAATAATTCTTGTGGAAGCCCTGAAGCTTGATGATGTCCCAGCAGGAGTATATTCAGTCCATTGCTTACCTCTTAGGTTGGCTGGTGCTGAAGGATCACCAATACGATGCATTCTGATTAAAGATTAGGGTATGTTTGAGTTTGAGGTGGGCAAACTTGGGCTTCCTGTTGCAAATTTATTTATCTATTTATTTTTATTTTTATTTTTTTGTTGAAAGGGGCATGTGCTAATCTGTTCATCGTTGTTTTTGTAGTGAATTCTATTAAAGAATTTGGTTCTTTTCAGAGTCAAAATCTAACACAATGTTGAAATTGCAGCAGGAAACAGTGCTGTGTCTAATGCTGTAGTAGTTGTGGATCCCCAGAAGCGTATGTGTGTTTAGAGCAAGGAGGATGCAGCAATCTTAATAGCATTACGTTGAATGTGATTTTCTTCTGTATGCTAGCTATGTTGGAACCGAATAAATTGGCACAGTGGTGTCCTTGTGGAGCAAGATAGTATCAATATTGTGCATCAACTTTAGTGACGTTTTTACATTTATTAGGAACTTAGGAACATGTATAAGCACTTCAATAAGCATTTTGATAAAGTACAGAATGTTTGTATATAGATCATCTGCACATAGCAGCTAGATCGAAGTAGATGGATACCGTGTCTCTTACTTTTCCTGTAGTGATCCCTTTCCTTCCTATTATCGTTTTCAAAAACAACTGCATGTTTTGGTCTCAGTTCGTAGTTGACAATGGCTGGTATGGTGCTCAACTAGTCAACTCTACTAGCGGCAGCAAAGGCTGCAATACATTGACCATGAATTCACATGTATCCGAGCACTGCAGGGTGCCTGATTGATTGAACAAATATTGCTATAATTAGTGCATGCATGCCATTGAGTTATGCTGATCAATATGGACCTATGTCCCCACTCCCCTGTAGATGTCCAAGTGCCTGGCTAAAATATTTCTACCATGATTCCTGAACCTCCTTATCATTGCAAGATTCCACTGCCCCGGCTAACAATATAAAAGTGTAAACAATTACTTAGTACCCTCTTCTGCCCTCAATCAATCTACCTTTTACAGGAAGTAGCACGGTAGTATCTAGTATAAGAAAAGCCTTGCTATTAAGGTTGAGGTTGATCCACGATCAAACAACACAAACCATTGGAAAAAAAATAAAAATCCCTAAACAACACAGACCCAAACCTGATGAAACTTCTTGGTTATTTTGACCAAACAGTCCAACGCTTGGTCTATTCCATATCTTGTATAATTTTTTCATCTACATGGATGGATTTGAAATGGGGAGAAATGTAGAATTTAGATAATATGTTTAGGGGAAGGATATTGCAATAATCAATTAGTATTACTACCAATCAATTTCACCGTTAGATCGATTATGTTGATCCAACGGTTATATTTATTTCCATCTTTGTATGGTTATGATTTCCCATATTTAATGTTTTATATTTATTTTCACTTTTGTATAGTTATGATTTTTCATATTTAATACTTTCATATTAAATATGGGGAATCATAACCATACAAAGATGGAAATAAATATAACCGTTGGATCAACATAACCGATCTAACGGTGAAATTGATTGGTAGTAACACTAATTGGTTGTTACAATATCCTACCCTATATATTTATCAATATATATATATATATATATATATATATATATATATATATGGAAAAGCATTTCTCAAGCAGCTTGAGGCCACCTCAAAACTACGTCGTTTTATTTATTTATTTTCTTATATTAATTGATTTATCTTTGAATGATTATGATTTTCTTTTTCTCTCTCTTCCTTTATCACCATTGATCTATCTTTGTACGGTTATGATTTAGTAGCCGGAGATAAAATTATTTCAAGCAGCTTGATAAATAATAAGCTCATATATATATATATATATATATATATATATATATATATATATATATATATATATTTGGGAGAGGGGATAGTGGGTGTGTGGGTGGATTTCATACATTATTCTGTGTTTAATTGATTTGCATAATAAACAGGAGGTTTTTAATTTTTTAATTTTTAAGATTTGGTTAATTATTTAGAACAACAAAAGTTGATTTTTCTTTTAGGAATAAATCTGGGTTCACTGTGTACAGAAATATTTTATATGGGTATTGATACCGAAAACACATAAAAAAAAAGTGGTTAAATAGAAGGAACTAGAATTGATAAAAGAGAAATTCCCTCTTGTCAATTATAATTATCAAAACATAAAAATATTCAACTCTTACAATTGTGTTCTTAAGCATCCTTTTATCATTCATTTTAAATTAATTTTAAATTTTAAAAATAAAAAAATTCTTAAAGATAAACATAAATATTAAAAACAAGGAAAGAATATGACATAATTAGGTGGATTACAAATTAATCAGCATTAAACACAGTTAAAATAAAAACAAAAAACTAAAAATGATAAGCCTAAATCCCAAAGCAACATATAGACATGCACGATTTTAAGTCAATTCTAAATGGGAGAAGTGTGTATTATTTTAAAGGATGTAAAGTTATGTTATTTTAAGTGAGAGAAATAGATAAATAAAGGAGAAGAGAGTATGAACAGAAAAAATATAAAAGTGTAGGTCCCACCTTTTTGTGAGAGTGAAAAGATATAAGTTGTGTTATTTAAAAAAATAAATAATTTTCCCATTGTAAATATGTTAGATATTGATGATCTATCATTACACCTAGGCAGCTGGCATATGTTTACAAGTTATTGTAGTAATTGATTTCAATGAGTTATCTCATTTTTGCTGTTTTTTCTGTGATCAAAATTCAAGGGTAGGTTACAAAAAATAAAAAATAAAAAACGCTTCAAGAATCAATGAATATCTTCACTGGGGTGTCAATATAGGTTATGACACGTGGGTCGACCCGCGACACGACACGAAAATTTGTGTTCGGGTTGACCAGTAAAAAATTCCGTGTCGTGTTCGTGTCGACCCATATATTTTTTAATTATTTTATTATTTTATTTTTTTATTTTAATTTTGAACCATTTTTTTTAATTTTTTTGTCAATTATGATTTTGACCCTTATTTTGCGTGTTATTCGTGTCGTGTCGTGTCAACCAGCAAAAAATCTGTGTCGTGTCAGTGTTGAAGATTTTGATACGAATAAAAATTCGTGTCGTGTTAGTGTTGATGTATTAGTGTCGTGTCAAATTCGTGTTGTTTTGACACCCCTAATCTCCACATATTAACACGTGATGTTTCAACGTGCTTTATCCTCACTCACACACTCTTTCCCACGAGATCACTAATCCCAGAATTGCTCCAACATTTAACTATGGAGTTTTTCCGATTTATTTATGTACCACGCTCGAAGCCTGTAAGGAGCAGCTCCTTTTTTTTTTTTTTGGAGTTACCCAACCCTAATTACCTCTTTGAGGCGAGTTGGCTCCCTTCGGTATCCCCACAAGCTTCGACTCTTTGAGCCGGAGCAGCTCCTTTTCTGTGCCCTTTCACCCCATACCCTTTCACACTAACAATCACTCCCCGCCATCATGAACGCCCGGGATATTGAATCATGTTATTCGATTCATTCATTTGGCTTAAAAGATAATGCAAGTAGCATTTGTCGCATGTTTTAATAACAAGAGATGAGAACTACTGAAAATAATAAATATGATTTTAATTGGCTGAATGTGTATATCAGAGATCTGTGCTTTTTTTTTTTTATTTTTTTTTTTTATGTATGATGTGATACTCAGGTGTGATTGAGTTATCCATATGTTTTGTTTAAAATAAGGGACATGATCTGTTTACAATTTTTTTTTACAATTACACTAATGTAGGACCGGTCATACACTGTGTGATTAATGTAGGACCGGTCCTACATAGTGTAGTTTGTAAACAAAAAAGTTTGTAAATATAACCTGGCTCTTAAAATAAATTACTAAATATAAAATAAAGTTATACTCAATCCCATGCAAATCTTTGGAATGCTTTGCCTAAGTTATTGGCAAGCCACCAAATATTAATTGCAACAAGTAACTTGTTAACCACAAGTCTAGTGTTTAAATCCTGAAAATAGAAAAAATGGTCATGGGAGAATTGTCCCTTTTATAACATCTAAAAGATGAATCGACTAAAATGGATCCACTTTAAATTTCTTAGGATCACAAATAGTCTTTTTATTTACTAAGAACTAAAACGGGTATCGTAAAATTTGCTGAGAACCGAAAATAGTATTTACTCAAGAAAAAAAAAAAAGTTATTGGCAAGCCTGACTTGTTGAATCAATGCAAAACAATTCAGTTTTATATTTACAGTTGAATCCACTGGCTTAATTAAGGCCTCTTATGAATTTATAGGAGATTTTTCTTCAAATTGACCACGGAAAATTGTAATAGTAACTCAGTTGTTTACCAGGTGAGGTCTTAACAAGCTTTGAACGGATGGAAAGGACAAGAAATAAACAGGTTGAATTCTAAGTTCTAACAAAGCAATAGTCAAATTGAAGAATGATCACTGTATATTAGTAATTCGTTTCTGGCAGTGAAAGCAGGACTGCTCTACCTACTACTGTTCAGGATTAGTTTGTCTGTTCCTATCTTCACATTCCAAGATGGAAGGAAAGAATTGAACCAGAATCAAATCCATTACTTTTCATATTTTTTTGTCCATTTATTTATCCAATTATCATAGCTGTGATTTGTGATTTCTACTGACATACCATGATGCACAACAGCTAAAAATGTACCATTAAAAAGAGTCACGGGTTCTATCTTTCTGTGATGAAATGTGCCATATGGGTCGAGCAATACGACCTGCAGAGGCTAGTATGAAATGACATGCCCCAAGCAATGTGACTCTTTAATTTACTGGACCATATCTGAAGTCATCCACGTACTTATTTTCTAGTCACATGATGAAAATAAGATTAATTGTTAAACCAAAAACTTCCACACTAAATAAGATTAATAATTGTCATATTCCTGGTTGCTTTTATAGAATAACAACCAAAGCCTTAATTATTTCACTGAATGAGGTCCTTCAAAGAAAAATAAAATTTCAAAAAAAACACACAAAGTATGATTAATTAATTGCTTTATCATCTGTTCCTACGTGCGTACTGTTTTCATTTATTGTTTCTCTTGTATGTATGTACCAACAGAAACAATATTCACTGTAGGAGATCCTTTGCTTGGTAACATTTAACTACCGTGGAATTTGACTTTTTTATGATATGAGGTACGTACATAACACATGCATGTATTTTGTTTTTGAGTATTTGTTGGTGTCCTCGCTACTTGTCGCTTTATAACAAGAGTGTTTTTGAACCACAAACAAGCGCTTAAGATGATTACAACATATAAGGTCATTTTTAGGATAGGGAAGGCTTAAGATTTTAAACCTATATATGAAGAATTCACTGGTGATATATAGTGCTAGGGTCACTCTTGCCTGTCAAAAGATACCCAAATCTTTGTCTGATAAGGCAGACATGCTTGCAGCGTTGCAGCCAAGTTTCACAGATATGGGACACAAGCCATGCCATGGTTCATCGCTGGGCCATGTAAACATCAAAAACTTCACTTGTCCTTTTCTTCTGACTTTGTAAAGGAACCAAAGAGACCTTAACAATAAATTCTGCCTTGATAAAAAAAAGAAAAAGAAAAAGAAAAGAGAGATTTAGCAAGGAACCCTTGTGTCTTTGCATAGGACCACCTAGATGCATTACTGTTTATGCCTTTTTGTTTAGGTATTCAATGCTACTAGTCTTATCTACTTCTCACTTATAAACGTTTTCTTTTCCATATAAGACGTTACAAGAATATGGTGGGGTAGCCCATATAATTATATTGAGGCGCCAAGAAGATTATTTGAACCCATATAAGACATTTGAGGTCCTAAACAAGTAACCTCAAAGGCTTTGCTCAATTTATTGATATTCTGGACATGGTTATTCTAATTAGTTAATAAGACCAAACAGCCATAAAAGAACTTGTGCTCAGTTCATTTAATGTTTGGCATACTGAACTAAAGTCCCTTATTTATTAGAACAGTCCAGCTCACCAATGAGACGTTTTTCAATTTTCTAATTTGCTAACCATGAGGCCAGAACTTCCTAGACCAATCCAGGTTACAAAACTTAACAAGATTTTCCCATCCTATAGTTCTAATATTGTTATAGTGGTTATAAATGTTTGGACTTTGGAGTTTGGACCACAATGTATAGTATTGGAAGTTCTGAAATTTGGTTTTATTTAAAAATAAAATGTAGCGATGTCCATAGTGTTTGTACACATTTATACACATAGGTCCTAATGAACTAATTCGTACGAATTCAGTATAAGATGGCCAAATCTAAATATGTATTCTAGTGTTGGTGTTTTTGTCTCTGCTTGAGTTGATTGAGATGATACTCCAAGCACATTGGATGCCGATTGCTGGTAGCAAACATTAACTGTAACAATTTAAAAAGGAACGTTGTGATAATAATTTGGTTCACGGATTAGGTGTGGAAATGCTAGTTGACAGAGGTTTTGGGGCCTCCATTTCTGATCCCTTGGGGCCATTCAAAATAGTGATGCATCAACTGCTTGGAATCCCATTGGTATTTGGGACCATATCAATCTTGGATAGTTCCTTCACATACTTGAGAGTTTGAAACACACACATCAACACGTTGGGTGTTAATTTGTCTTGCTAGAAGCAGCTTTACATCAACTTGTAAAAGATCATAGTGTCATATGGAAAGAATCAGAATTTTTTTTTCTGCTTTTCAGATATAATAAAATTGCATATTTGACCTCCTCTTACTATTAACTACTCGTTGAAAACTTACCATAAAAGACACCGCTGTTGTTGAAGCCTAGATATTATCTAACCTATGATGAACTATCTATAAATTAAAAACAATAACTTAAGGCAACAAGAAGATTTGGTAATGAATTTCAATAGTGAAGCAGGTAATGACATGAATTTCTAAACTTTTCTTCAACTCGTGGAAGAATTTAGTTACTTTCAAATGTTGACTCTAGTCTTTTAGTTGATTTAGCTCATAATAATATGGTAAATTATATCATAATGATGTGACATATCACATAATTATAGAGTAGATTACCTCCCTCTGTCCCGAATCCTGATTATCTCTGTCGTGGAACATTCAAATTCTTCTCTGCTTCATTTGATTTGGGTGAAAAACACAAATTTGAAACATAATATTATTAACACCGTTCATCATGGGGCATGTTAGAAATGACGAGTCTTCACTTAAATACTATCTTAACATTACATTTTTATTCCCATTTTTAGGCAATTAGAAATTTTGTCACAGATGGAGTGAAATATTTAGATAAATGTTATTTTCATTACATTATTGTATTCTTTGACAAACATACCAATTAATCACCGTAAATTGTTTTTATAATATTTTCACATTTACTTGCAACAAATAGCAGTATCCTTAGTATAATCAGAGAAGAAAATATTATTAAAGGTTTTGATGATTTTAGCATTTTGGGAAGGTTTACTGTAAGAGTGGCAAGGGCTGCAGCTACAAAGCGGCTATTTTGTGCTTTCTTCTGAAGAGAAGGAAACATATATTAAAGAGTATGTTTTATTGTGCAGTCTATGCACTGTTCATTTCCATGTACTCCATAATAACCTTTGCCATGCAGAAAAATATGAGAGAGAGGGGTCCACAGACATATATGGTCCTCTTTTTTATTGTTCTTTTAGACTTTACAGCTGTAAGCAAGAAAAGAACCGAGGAAAATTACAATGGAGGGTTTTAGTCCAAATTTGTATCCATGTGAATTTATGAACAATAATATAATCTAAAACACCATATGAGACTAGGTCAAAAAAGAAAGTTCAAAATCATCAAGCTAAGCCCCCAAGGCATCATATTATTCTACAATTATTGGTGTGGGGGCATTGCATACATTACTCATCACATATAAGCTTTGGTCCCTTGGTGTAAGCTGTTTCCTTTTGGAAAAACATTTTTCCCTCTTTGAGTTTTTCTCTCTCTCACTCGTGAAGTGATGATAGCTTGCATCCATCTGGTACAATCTATAATCTACCAAACTTAAAGGTAGAAAAATATCAGAGACAATCCTCCTACAAAATCAGATTTTGTCCCCCATAATAAAATCCCCTGCCTTTGTGCAATGTATCATAATTTAGGATTAGTGGGTGTTTTGTCAAAGCTATTACAAAACCAAAAGCATTTTGTTTCTAGTTATTTATTTTCTTGTTTAGAGCCCACACTCTACTCAATGGAGACAAACAAATAAGGCATTATGCTTTTAAACTCCTCCAATAATAATTGGTCTAAAAAAACTATACCAATATATGGTATTCTTATTCCATTTGGCTCCCATACATTATGAAATTATCTGTGTTATACACGTGAAAAAAGCAGAATGAACTTTATTTTTATTTTCACACGAGAACAAAGACAGAGAAAAAAAAATGCAAAGAAAACAACCAAAAGGTGAAGCATGCACTATAGTGAATCAATCCACTATAGAATGATCATCATGAATCTTTGCATTCATAAAAGAAAAAGAGGTAGGAAGAAAAACAAAAAGAAAAAAAAAATCTCCACGCAATATAGAGAAAGGGAAAGTCTACGGAATGTTATCCACATGGGGTACGTCACCTTTATTGTTTCTTTAAAAAGAGTGTGCACTTAATCATAGTTAGTCTAATCCAACTAAACGACTAACAAAGGAAAGGTTGTACAAGTATTGAAAAGTTAATGCTATGTATCCCACTACTTTGAATTATTTGTAAAAGTGTTTCCCCATGTTCTTTGGTATGTTCTCTGCTTGTCATTAGTGCTAATAAACGTGATTAATCAATTGTCTCCTACTGTTGACCGCAATTGCATAAGTTGTTGTGCAATTAGACTTTATAATTGAACAGATAAAGCATGACAGCTAATAGTAAAAATAAAATAAAATTGGTAAACATGGTTTATAACTTTATGTGTATCTACAGACTTTATTTTCAAATACACTACAGAAACTATAAAATTATGCCGTATATTTACAGTGATCATATTCATATCAGAAAGCAACATATTTAATTAATATAAAGCTAGTATATTCGTCCTTACGTGCCTCTCTCCATGAGAAGAACTACGATTGTTTGGAAGGAATAGTCTTGCAATTAATAAAGCACAACAACAACTCTTTTGAAGTTTCCAACTAAAAGGTTCCAATGTACGGTATAGGCAATTAATGCTATCTTACTATAATCTATTGAATAATGACAGGCAAAGGCAACTATGTGCTGCACAATAGATGTATAATTTAACTAGGAACATATCAAACTGAGGGCCCCACAAACCATGCTGTTGCTCACGCCCTTCTCAGAGTACTTAAAAGTTGTAGGACTAATAATGAATGAGGTGCAGTACTTTGAGGCAAAGCCTACAATCTATGAGAGCAATAATTAGTGTTTTCAATAGGTCAGGGGGTTAGTTTATATAGAGAGGATTAGTGTCAGTTCAATATTATAAGACCAAGTGTTGGCCCTTGTTACGAGGTCAAAAGACTCGAACCCCCCAATCAAGAAACCCGCCCCCCCTACCCTATGACCAAAAACCCTTCATCTGAGTCCCACTGGCCGACAAACTAGTTCTCCTTTCACATGCAAACAAATCCCACCCCTCTATCTGTCCAAAATCCTTTCTTTTCCTTAATAAAACAAATAAAAAATTGTGGTAAAAAGCTTTGGGTGGACCATTTGGGACGAGCATATCTCTAAGTCACACAGTATCCCACCAGCCAAAGATTTAAGGCACACAAGGAAGTGAATAAAAGCATATACAAAATAAACAAAATTGTTCCCAATTTATTATAGAAATATGATATAAATATGTCCAAATTTGGTATGGTCTAGAAGAGATCCATTGAAGAAAAAGAAAGTGCCTGAAACATATTATAGAGTGCTGATAGTCTTCATTGCCAACTTTGTCCTCCTCTTCCCCTCATAAACCATTCCTTCCTGTATCACCATGCCTCTCCAAGAGATGTAAATGAATGTTGGACATTGTTGGAAATGAAGAGATAAAAAGGAAAGGGCAAATATAGTTTAGCAACATGCATGGAAAGATTAATTATCACAGTAAATAAATATAGATCTTTTTGGGGTAGTTCTTTTTTCTTTTTCTTTTCTTTTTTTGGGGCTCTTTCTTTTGTGAAGGACAGAGAAAGGGAAAGCTGAGGGTATTAAGGGGAGCTTCCAACAATTCCAACAATGACCCGGTTGAATGGTGACAATTTCATTTTTTGTCCTTGGATTCTACTCCTCTTGAACAGAGGCTCTGATGGTGAACATAATGATGACCCCACTGTCCACGAATCGTTGGAACCATCAGAGCTAAAAGCAGCATCAATTATGCCACTTGGGCTGCTGGGTATTTGGTCATACTTGCGCTTGCTAGGGCTCTTATAAGCATAATTATTGGCATTTGAGAGCTGGAGAATGGCATTATAGCATTCATCTACTTTCTCCTGTAAAAATGCAGGAAAAAGTAATTAAGATCAAATAATGTGCTTATGATGTACATTAATAGCAGCATTTATTTATATTTAAATCTAAGATTCTAATGGACATAGATTAATATTAAACAAATATATATTATTTAAATTTAAAACAAAGACATGAACATCCAGACACAGACCTTGCTAATTTTGAGAACACCCAGAAGCTGATTTTTGTACTTCATCCCATCATTGTGCTCAATCTGATCTATAACATGCAGCATTGTTGCAGTGGCCAATACAGAAGGAAGACAACCAACAAATCTTGAATCTAGACTCAAAAAAAACACACACATATCAAAAGCTAAGAAAATCAAGACAGTTTACTTATGTATTCTTTGTACTGATGGTAAAGTTAATAGTTTTTAGCATCTGAATGAAAGAGGGAGAGCTAGCCATTCTTAATGCTTACCTAAAAGCACAGATAAAAGAAGATGCTCGCAGCGCCTGAGAAACTCCCAGTGAAGATGGGTTTTCAATCCAAGCCTTCTTATAATGTGATCTAGAAATGAGAGTGGGGTCACAGGGTGCATCTTCCATTTGAGGGTGGAGAGAACTAGTAACTCCATTCTCTGAATAGTCTTTGCCTCAAACACATATTTGGTGCCTTGCACCTGATATATATACAACACAAAATAACAACACATTTGATATCTAAGATAACTGAGAAAAAGGAAACATATTCAAGATTCAGTTACACAGAACAAAGTTTTTGTCTTTAAACCTACTTGAAGGTCTAAGAGAAGAGGCACTTGAGTTTCTTCAACTTTTGCTGCCAAAGAGATGCAAGTGACAGCCACAAGCTGGATCATCCATGGCTTCTCCCTTTGAAAATGGAAGCTTAAAAGGAACCTATCCAGGTAAGTAACAGCCAGTGTTGCAGTGAGAGCAGAGAATCCATGATGAGCATTGACTTTAAGGATCCATTCTACTGCTTGAAGACGAGCCAGAGAGAGAGAAGAGTCCAAATTCACATTTTTCAGATCGTTATAGGTTTCTTGTTGATTCTTCTCTTTGGAGAAGAGAGAGTTTAGTTCTTCATCTTCCCAGAACAAATCTTGCTCCAACAAGAGCAATGGGAAAAGAGAACTAGTGTCCAAGTGAACCCCATCATCATTGTTTGTTGTCACATCACTTTCATCAGATAACTCATCTTCATCCTCTTCCCATTTTTCTTCATCACAGTAAAGGGCATCAAGAACAGATGAAACATTTTCATTATTATGATCATTGTGATGGTGCATTATTGCCATCTTCTTCAATGAAGAAGAGGGTCTCTAATCCTTTGTTCATTATAAAAAGAAAACACACAGTTTCACACCCATCACCCTTTTTCTTTCTGTCTCTCTCTCTCTCTCTCTCTCTTTCTCTCTTTCTCTCTGAGTGGATGGATTGGAGAGTGAAGAATAAGAAGAAAGAGAGTCTCTGAAAGCAGAGAAAGAAAAGTAGCAAGGTAAGAAGGCTATGGAGAAAGAGATTGATTTTTAGCTGAGTGGGTTTCATGCTTGTCTTTTCATATATTTATAATAAAAATAAAAATAATACTTTGCTTATTTGGAATTCTTTGCGCTTTCGGTGTGTTTGTTTCAAGCTGGACCCATGAAAACTACTTCTTATAAACCTATGAATTTAATTTTCACACATTTTGATTAAATGCCTCTGAAAAAAGTTTTACTCTATTTACAACAGCAGTTAATGAATTTAGTATTTTATGTAAATTAATGATATAGTAAAATATTAAATAAAATTTCAAGAGGTGGCAGGGCACAGTTAGTAAGCGAGTTGTGCTCAAAGATCATATGAATTATTGGAGTTAAAAATCTCTAAATTTAAATTTTAGAGGAAGCAATTTGAAGCCCGTAAACACTTGATACCACGAAAGAAATTAATCTCATTTAAAAGTATGATGTGACATCCTTGGGGGAAAAAAATTTATAAAACTCATAAGATATTGTGTACAATACTAAAAGCAAAGTAGGTTACGAGGACAAGATAAATATTCATATACTAAAAATATTAGAGTAAATATTATTTTTGGTCTTCAGTAAATTTTACGATATTCGCTTTAATCCTTAGCAAATAAAAAAGTCTATCGTGGTCCCTGAAAAATTTAAAATGAATCCATTTTAGTCATTTTAGAGACTAATATGAGTCTCTTTTGAATTTGTAAGGAATCACGATTTCAACTAAATGAGTCAATTTTGAATTTCTTAGAGACCATAATGGACTTTTTTATTTGCTAAGGACTAAAGCGGGCATCGTAAAATTTGCTGAGGACCAAAAAGAGTATTTACTCAAAATATTATTTGTAAGAAGGATTTATTCATATGTTCCATATTTGAAGGGATTAGCTTCATGATATTAAAGAATAATAATAATAATCAACAATGATTGGTTTAATTATTAACAAGCTCCTTTAACTAAAGATTTTAAATTTGAGACTTTCCCACATAAAAATTGTGGTGAGAGAACTGCTCCTATATGATTCCATTTGCATATGATTAATAAATTAAAATATTTAAATATATGAGAGGTTATTTTTTTTTGTAAACATATGAGAGGTTATTTTTATTATTATCTCTTATTATCAAATTTTAATCATTAATTTTTGTTAATTTAATAGTAATAATTTTTTTTAAAATTAATAATTAATTAATAAATGTAACTCAATAAATTATAATTATTATATTAATAAAAATCAACAGTTAAAATTTAATAATAAAAATAAATAATAAGTATAACCTCCGCTTTAAATATAATTGAAATCAACTAATAGTTATAATAACTATGTGAACTCTATATAAATGGATTTAGGGTATAATGCTCAAACTATACTATCGGATTTTCGATTAATCAGTTAAAAAACACTTAAACCTATTTAAAGACCCGTGGCATCATTTTCAATTTTTATGAAGTACAGACTGGCTAGCACTTGAGTGTAGGCTCAATTGGTGCTATCAAACTATGATTAAACTTTACAGAGTTACAACCGCAAATTTGTTTGGTTTTCCATAAATTGAAAAAATTCACCCATTTTTTGTTTGACTTTTATTTCCGGTCAGATCTATTAACCTGCCATTTTTGGTTTTGATTCCTGATCTGAATTTCATTACAGGATGCTATGGTAGTGTAGTGCTAGTGGGATGCTGCTATTTAATAATTAAATTTCCATCATTCCCTTTTCTCAGTTTCATGGGCTGGGCTCACCTCCAATTTTTACCAGTGAAAAGAAGATCAGAATATCTATTCGATATTCTTCGGTATTATTTTTAAGTGAAATTTAAAATTTTAATCTTAAAAAAAAAAAAATACAAGTGATTTATCCAAAAAAGAAAAAACGCTTTTTATTACGATGTACGGAATATAGAAGGATATTGTAACAATCAAGTTATGTTACTACCATGTTACTACGAATCAATCTCACCGATAGATCGATTATATTACTACCAATCAGTTATATTTATTTTCATCTTTGTATGATTATGATTTCCTATATTTAAAGTGAAAGCATTAAATATGAGAAATCATAACCATACAAAGGTGAAAATAAATATAAAGTATTAAATTTGAGAAATCATGATCATACAAAAATAGAAATAAATATAATCGTTAGATCAACATAATCGATCTAACGGTGAGATTGATTGGTAGTAACTTGGTAATAACACAACGTTATTGTTACAATATCCTTTCCCGTATGGAATAGTTAATCTTTTTATTTTTATTTATTTGATATAAAGGAAAATTAAACAAATAACCTATTACAACTTATCCAAATCTCTTACCACTACATCACGGCTTATGGTTAATCTTTTTATGATTTAGCAGCTTTGTTTCTAGTAAGAAGCTGAATGCATTCTTGGGGAGGGGATGAACCTTTAGCCATCATTGTTCCCCCGCACTCCGGATTAGTCCCATAGCCGGCTAAAAGAGTCGAAGCTCGTGGGGATACCGGAGAGAGCCAACTCGTCTCAAAGAGATAATTAGGATTGGATAACTTAAAAAAAAAAAAAAAAAGCTTTTTTTATTATTGAAAAAAAAAATTAACAAAGATGAATCTAAGAGTGTGCCAGACCACGTAGAAATCGGCACGTCTAATATTCAATTTTCTGATTCCTGGGGGTGTTGTCTGCTGATCGAATATTGAGAATTTAAAAAACAAAATAAAATAAGCACTTGCGAGCAAACAGAGAATACAAAAGCAGGAGCGTAACTAAAAAATGTAGTACAACGTAGTAAACCCATAACACTTGTCCATTCAGAGACAATCTCGATTTGTGTTCTGTATGTTTTTATTTTTTAATTTAACAAAAAATGATTATCAATTGTTGTTTAAAAATTAACCTGCATCTCGATATTCATAAGTTAACGGCATTGAATAGACATCTTATGTAAACATTAAGAAAGATATCAATGGCATCTTATGTAAAGGTTATTTTGCAACTCTTCTTGTTACTGCAAAATATTAGAGTTTGCAGCTGACCCAAAAATTTAGTGGGTTTCACCATTTTAAAAAAATAAAATAAAGATAAAATATCAATGAGTGTGTGGCAGAAGAAAATCACTTCTGCATTCACAGCAGAAGTGATTTTGCCTTTTAACTTATCACTGATTTTGAGTTCCAGTTGTGTTAAAAGTTTGATAAAAGAATTTTATCATTTTTTTTTATTCTTTTTCAATTCAAATTGGATTAGTGAAGAAATAAAAAACGACACCAAATTAACAAACAGTAATGCTATGTCCATCAATGTAATTTGCAGTATCACTTATCAGTTTCCTTTTTATGAAATTTTCTCTTAATAATGTGGCTTGATTTTGATATTCGATTTTGACCGAAAATAAAACTCACCCCCTCCTTTTTATTATTATATGAATAGAATTAGAGGGGCGTGAACAGATCGTTTAATGATATTTGATACAGATTATATAAAGATTAGCTTTATTTCATCAGCATCTAATTTAAATTTCTAACTTACGGTGCTTATAGTGATGCAATTCTTTAATATTTTGTGTAATTTTGAACAATTATAACACGCTATTATAAGTGCTTGATTGAATCATTTATGAAAATATGACTACAAGCTAAAATTAAAAAATAATATTTAAGTCAAATTAAACTATTTGTTTTTACAATATGTCCCCATCCCCGCTCTAAATGGGAAGAAATATTCTTCAGTTTTGGTCTTCCTCGGCTGGCGAAATTCTAGTCTAAGATGTCTGACTTTTATGTAAAGTAACAAACCAAACATAATTTAATATTTGATTAAAAAAACTTTATACTACTGAATTAATTTTAAGAATAATTTGAAATGTAGGCTGCATTATACCCGTAATACAGAAGAATTTTCACTTGAAAAGTGTCTTGCTCTAACTCTCTTGCACCTGAATTAGTTTGAAGCTATTTTAAAATAAGGGACAGATACAATGGTTAAGGAGATATGTTCTTCATTTTAACTATTTTTATTTGAACTTTGAATACCCAAATGCATTATACTAATGCAAAATATGTGTCATTAAAATTGCTTAAAATGATTCAGTATCACTTAACACAAAAAATAGCCAATGCTTAAAATATGATTCTGTAACACTTTTAACACCAAAAAAATAGCCAAAAAATTTTGCTCTAAAAATGGATTGATTTGGCAAGATATTTGATTGTCATTACACACGTTACATGGAAATTGAATTTAATAAATATATTAATAACTTGAATTTAATAAATACAACTAATGATTATTTAACTAATCAATTTATATATAAATATATTTATTTTTGTTCTGGTTTATGTAAAGAAAATAAAACGTTGAGTAGGTCTAAGTGTGACGGTCTTCACCAGGATTGCTCTCTAGGCTAGACAATCTTGAAAATTTTAAATACGTGAAGAGAGGGGTGAGTTAAAATTAGAAGAGTTCTATTGAATTTAAATTACAATGTATTCAGTTGAAGTTAAAAGTTTGAACAAATAATACATGTTTGATCATTTGCCTTAGCACAATAACAAATTGAGTTTCCTGCTTAATTAAAACAATAAAAAATAGCCAACCAATACTGATAAGTCAGCACATTCTTATTTTTAACTTGTGCATTAGGCAAGTGACTGTGGCCAGATTTATCATTACAACAAACAAACAAATGGATGAACATGATATTGCTGAGTTCGAAGTTGCAAGCAATGTTATGTACAAATTTCGAAGTATAAAGATAACAAAGTAATCCTGTTGGACTTCAATCACTTTCATAGTCTTCATCATCTCCGAATGTAAAAACAGAAGCATCTGCAGCCATGGCCTTAAACTCACTTTCTGAGCTGGGCACCTCGAGACTGGACACTGTTCTTCCATCAGCATCCCTTTTTGGCTCAACTGCACTTTGAATTGTTGTAGAGCTCTTATTTCCCAAAGAAACTTGTTCTGTTGCATGTGTTAAATTTGAGATTTGGTTTGAAATTTTGTTTGACTCGGACTCTCTGGTGGCATTTGTAACTGTTTCAACTGCTTCAGAAGGTGCTTTTGTTTGCTTGCTACTTGAAGAAGCAGGATGCTCTGTCTCACCATCTGAAAACACATCGTCTTTATCACGACCCCCTGACTCTTTGTCAGGGTTCGGGGCAGGGGTGCTCACTTCAACTGGGGTGGGGCTAGTGCTGGTGAGACTGTTACTTGGACTCTCATCTGATTTCTTTGTAGTAGTTTCAGGTTTGGTAGTTACAACGTCACCATTATAATCCACTAGCACAACCTCAACCAAGAATCCTGGAGAAGGCAATTTTCTCTGCCAGAAGACCATTCCAACAAAAATATAGCTAATTACAAGATCCAATTATGAATGACAAACAGGGAAACACTATACTGAACAGAAGGCAGACCATGCTCTATTGTTACCAATAATGTCACCAAGTCTTTATGCTAAAAGAGTGTTACAACAAAAAGATTTAATCGTGAGATAGTAGTAGTATCATCAAAGAACCACAACAGTTTACCTTGTCAAAGCCATCGAGATCACTGGTATTCAATATTTTCCTATTTTCTGTCATAGTTGTGTTCAACCAACTAAAAGGGAAAATAGCTAGATATTTTAGTTCAACATAAGGAGGGCAGCATAAGCAATTGATCTTTGATGAAAAAATTAATTAATACCAGTAAAAATCTCCTTGGCGATCATGAAAATGGATTTTGAAGTCCCCAGCCAACTCTGTAAGACCAGGCTCTCCTGGCAAAGCAAAGACCATCACTCCCTTCTTTGGCGCACTAAACCAAAAATCTTCTGGCTGCAAATAAAGAGAGCTCATATCACACAGAAATCCCCACTCTCAGAAAAAAGGAACAAAAGACGTAACTTTGGCACAACAATTCAATCAATATTCTATATGACACCATGTTACTAATTAGACGCACCAAAAGTTCCTTGGTTCGCGGATGCTTTTTGGTTGAGAACAACACACCTACACATTAGGAAAGGGTTAGAGTCAACAGCAAATTAAGCAGTCTTTCACAGACTAAGATCTTACACTTCAACCTTTCAAAGTGATCATTTGTCAGCCTGTCAGTCAATTCTTGACACACAAAGCAGATCATATACTAAATATATATCCAGTTATCACTACAAATAACCAGTAATGCGCACAATTCCTTCACATTGTAGCATGAAAGAACATGAACAAAAGAACAGCGCAAATGGTAGAGATTCTCCCAGCTATTCTATCACTCGGGTCTCTCCCCTAGAAACTCCTGAGTTAAAACGTAGCTATCAAGTTTGGAAGGAGATCTTAACAAGGACATGCCTTCACAGTACACTGAAAGATCTGAGTGCATACCACCATATAGCTAAACCAAATATAAAACAGACCAAGATAGAAATAAGGAAAAATTAATTGTCTAGCGGAAGAGAGGAACCATAAACAATGTAAATATTAGCAAATTAGTCAAGAAACAGAATAAATTTTTCAACACTTGAACTTGAAGTAACAATAACAAGACATTATAAATCTACAAACAGAATGGTCATGGGCTATCAACAGCAGGGGGAAATTTAGTACAAGAATGTAAAGCATACCCCTATGATCTGAAACAGTTATGGAGGGCCTGATCCAGTAAGGGCATCTGTGAAGCCGGAATCCCCTAAGCATGCACCTGCACAGAATATGATGTCAGCACATAAAGACAGGTAAATATTAAAGTCACATCTTGGCTAGTATATACCTCCGGGCAGGTGGGATTTCGCCATTGAAGTAAGTCAAAATCCGTTCAAAATATTTGACATACCTCTGGAAAACAGAAAGTAAAAACATATGACAATAAGAAGCTAGAGGGAAGTAGTAACTCCATAATATCCAATTTTCCAAATAGTTAACACATTGCAAAGCTGAACTTACAATCTGACTAGGCAGAACAAGTCCTTTTCCATCAACACATCTTTTCTGATTATAGTAATCCATAGACTCCTCAGCAGTTGGGAAGAACTGCAGTAATTTAAGTCACCTAATCTTAAAAAAACTGAGAAAAATAACAAGATAGATAGTGAAATATCAAGCACAGTCATCATATTTTCAAGAGAATATTTAGAAACTATTCACCTTTAAGAATAAGAGTAGACTAGAAATCATCAACCCGGTCCTTGCCATTCCAGCCTTACAGTGGACAACCACGACATTCTCGATGTCTTCTTTCAACCATGAGTACGCACTTTGGCAAAATGATATAATTAGTTGAATTGGTGGGCAATTATGATCATCAAATGGGAAGCTAGCTACCTGAATAAGGAATTTGATATTTCAGATACAAGAAGCTGTTCATACAAATTCCATAGAAATACAATGTGGTGTAAAATCGTAGAACTCAAGTTAAAAGAAACATGACACAAGCAGTCTAGGCTGTCTAGCATCATGATCAAAAGTAGGAACAGATGGCAAGAATAATTTTAAATTGAAGAATAGATAATTTGAATAGAATACTATAGATAAATTCGATGGTTAAAACCAAAGCAATATATCCATATTAAAAGAATTTGTTTAGGCATTCATTATAGACAGACTTAAAATTTATAGCGCATAAATGAAATTTCAACCCTTAAACAGTTCTACCACATTTGTCCCCTCCAAGACGAGAATGAAAATTTAGAAATCACCTTCCCCTCAAACAATGATGCATCATACAGCCGCTCAGAACAAAGATTATATACTTTGTATTTCCCCTGCATATAAAAAATAAGTCAAATACAAAACTAGACAAGAAAATGATAAGTCAGGACAAATACTTAATGAGTTTCAAAGTTTAAGGCACTGTAAGAAAAGAAACATCACAAAGTCATGTAAGAAGCCTCCATACAATGAAACCTGTTATCGAACTACAGAATATGGAGGAGAGTAGGGAAGACAGAATATATGAAGCATTTGCTCATCACACAGAAAACATTTAATGATAAGTAAGGAAATGATAATAGCCAAGAAATCTTAAAATTAGTCTGCAGTTCAATATTTCCTTGACCAAATTAAACAAGGGTTCAAAATAAATACAAATGTTTTATAGTATAGACATTCTTAAATGAAATAAAAACAACATTCCATACTTTAGAACATTGATTTGTACAATCAATCAACTACAAAAAAAAAAAAAGACATAAGCATAAGAACTTGTAACTTCAGGTGTCAGAGTATGTGTTACGACCTTATGGTGAGTCTCAAAAAACTTAATCACTTCTTCCATATGATTTCTGTAAAAACCCTGCATTGCATATATAGATAGTCGGACTACAGGTAAGTGTTTAAGATGAAAACAGCAACCAAAACAAACTGCATACAAAATTCAATTACTTCGACATAACCAAAAAACCCAGAGCTCATGTCGCCAGCAGGAAACCCCATTGCAATGATGTTTTCTGTGATATATGTCATATCTAAATCAAAACCTCCTTCCTGAAAAAAGCATATAAAAGTAGAGAATAGTACATATAAGCCAAAAAGTTTGTTGAGAAGAGAACATAGTCATATACTCATACAACTCAGTATAAAACAAAGAAATATGAAAATCAAATTCAATCTACTCGCGAGTCACATTAATAATTATGAAATGAAATTTCTAATAGCTTTTCTCAACTGAAGAGGCTAGAAAGCTAATCATGCAGAGCACTAAATTATATGACGTGATTTAACAGGGAGTAGGAAAATGTCTGCAAACTTCAGGGCTTTATAAACTCAATACCAGCTATGAGGTCTAATCTAGAGAGCCAGAAAACAAAAAATATTGCTTAGTCCAACTTTTTTTCTGCATTAGCTAATAATTGTCGCATCACAAAAGTTATCTGTGAATTGCCTCCAAAGATAAGCTTCACCCACTTGTTAAGGAAAGGGAAGGCAACAAAAAACCAGGGATTAAAGCAATCATCCCAATAGAAGAGACAAAAAATTGTTCAAATGAGTAAGACTTTATAATTGGCAGCATTACAAGAATAACACAAAGTAAATCAGATTGAACAAGAACAACACCTGGTATCTGCGTTTATTCTGAGAAACAACATGTCGTGCCTTAACCTGCACAGCTTTCACCGCATTCTTAGAAGAGTCAACCAGGCCTTTTGTAATACTTCCAAACAAATTAGATTGTACTGCTGTTTCACTGGAACTGTCATCCACCACAGGAGATTTTGGAGACAACCGCAACCCTAAATTACTAGTGATGCGTGCAAAAGTTGATTTCCCAACATTACCATTTGATGCGTCATCTTGGGAACCAGAAAATGGCTGAGGAATTTTCAAGTTTTTGGCCCAAGATGATATGCCAGTGGAAGATAGTCTAGATGGCACTTCTTGAGCAGAATTATCTTGCCCAGAGGCTACAGCAGCAGAAGCTTGTCCATCTGTCTCTTTAACAGGAGTTAAAGTAGATGGATCTTTAATAGGAGGTGAATTAGAGACATCAGCGGGCACTGAATCCATTTGATTAAAAAAGTATCAATGGCAACTTATGTAGAAGTTGGAAGTCTTATCATTAGGTGGCCCTACAGTATCTTTCTGGTTGAGGCTGCAAATACAGACATGATGTTAATTGAACACGGGGACAACAATGCAAATAATATATCTTTTTTATATTTTCCCGATTCATTTAATAGTTCTTAAATACCCAACTAAAAAATAAGTCACAACAATATACTCTGTGGAAGAGAAAAAGTATGCCTATGCACTACTGGTATGTACAATTGAGATCGTAACTAAATTGTCTCTTATTATGTACGAATTACTTATAGTTTCTTTTACGTTAGATTTTGTCGTTCATTGTTAGCAGGCAATCTGTTTTATTATATCTATGATGACTCAAATTTATTTCATTTGCCCAAAGAAAAATGTAGTAAGTCCTTAAAAAGTTAAACCAAGAAAGCCATTACAATTACAACCCCCAAATCAATTCACAAATAGATATTACATCTTCAGCTATTAAAAAGTTTCAGAAATGATTTGAAAATACATAAATAAATAAATTGCAAGATTTAAAGGAATGACAAAAAAATAACAGCAATACCATATGCCATTTCTTCACATATACATAGCCCCATACCTTCCCTTCCCCCGGAAGCAATAACGGAGAAAATCAAATCCATACAGATATGCCATAATAGTTTTCTGGCACTTCACTTCCACATTGAAATAGCCGAAAAAATTACCTCGGAAACAAATAGAAACACTTGCAACACTTGTCAACAATTCAAAAACTATAAGTTTTTATTAGTCTCGTCCCCCTATTAAGCATCTCAGCTAAAAACATTGCAGGATAATTGATTTCAGTTAATTGAACCGCGTGATTCTCAACTTACAATCAAAGCAGAAAACCGAAATCACTTAATCACAAATTTGCACAGATAGGAACTCGAAAATGGAGCGCAATATGCTTAGGAAACGTAAAATCCCATTAACAATGGGGAAAGAAAAGGACAAAACAAGTAATTTCAGATCTGAAGATAGCAGCTTATCTTACCGTTACCGAAAGTGGAATCAAAAGGGAAAGGGGCAAGTGACGGAGCTGGTTAGGGTTTCGAAGACGAAAACGAAGACGAAGAGAACGGAGTGAGTTGAATTTTGTATGGTGACACATACTGATTCAAATGCACGAATGATGATGTGATGTCATAGACTAATGATCGGACGGTTGCCGTGAGCCGAGGGGTTATCCTCTCTTGTTTTGTGTGGCCGATTCTATTTTAATTTATTATTGATGTGTATTGTGCACAATTGCCTTGAATTTGGAGTTGGAGGTGCCAAAACGAATTAAAATTAATTTTTTGACGACTTCAGATACATAAATTAATTTGCTAAATTTGATAACTCTTACAGAAATAAATGAATTAAAATAAGTTGGATGAAGTGGAATGGGTTGATTTAGTTTTTTATTTATTTTTTAACTAATTTATAACTTCACGACTAATTATTTTTTTATCTCCTAAAATTTAATATTTTTTAACTATTAGATCAGATCCCAATTAACTGCTCTAAAACAAAAAAATAAAACTTTAAAAGAAATAAAAAATGTAACACTCTTGTTTCACATCCTCATCTCTTACTTGTTCATTTTCTGCTATGTTTTCTCTTCTCATTCTCTCACTTATGTCTTAGTTTAAGCTGGAGGATAAAAAACAATATCTTCGTTGTATTGTATCTTAGAGAACCTCATAGGTTATCAATTCATTTGAGAAAAAAGAAAAAAAAAATGCTCCTTTTTATTTTATTTTCTGTTTTTCAGCTAATCGTTTCATGCTTTGAATAATGATTCGATTCCCTTCGCAACGAGAATCAAAAGTTGAAGTACTGTGAGCACGAGCATGCAAAGTACAAACAGGCCCAGGTAAGTTTACACCAGAAAGAGGAATATAATCGAATATGGTACAGAAATCGAATGTTGCATCTCTATCTGCTGCTGCATATACATACAACCAGTTTTAATTATTGTGTTTCAGAGATGTAACGGTTAAATTGTGTGGGAATATATCTCTTTGGAATATTGAAGCAAACACAAAATAAATTCGGAGAGAATGAAGAATTTGTAGAGAGCTGTTAAAAGCCTCAATATCCGAAATGCATAATGCATGACTCGTGAGCAGTTGTAGAGCTATTTACAACAATCAGTTTGAACATAGAAATGCTCTGATTAATTTTACATGTGGATATTAAAGGAGACTAACACCAATACAAACTAATTAATAAGTTCAACAAGATGTCAGTCTCTCCCAAAGTCGGAGTTACAACGCCTAAACCACCCCACCCGTACTTCTTTCACACATAATTACTTTTCATGGCAGCTTTCCTTTGGGTCCAAGTACTTGTAGCAGGTGTTCTTCTCAAGGCTTTTACTCCAAATGGGTTGTCTTTACTCTGTTGAATGGAACAACAACATTAGCAGCAAAAAAAATAAAAAAACATAAGTCACAATAGAGATTGATGAGAGGATTTATATAGCAAAAACTAATGAAAGAGGATAACTACCAATCGGCAAGTTCCGGCTTGAGTATCACAGACAGGGTAATCAGGAGGGCAACAGCTGGAGCGATCATCACAGTATGTTGCAGACTCAATGGGGCAGCATCCCCATCCAAAGCAGAAGCTTCCATACTCAAAAATGCAGCAACATGTGGTTCCAGTAGAGCAAGAGTAGTACTCATCACATACAGTTGAAGGACTTGTAGGAGTTGGAGGGGAAGGACTAGGTTTTGGGGGGTTCTGACCCTTCTTGATGGGATAAGATGGCTCCATTGCTATCCCACACTTACCAGTCTCGGTTTTTAACACATTCCTCTCCATCTTAATGTAACCATCCTCACCCCATCCTGAACCCCAAGAGTTCCTTACTAACCAATAATCAGTACCATTCTCTGTTCCATATCCAACTACTGCAACACCATGGTCAAGTTCCGTTCCACAGAGGCCGGTAAAAACACCCTGCGTCAACAGCAAGAATCAAACTTCGAAAAATTATATACATTTGAGACAGCAGTCAGATAATGGTAAATGTTTTTTCTATCCTTCCTTCAAGATTGATGCTTTCCTTATATTCTTCAATTTTTATTTGGTTTATAACTTTTGTAGTAGTAAACTTTCTTGTGAATTAAAACTTCCTATTTGAATATTTCCTTTTACATCATGGAATTGGGTCAATTACAACAAATCTCGGTAGTTCTAAGAATTGGGTGACTTTAGTTGGTGCATAATGCGTTAATGCTATGCACATGTAGTCTTCAGTTCCATAATGTACTGTTCGATTATTTTCATCCCTGATCTTTCAATTGTCATGGCAGTTCATAGTTTAGGTAGACTTAAAGGACTAACTACTTCATTTGCTTGCAGGAAACAATCAAAAACCAAATTGTGAGCCTCTATCCCTGGCCTCAAACCCTGGAAATTACTACTCTTGATGAATCAACGTAAGTTTGTATAAAATGTAAAAATGCTACAGTTCTATGTGCTCACAGTCAAGAAGTCAGTCATTTTTAATGGTCTGTAAGCTTAATAAATATTTATCCTGCACATTTTTTCACAAATATATATATATAAACAAATAATGCTAACTGCTCCTTATCTAAAGAAGTTGCCATAGTTGAGTCAAGTTAAAACAAAAAATGCAGGGACAATTCATTGGCGGAGTCATTCACACCATTGGACCCACCGATTCTAATTACTAATTAACACATTTAAATAGTTAATATTAGACAATCTTATCCTACCAAAACAAATAATTGGAACAATAACTTGTACCTAAAATCTACTTACGGTAATATAACTTACCCTTGCATTATCTACGTTAAAATCATTGCGAACATGGGTAAGACAGATACATTACCGATTGATAAAGTTGAAATGCCCTGCCACCAGCTTCAATGGCAACACTAATTGGTTGGTGTGCAACAGCCTTCTTCATGGATTTCTCATCATTTTCCGGGACATCTTCGTATCCATCAATGGAGACTACCCGAGCATTTCTCTGAAGGATAAAAAAAGAAAAAAAGCTTATAATCAGATTAAGATACGTTCATAATGAAATATATATAATTTTAGTTGTCAATTGGATTTGGTTAAATTCTATGGAATAATCTTTTTTTTATTTATTCATTTAAGGACAAACCAATCCAAACACAAAGTTATCTCAAAGAGAAGAGATCAAACGATGGAATAAACGAGACATACTCTGGTAGGATCACATGTATTATCACGAGCACGATAAGGGTAATCTTCTTCTGTATCAATGCCTCCATTTTTTACAATAAAATCGAAAGCATAGTCCATCAAACCACCGTTGCATCCCATGTTATAACCTTTGTCACAATCCACCAACTCTTGTTCTGATAGAGAGATGAGGTCACCCGTTACAATTTGACTGATCCCTTCCACAGCAGCAACAGTAGAGAATGCCCAGCAACTCCCTTCATGAAAAATAGTCAATTCATCTCAATCAGCAAACATAGCTCAGACAAGAATTACATCTCAAATAGAAGATGATTTATCTAAACAAGGAAAGCTATAACCTTTATTAAACAAAAACAAAACAATACACGTGCTAAAGTTCGTTAAGGGATGGAAAATCAATGAATCAAATGAACAATTCATTAAATGAAAAAAAAAAAAAAAAAAATTGTTTGCAATAACATGCTCCATTCCCATCTCCATGCACAACAAAACCAACACAAATTCTATGAACAAAAACTCACCACATTGGCCTTGATCTTTAACAGGAGTAACTGCACCCTTCTCCCTCCAATCTACCATAGCAGGCAATTCCTCGCCATCTTTATAAACATAACGATCACTCTTCTTGGAGCCAGATAGAAGCCCTTGGGATCTGCGCATTCTGGTACCCAAAAACATGGCACGGTACTCCTCATTGGTGAGATCAGCAAACTTGTTGAGACCCAGTTTGAAGGTTGGGTTCCCTGCCCTGTTGTGCTCGTCAATGAATCGTAGGTTATCCTTGAAAATCTCAAACCTACGTTCTTTCTCCCCCAAGGCATTGTAGGCCTTACCATGTTTCACCAGCCACGCCTGATACATGTTCATGAGGTGATTCTCATTCTGGGACTCAAGCTTTGCATCGTAGTCGATGATGGACATGTCTAGGGCGAACCCAAGAGCCAAAAACGATAGAGAAAGCACGAGTGCAATCGAAAGATGCGATCTTTGAAAGAGACCCATGATTGTTTTCTTGAATTGTTATATGGAACTGAATGAAAAGCTAAGGTGGGGTTGGGTGGGGGAGAATATATATATAAAAAAAAAAAAAAGAGAGACACAGAGAGGGAACGCAAATTAGGATTGGTTTGTGGGAGAGGTTATATATGATAAGAAGAAAGGGAACGCGAAGATGGGATTGGTTCAGAAAACAGAAGCTGCGTTGAAATAGGAGTCGCTGTTCTTTCAATGTCTCTCAAACACCATGCGATGGAAAACGCTACTATGGTTGGCTTGGCTCTAACTTTAGGATTTCATTTAACCTCAATTGATTTTGTTTTGACGAGGAAGCTGTACTTCTTATCTTAATAAGCGTTTGGTACAAGAGAAATTTTTATTTGTCCGGGAATCTCAATTTTTAAAAATATGATTTTTGCATTCAGTTTACGATAATATCTGAAAATTTAAAATTTAGAAAAATTCAATTTCCCGGGAATCCCTCAAAATCCCGCGTACCAAACGCCCCCCGGTATTCTTTTGAATCATTTATATTATTTTTTTTTTAATGAAAAATTATTTTCTCATATTATTGTAGATTTTTTTGTCATGTTATGATAATCGAAATTTGTGATTTTTTTTTTTTAACAAGTTGTGGGACATATTACTTATTGTGTATATAATATGAACCATTATTATTTTATATGACATGAAAAAAGAGAAATCTTTTTTAATTATTTAATTTGTGATTTTTTCATTCATATTTTTTTAATACTGTTAAAAAATTAACTAAATATATTTATTCGATCTTTCTTAAAAGAAAACAATAAAGTGATAAAAAAAATAAGACAAAATATTATAAAATTTTATAACACTTAATAAAAGACTAAAGGAAAAATAGTAATAAAAAAACAAATAGAATAAGAAGAAAAATAGAAGAAAAATACTTAAAAATCTTTAGTAGATGGGGTAGCACAAACTAAAAAAAATAAAAATCAGAATAAGATAAACCAAAAAAAAAAATCAAATAATCTAAATAAAAAAGAATAAAATAGACCAAGAACAATAAAAAAATAAAAAATAAAATATTGGAAACTCGTAACTGTGATTTCTTTTTATTCTATTTTTATTTTATTTTATTTTTTATCTTAATTTTTTCTTCTTGTTTTTTGTCTTCAGTATATATAAATATTTTTTTTGTTTTAATTTTAATTTTAGTCTTTTTCTATTACTGTTGTAATTTTAATATATTTGATTTACTTTTTTTGAATAAACAATAGATATCCTCCACGAGAGAGGCAATACTGTTCGGGACAGATCCAGGATTAAAGTTATAAACTCTTTTCAAATATGGTACTGCGGAGGATCAAACAGGTACTCTCATCTCCATCTACTTAGCTTCCATACGCCAACGCAGGTATCATGATTTGGTTTCTTCTTCTTTTTTTGTTCTTATTCTATTTTCTTTTTTTGATTTTGACACATTTGATTTTTTTTTACTATTTTTTCTTTTAATCTTTTATTAAGTGTTCTATATTTTTATAACATTTGGTCTTACTTTTATTTTATCACTTTATTGTTTTTTTCTAAGAAGGATAAAATAGGTGTACTTAATTAATTTTTCAATAGTGTTAAGAAACGGTGTAGATGAAAATAATCATAGGAGATTAAGTAATTAAAAAAGATACAGGGTGTAAATAATTCAAAACAATAACATAGTGGGTTTTTTAACTTTTCCTTTTTTTAATATATGTTTTGTTTTCCTTCTCTGTTTTATTTTTTTTTTTCTAAATAAATTTTGATCCCGTACAAACGTGAAATTCTCATCTTATTTGGACATTGTAAAATGCAACAAAATAAATTAATTACTAACTCAATGTTTGTTAAAATATCCTGGTCATAAACAAATTTTTTATAGATCAATTGAAAATGACAGTTTGATAATACGCACACGCTGCTTACCTATTTCTTCCTACTCGTGTTGACTATAGCTCCTTTTTAATATTTATCACATTCTTCAGACGCAAAAAGTTGTAATTCCATTTTATTTAAAATTTGTGATTGGTCAACGAGAGAGGATACAATTGCTTGAAAATACTTCATTGATATAACCCGTTTTAGAAATCTTCAAAGAAAATGAAGGTATGCCTCAATCTTGGAAAGATAGCCCCATTTAATTTCATCTAAACTTTTATCTACTTTAAAAAGTGTATAACTTCAAAATTGTTAAAAGATGTGTTTGAACTTTGAAATTATAAAATAAAGACATGCGATCGAGTTTACAAGTAGGGATGGCAATGTGAGCTAACCAATTCCGTTTGTCTCTAGCTCATCACAAAGCATATCAACTTGGCACATTTTTAAAGTGAAATAAAAATTCAACTCATTCAATTTTAGTGTGAGCCGACGGATCAATCCGTTATTGGCTCCGTCACCCTTTGTTTTGTTCCTTTTTTTAGTTTGTTGGGTCATGGCTAACTTATGTTTAGCTGCTCTATTTTTAACACACACACAATGCCTTCTTGGTAAAGAACCATTTTGGTGAGGATTTTTTTTTTATGATTTATATTATTCTCTGACACACCTTTTACGAGAACAGTTAGCTCCTAAGGGATTGCTTGGTGCAGGGATCAAACTCTGCCTCAAGCAGTTTCTTGAAAAAAATTTGGGGGCCAGAGGATAAGCCAAAAAATCTTCGGTTGGGGGATTAGTCTCGTCCTTTCTCCGGTTGCGAAGCTTAGTGCACCCACTGTTACAATGAGGGGCTAGCCCAAACGGGCCGTACCCCGAGGGAATGGTACCCGGAAAAGGTTGAATGGGGATACCTCCTGGCAATGTACCAAAAAAAAAAAAAAAAAAGAATCAAATTGGTCAGTTTCTAGTTAATTAGTGGAGAAATAATAATAATAATAATAATAATAATAATAAATTTTGTAAAATAATAATTAAGTTATTGTTTAATAACATTTCGATACATACGTCATACACATTCATGCCCAAGAACTACAGGATTGAAAACACAGCTTTAAATTGCTTATACTGTATGAATAACAATTTATTATTTTGTAAGTTTTACTAAATTTGTGAATTTATATTTTTAAATGGGTCAGTGCATTAAATCAAAGTAAGTACTGCAGCGGGAACAAAAGTATTTTATAACTTTTTAATACTTGTACTATATACTTTTTTAAATAAAAAAATATTCGTCATTTTAAGACATATTTTTATATTATTTTAAGTGAAACTAACATATTTAGATGTTAAGTTCTTGGGTTTTTTACAATTTTTTCTCTACAACACTCTTTTTTTCTCACTCCTTCTAATTTTATGAAGGAAGAAAAATATAAAAAGCCAATAAATATATATATTATATATTAAAATATAATTATTTTATTTAAAATGATAATGACAAACATTTTTTACTTTTTAAAAATGGATCATCATTATTTAAGAAATAGTGATTGGATATTTATATTTTAAAAAAATGAAATAAGTCTACTCCTTAATAATTTATTGAGATTACCTTAACGTTGTTATAAGCAGATAATGACAGAATTATAAATTTTAAAATTATAGTAAAATATTTAAAAACAACACACACACAAAGTACTGCAGCGGTTTGTACTAAAAAGAATGTACTGCAGCGGTAAAAATGGGTTTTATAATTTTTTACAGTTGTGCTTTATATTTTGTAAAAATGGGTCACCATGTATGCTAGGGATATTCGCAATTTGCGTTGGGTCGGTTTTGAAACAACAATTATATGATCTATTTCTTTCAATTTGATCATCTAATCATTTATTTAGTTTAAAATTTTATTTTAAATACAATCCAATCTAATCTAATTTTATTCGATTTGGATTGAATCGATTTTCAATTTTTGAAAAGCCTAAAATTTCAGTCATACAAATCACTAGATGTATCAAAATAAAGTCGTTTAAAAGTTAGAAACCATTGAAAAATTCAAATCTTTAAACTAAAACAAATTTTAAAACTTATAAAGAGTTAAAATAGATTGATAGACAATAAAAAAATTAAACAAAATAATATACTGTCAATAACATTCAAGATTCCAAGTCATCATCTTTAACAAATAATAAACATATAATACTCATAATCAGTTCGAATTAGATTGATTTTCATCAATCAAATCAAAAACTAATTCAACTCAATTAAAATATATATTTTTTCAATTATTAATTTTCCTATTATTAATTAATTCAATTTTTAATTTTTCGATTCGGTGACCACTTTAAAAAAAAAAATGCTGCTATGTTGAAGTCACAATTATCACCCTTGGAAACATATCTTGGCGGTATTATCGAGTGATGAACACCCAAAATATATGCACCCAAACTTTTACCGAGTCATATGCTAGTTTTGAAATTGGAGCTCTCTACAAATCCACATCTCAACTTCCAATTCGCTAACCAAAATGTTGTTGTCAGTAACGAAATATAAATAAAACGGAGGCTATATCTATCAGTAACCAAATAAAAATTTACTCGGTTCGCATCCACAAATTCTAATAATTATCAGCCAAAGAACTATCTGTATTATCAGTTAAACTATATAACATGTTCAAGCCTTTGGTTCAATAGTCTCCGCCAGTATAATAAAGGCGGCACAATTCGTTCAAATAAGGCAACGAAACAAATCAAATGTTTTTCTTTGATATTGTTTATGAAAAAGAAAATATACAGTTTTTGGCAAATTATAAATTATTGTTGCATCTACATCTACTTATTTTTTTTTTCTTTATGAATTACCGAAGAACTGTCTAACATCTGAAGTGCCCTCCAAGAAAGTGAAAACATAACTACCTTCCTCATCACGTATATCATTTTCCTCCAATACAAATTCAACTCACGTGTCCCTGCATTCATTATAGGATTAATAAAGCATAAAAAACAAGCAGTATAGTTAAGGAATATGAAAAAAAAAAAATATAAATCCATGCTTCCGTTAATCTCTGTTACAGTTGTTTTGAAATGTTAGTAAACCAATATTAATTGAGTTATAAAATCTTATTTTTCATTAGCTAAATTTTCTATAATCTAATTTTACCTCATTAGGAATTTGAGGTTTAGAAAAACAACAGAGCTCAGAATAAAGCAATATATATATTATTGCATATGTCACCATTCTTTGCTGTCCTTGAGAAACCTCACTTGATGACTTTCAAGGGTCTCATCATAGCATTGTCTTCATGATCCAATATCTGCAAAAAAAATGGTATGTACCCATGTCACATCACATTATAAGAATAATTTTTTTCTTAAAAATATAGAGAATAATTTATTTATAAATTTTTTTTACAAATATTTATAAATTACATTATGTACCGAAATGTATTTGCCTTGAATGTGTGTTTCTATACATGTCTCATTTATTTTTATTTTCTAAACTTAAATTTCGAATCATTCTTTATTTTATATTCTTATTCAAATGTCTTTTATTAATAATCTCCTAAAAAAATATGAGCAGGCTTTAGTGTTGTTACATGCATAATAAATCTTAATCAAATTTTATTTATTCTGTAAAACTCCTATTTGTGATGCATGTGCTAATATAATGATAAAATATAAAACAGAAATAAGATTAAATAGAAAACCAAAAGAAACATTTTCATTGTATACGTGAACCAAAAGTTTTTGCTTTAGTAGTTAGAAATGATAAGCACTCACATGGCAATGATACACGTAGCCAGGCTTTGCGGTTGCATCAAATCCATACGATGCATTGGTGTGTATGTAAGAAAACCTCACCACAATCTTCGTCACACACCCGGGTCTTACCTTGAACACATTCTTCCACCCTTTCTCATGATCTGGCACCTCTATTTTATTGCCACGTGCATATTTGTCCACGTGGCACTTGATTGCATCGTTAAGTTTCATCATGCATTCCTTGAATTTATCTGTTTTCACCAGCTCTATCTGATCCAATACCTTGAACAAACCCAAATGAATGTGAAGCGGGTGATTATCATCCGTCAAGTTGATCACATACCACACTTCTGTGGACCCCTCCTTCGGCGTTTCTGTAGTCGGTGCTTCATACGGTTTACCATTTAGATACAAGTGGGTTGGCTCATCAGCGTCGCTCGTGTACTCATACATGGCAATGTATCGTGTTTGCGATACACTGGATAAATCTGCAATAGGGTATCCTATCAACCTTTTAGGGATCCGTGACGTGTCAACTTCTCGATCAGGTAGGATTAAGAATTTCATAACCTTGCTGTTAGCCTCATTGACAGGGTCACCAGATGGGTAAGGATACGCTGCATCGTTAGCTAGAATAGCAACGTTGCTCCTTGACTCAGAGAAGTCAACAATGATGACTGTGATCTCAGATGGCCCCACCAGAGTTTCATTGGTCATGACAGGCTTTTCAATGTAAGCAGAATCTGCTGCCACGTGTACGAATCTTAAGCCATTGGTGAAGAAAAACCTAAAGAATCTAGCATTGCTGGCATTGATTATGCGAAATCTATACCTACGACGTCGTACTGTGAGGCGTGGCCATGCTTTGCCGTTCACAATGATAGCATCACCAAAATACTCGGGCTGCCACTGTGGGTGTATGGAAGGATTGTTTCCAGTGGAATTCATGTAGATCGAACCATCCGTGCGAAAGCTACGATCAAACACGATCAACGGTCGATCGAGTTCATCACCGTGCGGTAGTCCAAGTGGGCCCTCGATCGAAGGGTGGCGAATGATGTAGGCCCCAATCAAGCCAGCAAGAAGATTGACTCTAGTCAAACCCATAGCATGGTCGTGGTACCAAAGATTCCCTGGTTGTTGATTATTTACATAGTGATATGTCTTCTTTGTCCAAGTGGGTCCCTTCTTTTTGTATTTAGCGGTGAACCATGAATTTGGGTTTCCATCACTCTCGGGCTCGTGAATCCCACCGTGGAGATGAACCACTGTGGGGACACCCCTCGTGGTGTTGGTCAATGCAGTGGGGATAGTTGGGTCCCACGGAAGTATGTGCTTTGGAGGGAGGTGATTCTGCCACGTCACATAAGTGTCAACACCATAAACGGCCTCAATGGTTGGACCAGGAACTGTTGCCGTGTGACTCGTTAATCCGTAAGCATAAACAGTTGTTGGGGGTAGGTCCCTGTGGAATTTCTGCAAAATGAAAAGACACGTTTTAGATAAACATGATAGCAAAGAAATGTAAAAAGGGTGCACATCTCATTCAATGTCCACATTTATCAAACTAAATAAAATATTTTAAGGGAGCGTTTGGTGGAGGAGAAATTTTTTTTGGTCCGAAAATTTTAATTTTCAAAAATATGATTTTTACATTCAGATTATGATAATATTCAAAAATTTAAAATTTAAAAAAATTCAATTTCCTGAAAATCTTAAAAAAACTAGAGTACCAAACGCGCTAAGATTTATATTTTTCTGCTGTTCTGCAGAGAATATTCTTAACTATTGCTATATATGAAATGTAATAAATTCAGATGAGTATTGTAGAGTGTTGAGCATCATAATTAAGACAATGAAAATTATGTCGGTTATAGTGGATAATGTGTTGTCGTGGCCAGACTGGATGGCACTTTGAGAAGTTCAGAGAACCAAATTCTTTGCGTAATTATCTAATGATCTAATCGTCAGAGCCTGTGGTCCACGAAAAGTCGAAAAATCAATGTCAATTAAAGAACATAAAAAGCTTTAACTTTTGGGCGAGACAGGGAGTCAGACTATAATACTGGGCAATTCCTGGTTTGAAGAAACAATTATGTTATATACACCAACAAGTTAAGTTTTTTTAATGAGTATTCTAACCGTACATTAAAAAGTGGAATTTTTTTTAATAAAGAGGAACTTTTGGGGGGTATCATAAATGTTTCATATTTTATTCAAAATCTTCCACTTTAATTCCTTAATTTATAAATTATTCTTAAAGTACTCGTTAACTAATTTTATAGTTATTGACATGTTATTTTACAATATTATTCATTTTTTTTATTAAGTATCTTTGTGTCCATCACGCCCAATAACTCGAGAGATTTATGCGCCAATAATTACTATACATGCATCATTTCTATTGAATAAAAAATTGGGACCCTGGAAAAATTGGCCATTAGTGAACATCACGATAAGACTAGTGCATCCTTTACAAACTGGGATTGGGTAGGTGGTAAAACCACTGTCACAGTGTCACATGCATATATATGCAGACAGTTTAAGTAAATTTACTGAATAAAAAAGGGTAAAAATTTATAGCATTTGGTGGGAAAGGCAAGGAGAGAAAGAAGAAATTCAAGAAAGAAAACAAATGGCAATTTTTTTTTTATCAAATTTTGTTGCCGTCGATGAGTGTCATTGGTGGACTTACATCTGGATCGTGATCATTGGACAAGATTACGAGAAACACCAGTATAAAAGAAAAATCATTTATGAAAAAAAAAAAAAAAAGCCATTTAAAACTAGTAAAGTTAGATCTACAATAGCAAAATATATTACACCGAGAATTTCAATTTTCATACTATCTTAAACTCTTCAGCTCATAAAAGTATAAGAATAACTTTTATATCTAACAAAATATATCTATTACGCAAAAAGGGCTTCTAGCTTTAAGCTAATCATCGAGTCAAGGACAAGGAGCAACTCATGTAAGCATGATTCTAAGTTCGGTAAGTAAGGTAAGGGATCATTGTTTGGGAATCAGTATGCTCTGCTGAAATCTGAATTGGGAAAACGTATGTGAAAAAGATATTATATATGTAGATTTCTTATTAGAAAGTGTGAAAAGTTGTAAAAACATCTTTGAATTAATTGCTCACTGAAATGAAATAAACTATTAATTTAACCTTCATGTTTATTTGATTAGAAACAATTTTATAATATCAAAACTCAAGTATTACCAACCATCAGTTGATCCACGTCAAATCACATCAAATAATTATCTAGAAGTATCACAATCATACAGTCCCGAAGAAAAGAAAAAATGACAGTAATCTAGAATTATGCAATTGATACGTTAGCTTGAGGACTATTTTAAATTTAATCTAAAAAAAATTCCACTTAAAAATTTTAAAAAGCAATTATGGAAACCAGCAAAGAAAGAATTCGGCATGGCACAGTTCAGAGTTCAGACAAAGGATACAAAATGAACAAAAATATTCACATTCATTAAAACAAGAAGGTTAATTTGAAGAAAAAAAGAGAGAGGCACATACCCATTTCTTCTTGAACATGCCAATATTGAGAGACTTAGATTTGGGGACGCCATTCAAAACCTGGTAGCCTAGGATTCTGGGCATATCAGGAAGTTCATCCACAAACATCTCCAACTTGGATGCATCGACCAGATAATTATCTGAAAACGATGAGGAGGTAACAGCACCTAAAAGAGCTAAAAGAGTGAGTAGTTTAAGGAGGAGTAACTTTATCTCCATGGCTAGCTTCTGTTCTCTGTTCACGGACGTTCACGCAGAGAAATAGACAAATATATATAGAGCTGACAACAAGGGAGAGGGAAAAGGGGTACTTGTAGGACCAAGATTGGTCGATATTGGACTATTGTCTAATGGTGTAGATTCTGCGTTGTGTGTGCAACTATTTAATATTTGGGGCCACGGGTGGGAAATTTCTTCAACACTAGGAAAGTACAACTATTTAATATTTGTAGGAAACTACTAAACTCGGTATTCCTTTCTAGTTTCTATGAATACATATTTTCTCCCACAAATACATATTTTTTTATAATTTCCTTTAAATCTCCAAAAAAAAAAAAATAAGGATGTACCTACATCAGTTATAACAAAGGTTTTCTCCCACAAATAAACTCCATGACAAAAAAAACAAAACAAAAACAAACAAACAAAATCGCCTTTTTTGTTTCCGGGGAAAGAATAATGAGGGGAAGTAAAAAATAAACAGAAAGTAGATGGGAAGGTCATTGTAAGAGATGTTCCTTTATCAGACTTTGATAATGAATGTTCTTTTCCCACTTAGCTTACATATATTCTTTTGCTACTAGCCCTATTTTTTTAGCTTTTTTATTTTAAAAAAAAAACTCTTTCATCAAGTGTTCTCATATATCAAATATATTTTTTGTTTAATTTTTTTTATATGAATTTGAGACACTCCTTATCAATTTTATTTAAGGAAAAATTCACCAATGCTCCTGTGGTTTACTTTAAAATCACTTATGTCTCTGTGATTTTTTTTATCACATATGTTCCTGTGATTTTTTATTTTTACAAAGCACAGGTGCATATGTGATAAAAAAAATCACAAGGACATAGATGATTATGAAATAAATCATAGGGACATTGGTGAATTTTTCTCTTTTATTAATTAATTATTGATTTGTTTTTTTGTTTTTCTTATTTGTTTTTTATAAATAGTTGATAATCTCCTTAGATACATTGCGAGATTTTGGCAATTAAAAACATCTGATTAAAATGTTCACTATTATTGTATCTTTTTAAGGTATATATATGTAATAACTTATACTGAAAGTTATGATTAATTTATAGCGTCATTTGGTATTTTGGTATAATGGAAAATGAAAAAGGTTCTAGTTATTATAATTTTTTTTTACTACGTGTTACTATCAAATCTTAATCGTTAATTTCCGTCAATTTAAAGGTTATAATTTATTGGGTCATATTTATTAATTAATTATTAATTCTAATAAATTATAACCGTTAGATTGATGAAAATCAACAATTAAGATTTGGTAGTAACAAGTGGCTTTTTTATCTTTTTGCCCTTTATTAATTATTTAATAACTATTTTGCCCCTTATTGCAAACTATCTACCAATTTGTCCCTCTTTAATCGATTAAATCAAAAATTTAATCAATTAAATGGTCAAATGAAGATTTAATCGATTAAATCTTCAACTTAATCGATTAAATCTTCCTCTTTATCAGAAGAACAACCTTATGTATGGGAGATTGAGTCGATTAAATAGGGAGATTTAATCGACTGAATCTTCAAGTCAACGATTTTTGCCTATTTTGATCATTTAATCGATTAAATTTTTGATTAAATCGATTAAAGAGGGATAGATTGTAGATAGTTCTGAATAAGGGGCAAAATGGTTATTAAATAATTAATGAGAGGCAAAAGGATGAAAAAAGCCAGTAACAAGTAGTAAGAAAAAAAAGATAATAACTATGTAAAATTATTGGGTAATTTATTAAAGTGAATAACATCTATCATTTTAAAGGATATAAGCTTATATCATTTTAGATCCTAACCGTTAATTTTCGTCCATCAACGGTTATAATTTATTGGATCAAAATTATTAATTAATTAATAATAAATTTGGCCCATTAAATTTGACCCAATAGATTATAACAATTGATGGACAGAAATCAACGGTTAGAATCTAAAATGATATAAATTTATATCTTTTAAAATGATAGATATTTTTCGGCTTTTTGACCCTTTTGCCCCTCATTAATTAATTAATAACCAATTTGCCCCTGATCAAGAACTATCCACCAACCTGCCCCCGTTTAGTCGACTACCTTGCTGTTTTAGTCGAGCAAATGGTCAATCTTCAGAAAGTGGACTACCGCAAATTTAGTCGACTAAAAAATCATCTTAATCGACTACATTTTTGGGATATTTAGTCGACTAAGTATCGATATTTAGTCGACTAAATATCGACGGATTTGTTTTTTAAAAACCCCCCATTCGGCAGAGGGGGAGTAGGATGACCTAATCGACTAAGGATTCGGCCCAAACCCCAAATCCGCAGGAGCAGCTGAAGAACGGTTCAAACCCTTCCTTTAGGCGTGTGGATTGCCCCCAAATTTGGTCCAAATCGTGAAATCTGAAGGATAGGTAAGGTTTCTTAACTTGCATTGTGTTTTAGGTTTAGGAATTTTTTGTATTTGTTTGTTGTCCGAATTTGTGAATTGTGTGAATTTACTAAGGTTTATTTTTTTGCATTGTGTGAATTTTTTGTAGGTTTGTTGTAGGTTTTGTAACCGTAATCTACTAAGGTTTATTTTTTTGCATTGTGTGAATTTTTTTGTTTGAAAAGTTTGTATGGGGCAAAAGTTTGCTTTTGGTTTACAGCGCTTATGTTGCAAGTTTTCATTACCATCATGACATGTTTCATATAGTTAAATGCTGACATGTTTCATTGTAGGTACCCTAAACAAATGACGAGCCGCAGAAGACCAAGCGATGAGGGCAATGAGTCACTTGAGAGACGCACCAAGCATAGGCAAGAGCGGCCTTCTTCGTCAAGGCGACAAGACGAAGAGCCTGATACTGTTGACCTCCCGTATGGGTATCTGTTTGAGGACGACCCTGCCGTCCACGCTTCATTCGTACGTGACCATTTGAACCGGCCGTTATGTGCTCCAAAATCTTTGGATACAGCCTTTTTTGATAAGGAGGGATTTGAAATTGTGGGGGTGTTGGAGGCGGCACATCTGAGGGTGTTGGCCGAGACCCTATGTCCGTATTCAGAGCTTATGGTGCGGGCCTTCTACCATAACCTCAGCTACGTACAGGGCAATCAAGGCGGCACATCTGAGGGTGTTGGCCGAGACCCTATGTCTTGTATGCATGGGTGCAGATGAAGATTGACCACAATCTAATTCAACATATATCTCAATAAAATTTTGAAATTTTCGGTCAACAATTGCATCTATGACACATTCGACATCTTCATCATCACATATATCGTTACCAATGTAGTAAATAGCATCCTTACCAACTGTTGTCTCTACCCTGGCAATCATCCGTTGAACGCATTGGCTGCCTTGCAAACCCAATTTTTGCTGAATTCTCTCCTTTAACTCATTGTATGTAGTGCCCCGTTTGATTATCAACATTTTCGTTTTTCTTCAAATTGAACACCATTGGGGCCTTCATAATGCTTTCCATCATAGTAGATCATTGTCACATACATGTTTGGACTTGTGCTCATCTTCCTCACGAAATTGGGACTTGGGTTCTGAAATTGGGGGTTTGGGTTCGGATTTTGGGGTTTGGAATTGGGCAATGACAATGATTTCACAATATTAGGTCTGTAGAGATTGTGGGATGAAATACAATCGGATTGAGAGGATTACACATGAACAAAGGGAGCTATTTAGGTTTACACAACAACAACAATCGAAATGAGACCGAAAACATGGAAAATATAGGGTTTCAGTCGACATTTAGTCGACTAAATATCGATACTTAGTCGACTAAATATCCCAAAAATGTAGTCGATTAAGATGATTTTTTAGTCGACTAAATTTGCGGTAGTCCACTTTTTGAAGATTGACCATTTGCTCGACTAAAACAGCAAGGTAGTCGACTAAACGGGGGCAGGTTGGTGGATAGTTCTTGATCAGGGGCAAATTGGTTATTAATTAATTAATGAGGGGCAAAAGGGTCAAAAAGCCGATATTTTTCCTTTATTAAATTCGTTTTCCACAAATAGCATATTAGTTCTGGAGAGGGGGAAAGAAATCGTCACGTGACTCGGTTCCTAATATTTCCTAACGTTCATTTAGTTTCTCGGTTAGCATGCCATTAGGGTGTGTTTGATACAGGAGAAAATTTTTGGTGACCGGGAATCATGATTAATGGGAATTCAGTAGAAATTGAGTTTACTTAGAATCTTACGAAAGATGTGTTTGGTTCGCCAAAATATTACCGGGAATACTGGGTAAAAATTATTGATTCCATATTTGGTTTAGAACGAAATATGACTTGGAATATGAGGTTATTTTACAAAAATAACCCCAAACTATTTTTACTTTTGTAATTGATAGATTGGGTCTAGATTTTTATGTGTATTGGGGTATTTTTGTCTCAAAATTTATTGTTGTGCTTTCCCTTTACTTGGTATTCTGATTGGTATTCCGAATTACCATATTATTTTTGGTAATCTGAATAGTGACTTTTCTTTATAAATCAAATTACCGGTAATCCTTGGATATTCGGGAATCGTAATTTATTCCTTCTACCAAACGTGGTAATTACATTTACCAAAGAAGGATTACCGGTAATCTCTCCAAAAACTTGAACCAAACACCCCTTAGAGTAAACAGAATAATTCATGCCACACTTTAAGTTTCTTAATTGACATTTACACTTTTCACATTAATTTTTGTGGTACACATTGCCCATATTCGCAAAGTGGTCGAAACTTCTGGATTAGTTGAAACTACAGTGCAACCACCGATTGAGCGGGCAAACTTGGTGGGTTGATATTGATACAGGTGGCTGAGAAGTGAAGTTGATTACTGGTTGGGTAGACCGAGATTGTCGAAGGAATTGATTCTCTCGTGTTTTGATTATGTAAAATTTTTGTATCTATTTTTTTTATTAATGATAATTAGATTACACTTATTTAATGAATATGAAAAAAATATAAACATAAAAATTTCACATAATCAAATTACATCAAATTTTAACATGAAAGAATCCGTTATCGTTTTACAGACTTGCAATTTGAGAAAAATGACATGACCTATTTAAATTGATTATATGAAAACTTAATCCAACGTATACATTTATTTATGAATTGATATGCATATTATTGATAAACATAAAAGAAAAATTAAAATAACTTGTCTTATTTAACTATTTTTAGGTTATTTTATCATTTAATGATTTTAAATTTCTTTAATTATTTTCTTTTTCTTTTTCTTTTTCTTTTTAACTTGCCATCTTACCCTTATTTATCTACTTATCTAAAATTTTGATTTTCTGTTCTCAACTATGAAACTCGTTTTAATTATATTTTTAATCCAAAAGGGACTAGTCTGCTACTGAAGACAAGAAAAAAGAAAAAAGAAAAAACACTATAGCTCTAATAAAGATTAGCCAACTAACAGAGAACACAATTATGAGATTAGGTATAGTGCTAAATGACTAAAGTTATAAAGAAAATAAAAAAGAAAAAAGAAAAACTTGACCCATTGTTAAGTGTTATAACGTGTTTGGAAAGGCGTTTACAATTTGATTAAATCGGGTGGTTTAAAATTTATGTCAACATATTTGGCAAACTACAATTTTGATGTCCAACCAATGTTGCTTTTGCAGTGAAAAGAAAAAGAAGAAGAAGAGGAATATTATTGACAAAAATGATTTCAAAATTTAATATTATGTTATTATTTATATATCAATATTAATAATTATATATCTAAGTGCATATATATTCATAGGGATAAGATCTTTGACACAAATTTACATTAATTATTGACCGTTGATTTTTGTCAATTTATGGTTATAATTTATTGAGAATTACTAATTAATTAATAATTTTAACTTAATAAATTATAACTATCAAATTAATAAAAAATCAACGATTAAGATTTAATGTCAAATTTAAAAGTTTGATATCAATGTTAAAAGATCCTATCCCATATTCATAATTTAATATTATATTATTATTTTGACAATATTTATATGTCATTATTAATAATTATACATCTATAGAGTAGTGCACTGTAACAACCCGTTTGTGATCGGTAATCATCAATTATGATATTAAGCATAGTTATAATCACAATAGTTCATTTAAAAACATGGTAAAATTATTTCTTTTTAATACCACTTACAAAATCTTTACGTTTATAAAATGTATGTATTCAATATTTTTCAAAAATATGATTGTAACTCAAAATTATTGCAGAACCATAAACACTATTGTTTAACATCATACAATATCCATTTAAAGTTTCTAAGTGGTTCCATAAACCAACGAAGCACAAATACACAATTTGACGTTTTACCAACTTAAGATACATTTAGTTTTCTTAAAACTGCAACTGGACTATTTGTCCATAAATCTCCATCTTTTGATATGTTATTTTACACCCTTGGATCTCCTCATACTTTCACATTCTCAAGAAATTCTTTTAGGATTTCTGATCACCAATAGATTTCGGGTATTTTTAATGTTGTAACTTTCTTGATTCGGTGTAAAAATAAAAAAGTTGCAAATCAAGCTCTTCCTACAATGGTGGTTCGGCCATTACACTTAAAAGAAAGGAAGAAGACAAGCTTTTAAGGCTAATTTCAAGACCAATCAGAAATAGCTATTTTTTTTGACTTTTTATAAAAGTTTCTAAAATTTCTAAATTCAATTTATTTATTAATTTTCTTGAAACCTAAATTAATTTCAAGACTTAGTATTTTCATAAATTCACGTTGCACAATTTTAGTTTAATAATATCACAATACAATGTATTTTCATAATTTCAAGCAATTTTTGCATAATTTCACTTTTGTCCCTATTCACAAACTCACTGTTTTTTTTCAAAAAATCAAAATTTATCAAATAATTATTTCTCTTGGTTCTAAACACTTCTTTCAACATATATCCATTCCTAGAATATTTATATACTTTTTGAGTCTCTCTGTAAAATTATACTGCGGTATTTCATCCGCTAAAAATCACAATATATCAATTTTCCATAAAAAGCCTATATACTTCCAAATTTCATTCTGAATCTAAATTCAACATTATTTTTCGCTAAATAATATTTAATTATACCATTTCATGATTTTAAGGTTCAGTAATCGTCAAATTACCATTTTGTGCTTCGAGAGTATTTTCACCCGAAACTTGGGATTTTCACCAATTAAGTCCTCTAATCCACAATTAAATCATAATAATGCATTTTTAATTATTTGAGGTGTTATATGCACCACCCAAAAAGACCAAAACCCATTGCATTCATTTTCAATGAATAAATAAGTGATTCTTTGCATCATATTATATTTTTTAAAAATTATTTATTTATTTTATTTGGATTCATCTATCATCTACATCAACTAATTTGAGATATAAGGTGTTGTTTGATGTTGATATTGATGTTTCTAGGGGTGTTCATTAACTGATCCAAACCGATTCAGACCGCGGTGATCGAGCCGAAAAATCGAAAATCGAATAAATTGAAAACTGAAAAAAAACCCGCAAATTTTAATTGGATTGGATCGATTTTTGGATGGGTTGATGAAAATCGATTCAATATTGAGTTCGGTATTTATTTAAAAAAAAAAACATAAAATTGTGTCATTTTAAGTAAAAAGATATACAATGAAAATCATGAGAAGAGAAAGTACATTTTTTAATTTAAATTTTAAATAAAAATACTAATTTTAATTAAAATAACTATCATTTAAAAGGATAAATATTTTTTCCTTTTCATATACAAATAAATCATAACTTAAAATAGGGACAATTATATTGTCTACATATTTAATCTTTCTATCTTTACTACTATTAGATTATATTTAAATCAACGGTGATAAATAATTAGTGTAATTAGTTGAGAAAAATAAGTGAGAGATATATAACGAAAAAATATTATTATATTGGAAACCGTTGATTTATATATAATAATAAAATAATAAGAATAAAAAAATTAAATTAATAAACAATATAACCCTCCCTTAAAATATGTATTGCCATTTTAAATACAAATTTATATATGTTTTACCGGATCTATGAAGTGAGAGTGAGTTTAAAATATATTATATTGCCTTATTAATTTTTTTTTTAAAAAAATATTTGGACAATAAAATGGATAAATCTGATCCATTAAAAAAATTAAAAAATTTAGGAATGGGAACTATGGAAGTGGAACATCATTGATAGAAAAAATGGAAAATGTGAGTGGCGACTAGAGAGCAGAAGATTCCGTTTTGTTACCCGCCAACTTGTTCAAAACGTCGTCCTCCATTCCCGGACTTACTTTCTCTCTCTTCCTCCTTTCTCTCTCTATAACTCACACCACAAAAATGTGCAGAGAGCAAAGCACTGAACTCCAAATCCACAATGGCGACCCTCTCAGAGACCTACGCGTGTGTACCCTCCACCGAGCGTGGCCGTGGCATTCTCATCTCCGGCGACCCCAAATCCAACAACATTCTCTACTGCACCGCTCGATCCGTCATCATCCGCAACCTCGACAACCCCCTTCAGGTCTCCGTGTACGGCGAGCACGCCTACCCCGTCACGGTGGCACGCTACTCCCCCAACGGCGAGTGGATCGCCTCCGCCGACGTCTCCGGCACGGTTCGCATCTGGGGGACCCACAACGATTATGTTCTGAAGAACGAGTTCCGGGTCCTCTCGGGTCGGATCGATGACCTTCAGTGGTCCTCCGATTGCTTGAGGATCGTCGCATGTGGAGAAGGCAAGGGCACGTCATTTGTTCGCGCCTTTATGTAACAATCTTTTCTTACTTTTTTCCTCTCTTTTTTATTTTATTTTATTAATCATACTCTAAATTGCACTTTTGTAATTCTATCATTTTTGAATTGAGATGAATTTTGTATAGGATGATCCTGTCACAGTCACTGGAAACTCAATTTTCAATATCGTTATTTTAGTGTGGTGGAAAAGTGGATATTAACAAGTAACAACATTGGCCAGAACCTTTTTATTTTTTAAATATTAAGCACATTTCTTCGTGACATAAGCACTTGCTACACGTGTTGTGAATATGACCATGCCTAGTAGAGTATCCAAACTAATATTATTGTTCTCACAAGACCAAGGAAATAGTATAAAAATTCTTTTCATAACAATTGTTTTTATTATAATTTTATGACTCAACTAGTGATTTTCTCATATTGCATTATTGTTGTGACTCAATTAACGGTGGACTTCACACTTATTTAAAAAGAAAAAGAAAAATTTGCACACAAATCGAAGGATCAAAAATGAGTGTTTTTCCTTGTTTGATGGCAGTTAATTACATTTTCAACTACACTGTGGCATCTATGGTCTATACGACCTAGTCAGGGCTAAAGTTCCATGCATTTCAGAGTATTTAAATTTTATTTCCTATGACCCTGCATGATTTGGAGGGATGTTACTATGTCATTCCCTAACTTTGAAATGATATTAATTTGTTTGAATTTGTGTACATCATTTTCGTTTTTTTTTAGTTATGACTTAATTCGTAAATTATACAAGGATACCAACTAATAATGCTTGAATTTGAATTAGCACGTTGTGAGCTTCGTTCCTCTTTTCTTAGAAGAATTGGCTATTGCATGCATGTGCAAATGTGCTTCCGTCTTTTCAACACCTGACCCCTCTTTGCATCTTTCATATATTTTGCATTTTAAGGTGGGATTCAGGTTCCACTGTTGGTGATTTTGATGGCCATTCGCGGCGGGTTTTAAGTTGTGCGTTCAAACCAACAAGGCCTTTCCGCATTGTCACATGTGGAGAAGATTTTTTAGCCAATTTTTATGATGGTCCACCGTTCAAGTTCAATATGTCCATCAGGTAAGTATTATTATCTGGGGTTGTATATATCTCTCTCTGATTTCATGGTGGATAAATACTTCAATATATTTTTCATTTTGTTTTCCCTTGTCTTCTTTTTTAAGGGGGTAGTGTATTATCATTTTCTATGAAAGGCGTTTCTGTTAGAGTTGGCATCTCTATTTTATTGGTAAAGGTATTAATTATACTTGCTGATTCTTTCTTCTTAGTTTCTCTCTCTCTCTCTCTCTTAAGCACACATACCCACACAAAAATGAATGTATGTCTTTTACTAGGCAGTTGACACATCAAGAAATTATATAAATAGACATGAACTCCACTCATGTCAAGATGAAGGCCAAGAATCAGAGCGGTGTTGTTTCCATTTCATAATTTAGTATATTGCAGGAAATCTTCCTTATCTTTAGGAAGCATGCATTGATGTCAATTCTGTATGATCATAAAACGGAAAGACACTATGGTATGCATGAAGATAACTTCATTGTAGTTTTATATTGTATGACCAAGACTCCAAGAGTATTATACCATGGCGTTACCAAATCTTTACATTTGAAAATAAGATCGAGTTTTAGCATGAAAGAAATGTTTTGGGTTGAGTTGGTTTTCATTTCCTTATTCAGGTTGTCATAGAAGACATTCTGTATATGCAGGGACCATTCGAATTTCATCAACTGTGTTAGATTTTCTCCAGATGGGAGCAAATTTATTACTGTTAGCTCAGATAAGAAAGGTATTATATATGATGGAAAGACAGGGAATAAACTTGGAGAGTTGTCCGCAGAGGATGGTCACAAAGGTAGCATATATGCTGTTAGCTGGAGTCCTGACAGTAAACAGGTGAGCTCCTGCTTGCATTTGAATCTTACCGTTTCAGGTAGACTTCCATGAAGGGGGAGGGGGGGTAGGTACATTACAGCGGTGACTGATGATATTTATATTTTTGAAAGTATAATAACTTATGAGCAAATACAAATCTCATCATGTAAGGAGGAAATTGTTTTGATCTTATGATACGAAGAGGTCTTCAAAGTTGAGAAGTGCTCCCTCTTGGAGCAAGGATTTCATTACTGCCTAAATGGCTTAGTTGCCTTACTGTCATTGCATTCTTGTAGTTGTTCTTATAGTGTAATATTCGGTTACTTGTTACTCATGTAAAGGTGAGGTGGCTAGTTAGTTAGTCTTAGGTGGCATTGTTTGTTACAAACAAGTGGTTGTATAAAGCTAGGACACATGGCTCATATGTGTCTTCATCTGAATAATAAACAAAATTGGTATTCTGTTCGTCGTGTCATTTCTTAAGAGTGTTGCACTCTTAACATTGGTGCTTTCATCTTCTTCTTGAATCTCACGTTGCATATGCGACTTCAAGAGGTAGCGGAGGAAGTAGGTTCCTTTCAGCAACGTATCGATAGCAGTCTAGAGGAGATCCAGCAAAAGTTTTCCGATCATCAAAGTCAGTTTCTGTCTATCAATACCCAATTACAACAGATACATGCAGCCATCGTTGGAGGAGATAATCGAACGGGGGAACAAGTACATGCAAGAGTTCAATCAGGTTCTTCGAGCATTGAGAATGTTGGAGTAGTGCATGCAAGGTACGATCCTAGTGATCCACGAAACATCATGAAGTCCATTAAAATGGAATTACCCTCATTTATGGGTACTGACCCAGTGGGTTGGATCTTCAAAACAGAGATGTATTTCGGTTTGCAACATATTCCAGAGTCCTTGAAGGTTCGTTTGGCTGGTATGAAGATGGAAGGCATGGCAGGACCGTGGTTCCAATGGTTATTCAATGGAGGTACCATTCAATCGTGGGACGATTTGAAGGTTGCTGTGAAACACAGGTTTGGAGGAACTGCTTACACGGATTTGCGTGGAGTTCTATCCAAGCTAATTCAGGAAGGAGCTCTTAATGAGTACATTCGTGACTTTGAAGCCCTGATCAATCAAGTGACTGATTTTTCAGATGAGGTCTTGATGAGTTTTTTCGTTTCTGGTTTACAACCAGATTTGAAAAGAGCAATTCAGCTGCATCGACCAACCTCCTTACACCAAGCTATGCAATTGACTCTTACGTATGAGGCTCACTTTGCTGAGTTAAGAGGTTTTTTTACTGCTTACAGTAATAAGAAGTACTCTCCTAAACCAATTTCTATCGTGGAGCAACAACATTCTTCTTCCAATTCAGTGAAACAGGTACTACCTAACTTACCCTTTCTTCCAGCTTTACCGTCTAATGTTCCATACAAGAGGGTGTCTCAAGAATACTTGCAAAAACGAAGAGATATGGGCCTTTGTTACACTTGTGATGACAAGTGGACTTCCAAACATCGTTGCAAAGCTAAGATGCTTATGTTGGTGGGTGATTGTGATGATGGGGACTTAGATGCAGAGGAGCAAATTGTATGGCAGCCTGATCAAGCTCATCAGGACTCCCAAGATGCAGCTCTTCATTCCATGGAAAATGAACTGAATCCTCGAGCTTTGAAGTTCCAAGTTCTGTTAGGGAAGAGGTTAGTTTCCATCCTCATTGACTCAGGGAGCACTCATAATTTTGTCCAAAGGAGCATTGCTGAAGAATTGAACCTCCATATGGTTAAGATACCCAGGATGAGAGTATTTTTAGGCAATGGAGAATTTCTCACTTGTGACAAGAAGTGCCCAGCAGTCTCTTTGTCTATACAAGGACAAGTTTTTGTGGTGGATTTGTGGGTGATTGAACTTACTAATCTTGGAATCATCTTGGGAATCATCTGGCTGAGTTCCTTAGGCAGGGTAATCCATGATTATAGTGACATGTCCATGGAATTTGTTTGGAATCATAACAGGGTTATTTTATCTGGTGACAATAAAAAAAAGGACACTGCACAGTCAATTGGGGAATGTTCTTATTTAGCAGCAAGTGAACCTGTTACTGAGGCAGATAAAATGCTACCTGACTTGCTGTCATTACAGAACCAAGTGCCTTCTGAGGTGTGGGATATTTTGGTGAAATACCAAGCTGTTTTCAGGTTGCCACAGGGTCTTCCTCCTTCGAGAGAGTGTGACCATGCTATTCATTTAGTTGAAGGAGCACAACCAGTTAGTGTCAAACCTTATAGGTATGCACATCATCAAAAAACAAAAATTGAAAAGCAAGTGGCTGAACTTTTGGCTTCAGGATTCATTAAAGCAAGTCACAGCCCCTTTTCTTCACCTGTTTTATTGGTAAGGAAGCAAGACAACTCTTGGAGATTATGCATTGATTATAGAGCACTCAACAACATCACTGTCAAGGACCGATTCCCAATCCCCACAATTGATGAGCTATTGGATGAATTGAAAGGTGCTGAATTCTTTTCCAAATTGGATTTAAGGAGTGGTTATCACCAAATTCGATTGATTCCCCATGATACTCCTAAAACAGCATTTAGAACCCATGAAGGACATTATGAGTTCTTGGTGCTCCTTTTTGGATTAACCAATGCACCATCTACTTTCCAATCAGCCATGAATCAAATGTTCAAGCCATATTTGAGGAAGTTCATCATAGTTTTCTTTGATGACATCCTGATTTATAGTCCTTCTCTTCGGGATCATTTAGGGCATTTACAAGTTTCTATGGAATGTTTACAACAAAACCAGTTTATGGTTAAGCTGAGCAAATGTGCATTTGCTTTATCTGAGATTGATTATTTGGGGCACATAGTGTCTAAATGGGGAGTGAAGGCTGACCCTAAGAAAATTTCAGCTATGTTACAATGGCCACAACCAAGGACTGTTAAGCAGCTTAGAGGATTTATTGGCCTCACTGGATATTATAGGAGGTTTATCAAGCATTATGCAGCCTTGGCAGCCCCACTCACTGATCTGTTGAAGGCTGATTCATTTGCTTGGAATGAGTGTGCTAATGAAGCTTTCATTTTCTTAAAACAAGCTATGACTTTCACTCCCATTTTGGCATTGCCTGATTTTTCCTTGCCATTTATCATTGAGACAGATGCTTCGGCAACAGGTATTGGAGCAGTTTTACTCCAATTGAACAAGCCAATTGCTTACTTTAGCAAAAAGCTTGGGGTAAGAATGAGATTAGCTTCCAACTATGTAAGGGAGCTGTATGCAGTGACTGAAGCTGTGAAGAAGTGGAGACACTATTTGTTGGGGTCCAAGTTTGTAATCAAAAATGATCATAGAAGCTTGAAGGAGTTGCTTTCTCAAACCATTCAAACTTTGGAACAACAAAAAAACATGTGTAAGTTGATGGGATGTGACTTCACAATCGAATACAAGCCAGGAGCTTCTAATATTGTAGCTGATTCCTTAACTAGAAGGGATGAGGAGGAGGACAATACAGGTAACATCTTATCCCTTTTGTCTTAGGTCACTTTTGATGTTGTCAATCAAATTAAGGAGGAGAATGTTTCTGATATTGAGTTATTAGAAATACACTCGAAAATCAGAAATGGAAATCACAATGATCCTAATATTACAGTAAGAGAAGGTATCTTGTATCATAAACATAGATTTTTGTTGAGATCCAAATCTCAAATCTGTCAATTGTTAATTAATGAGGCTCATGCTACACCTCTTGGGGGACATGCTGGTATCACTAGAACCTTTTTGAGATTGTCTGCATCCTTTCATTGGTCCAGTATGAGAAAAGATGTTACTATACAATGTGCAGTTTGCCAAGTTATTAAAACAGCTACCACACCTCCATTGGGATTGTTACAACCTCTTTCCATACCAGAAGGAGTGTTTGAGGATTTAAGCATGGACTTTATTACAGGGTTGCCACTCTCTAAGGGATTTTCAGTGATTTTAGTTGTGGTGGATCGGTTAACTAAGTTTTCACATTTTGGAGCCTTGGCTAATCCTTATACAGCAGCTAAAGTGGCTACATTATTCTGTGATATTGTAGTGAAACTTCATGGATTTCCTAAAACTATAGTTTCGGACAGGGACAGCATTTTTATCAGTCAATTCTGGTCATTACTCTTCAAGAATAGTGGTACAACTCTAAGAACTAGTACTTCATATCACCCCCAATCTGATGGGCAAACAGAGGTCACAAACAGATACTTGGAGCAGTATATTCGAGCCTTCTGCCATGATGAGAATCATAGATGGTCTTTCTATCTGAGTTGGGCAGAATTGCACTATAACACTGTTGTGCATTCTTCTATTGGCATCACTCCTTTCCAGGCCTTATATGGGAAGCTTCCAACCATGATTCCTCACTATCCTCAAGGATCAGTTCGGGTGGAGGCAGTAGATGTCACACTGTCACATAGGAATGAGTTGTTGACTAACTTGAAGAAGCATTTACAAGGAGCTCAAAACAGAATGAAGATCCAAGTTGATAGACATCGAAAGGATATTGTTCTGAAGGTTGGTGATTTGGTTTTGGTTAAACTGCAGCCATATAGACAGATTTCTTTGGCTAAAAGAAGTAACCAGAAATTGGCCAAGAGGTAGTTTGGATCTTTTCCTATTACTCGAGTGTTGAGTCCAGTTTCATACCAATTGCAACTACCAGATGGTTGCAAGATTCATCCTTCCTTTCACGTTTTTGTTTTGAAACCTTTTCTGGAGATCATAAGGACCTAGTCCCAACTTTTCCTATACTCATTCATAACAACTTACCAGTGCAGCAACCATTAGCTGTTTTGATGTCTAGGACTGTCAGCACCAAGACTGGACAGCAGCGACAATGGCTGGTTCAATGGTCTGATGCCTTACCCGAAGATGCTACTTGGGAAGAGGAATCAGAATTAAAACAGCTTTATCCAGGATTGAACCTTGAGGACAAGGTTCCTTTACAAGCAGAGGCGAATGATACGAAGAGGTCTTCAAGGTTGAGAAGTGCTTCCTCTTGGAGCAAGGATTTCATTACTGCCTAAAAGGCTTAGTTGCCTTACTGTCATTGCATTCTTGTAGTTGTTCTTATAGTGTAATATTCGGTTACTTGTTACTCATGTAAAGGTGAGATGGCTAGTTAGTTAGTCTTAGGTGGCATTGTTTGTTACAAACAAGTGGTTGTATAAAGCTAGGACACATGGCTCATATGTGTCTTCATCTGAATAATAAACAAAATTGGTATTCTGTTCTTCGTGTCATTTCTTAAGAGTGTTGCACTCTTAACATCTTACTTGTGCGCTTTTCGATGTTCAGGGCTGCTATTTTCATTCTTGTTTAAATTACATATCAATCAATTCCAGGTTCTTACGGTGTCTGCTGACAAATCTGCGAAAGTATGGAATATTCTTGAGGACGGTAGTGGAACAGTAAATAAGACTTTGGCATGTACTGAATCTGGGGGTGTGGAAGACATGCTTGTTGGTTGTCTTTGGCAGAATGATCATCTGCTTACTGTCTCTCTTGGTGGCGCGATTAATTTATATTCTGCTAAGGATTTAGATAAAAGCCCATTGTCATTATCTGGTCACATGAAGAATGTCACCGTTTTGACTCTGCTCAACCGAAGTGAAAAGATGCTTTTGTCCAGCAGCTATGATGGAGTGATCATTAGATGGATTCCAGGCATTGGGTACAGTGGTAAGTTTGAGAGTAAACAATTTGGATTTATCCACTTATTAGCAGCTGGCGAAGAAGAAGTCATTACTGCTGGGTTTGACAACAAGGTAACTGATAAATTTGCATGCATAAAAAATAACATGTAGATACATCTTCTGTCCATCTGTTTCGTCATTGATGCCCATATAAAAGACTGAAGCTTCACTTCTAATTTCACTGTGATTGCTGAATTATTTTTAGATGTGGTAAATATTTCTGATTGCATTTGAATTACATTTGGTAATAGCCAAACCTGGAATCTGTTATTTTTATGTATCATCCTGAAAGTACATGCAAAATCAATTACGTTGGTTCCGGTATTAGAGGTTGAACTTGTTTATATCTGATGTGAATCTAGGTCTAGGCCTCTGATTTTTGCAACTGTTATAATGGTGTTTAATGAATATTTGTGAAGCAATGCTCACTAGTGCATTTCACTGCAGGTTCAACATGAATTAGATGTAGTCTTCAATCATTATTACCAAATCATAATTTTGACTTCCAAATTGGAATTAAAAGAAGTTTTGTTCTTCTTAAATAGCTGTTAGAAGTCCATTTCTTTTTTGAAATGGGAATTTATAAGATGGAGATATTTCAAAATATGTGACTATTATTTTCGGATCAAGTTTTTTAAACACAGTTCTGAATGCTGAATTGTTTCTTAATGCTTCTTGTTTTGCTTTCTTTGATGTTTTAAACTACTGTTTGGATCATACATCCACAGTCAGGACATCTTTCAAATGAATTCTTTACTCAACGCCGAGCTATTACTCAATCTAAAGGAACTTCCCGCATATTGTGCATATTCCTTTGACGTTTAGAAACAATTATTATGTCTTTCTATCTCACAATAAATCTATGCATGTGGAGAAAATTTGATACTCTCAAAGAACAGTAGCAGTTTAAACTATCACCATTTTTGCACAATTGTTTTGTTGAAAGATTCGAGACACCTATACATTTTTTTTTATTTTTTTTTTTGGTACAGAAGACACCTATACATTACATGCGATACACTACAATATGTTTAACTTTGTCAAAAAAATAAATAAATGAGAGTCTAATTTTTATAAATTAGAAGTTGTCCTATACAATGCATTCAATTTATGGATTTTAATACTATAGTTAAAGAATATATAGATTTAATGGAGTGGGATATAGATTGGCGGACAGTATGTCTTAGAACGGAATGGAGAAAAGCTATAAGTATGGTGGAGGGTTAGACCCGTTGTTATTCCTATGTTCCAGATGGTCCCTTTTTAGTCCTTTTCTCCCACTTCTTCTTGTCCCTTTCTTTTTTACTTTTATTTATTTATATATACATATATTGTTATTTTATTTTATCTTATTTTATATTTTTATTTTATTTGTTAATTTTTATTTATTTATTTATTTATTTTTTTTATTTTTTATTTTTTAAACTTTTTTCAACCGTTTTGTATCTTTCATGTGGGTTCATCTACCACCGACCCCAATTAATTTGGGATAAAGGTGTTGTTGATGTTGATGTTGATGTTGAGTTAAAGAATATATATACATGTAACCAAAATACGCACACTAATGATTAGAAGTAGTCGAGATCTTCAAGGAGTTCCGTGACTACAATAAATGGTAAGAACTAAAAGAAGATATTAATAATTCTGGTGTTAACAAATATTCAAATGCTAACTGTAAAATTCATCTTTTTACTGTTATTTCCTTGATCTTTTACTTACAAGTAGTTGAAGTAAACTTGTTGATTTCTTGATTTTATAATTTAATCCGTCGAGGAGCAAATTATTATTGGGCTGTCAATCTTGTCACAAGTCAATTGTTTGTATAGTTATTTCTTTTACTTCTTCATAAGCATTAATGAAAGTTGAGCTTTCTTTTCATTCTAAACACTGATGATTATTACCTTGAATTGACAGTATTTAAATTTGAATGTATTAAATGAAGGTATACAGAGTTCCTCTTGATGGGGATAATTTTGGTCCTGCTCAGCATGTTGATGTTGGAAGTCAACCTAAGGATTTGAGCCTTGCACTAAATTCCCCTAAACTTGCTCTCATTGCAATTGAATCTGGGATTGTCTTACTTAACGGTTCAAACATTGTCTCTACTATAAACCTGGGCTTTGTTGTGACTGCATCTGCTATTTCACCTGATGGTAGTGAAGCAATTGTAGGTGGGCAAGATGGTAAGTTGCACGTATATTCTGTCTCAGGAGATACACTTACAGAACAGATCGTCCTTGAGAAGCACCGAGGTGCCATCAGTGTAATCAGATATTCTCCAGACGTTTCCATGTTTGCTTCAGCTGATTTGAATCGTGAAGCTGTTGTGTGGGACCGTGATTCCAAAGAGGTAACTTGAGCCCGAAATGATTGTTACATGAAGTTCAAGTGTTTCATGCCTGAATATTTTGGTTTGTCCTATACCAATATTTCCTATTTGAAATAAGATATATCTGTTTTTCTCTTCTTGATTGTAGTATTCTTGCTTGAGCCATCATGATGTGTGCGTCTAATTTTCAAGTATGTTAGCAACTTAGCTTTATGATTTTGTTCTAACTTGCTTACATAATGAGCGAATTCATTTGGGTGGCCACAATTCTTTATTTATTTAAGGGGGGATTGCAATAACTTCCACCAAGCTATGGCCAAATATCAAAAACCTTCCCCCTAGTTTTGAATATTACATGCGGCTTTCTTACTGATTATAACCATATTATAGAAACCTACCTCCCCTTTCGTCAAAAAGCATTAATTTTACTATATAGGCGTATCTTGAAACTTAATGTTCCCAATTTTGAGGATATAGGAGACATTATGAGGGGCATTACATTTCTAACCTTCCTTGTAAAGGTGGCACTTACACTTCCACTTGCTCGGGGGAAGGGTGATATGTGTTTTTAAATAAACTCTGATGAAAAGAAATAGATAAGGGAAAGACGCTGTATATTTCCCCCTTTTCTTATAGGTTAGCTTAATCTATAACATCACAAAAGTGCTATACCCATTTCTGACCTTTGTTGACAAGGCTTGATAAATAGACCATGTTACATGTGAGGAATGGTGGTATTCAGTGTTGTTAATGCTAAGTTACATATACCAGAAATCCATATATATGTAAGGGACATAATTTATTGTTGTGAGGATAATTGCAAGAAAGTTTAGCGTTTAAATGTTGACTATTTACGTAAGGGACACGCCGGATATGTCTAAACACACAATTAAAGATCTCTTACAAGACAGGTTTTTAATAACAGTGCTTCATCCCCTACAAAAACACAACAGAATTTGAGTTGTCAACTTGTTTTACATCGTGTTGGAAATGAATCCATCACAAAGTGTCCAACATAGACACGGATTATTTCTTCAAGTTCATGTACTTCATAGATGATAGTTGCTGAAATTCTTAGCTATTTTGACTGAGAATAAATTCTTCCTTTCTTGAGCGGGCATTTGACTGAAAATTTTCTCTTTCAGGTGAAGCTTAATAACATGTTGTTTAACACAGCACGTATTAATTGCCTGGCTTGGTCACCTGATAGCAGCCTGGTAGCTACCGGTTCACTTGATACATGTGTCATTATATATGAAATTGGAAAGCCAGCATCAAGCCGCAGAACCATAAAAGGTGCTCATTTAGGTGGAGTTTATGGTTTGACTTTTATTGATCAGGAAAGAGTGGTCAGTTCAGGAGAGGATGGTTGTGTTCGTGTTTGGAGTTTAATCTCAGAATAAACTTAGCATCAGAATCTCCCATTGGATGATGTAGTTTTGTGATAAGAAATTGATAGTTGTGCTGTATCATATGATGATCTTCAATGTTCTGCAATGGTTATGTAGGGGGAAAGAAAGTCAAGACTACAGTAGTTTTCTGTTGTCAACTCTTGATAGGTTTTTCATAGTACCGATAATCTTGATACTTTATCCGAGCTGGATTTAGATCTGCAGTGGTGGGGAAGTCTTAGTTATTTCCAAAGAAATTGGCAATAACTTGTCTTTGTCTAAGCAAAATATCAATGCAAGTAATGAAATAGCAATTTTGGTCCCTTTATTTTGCCCATCCAAGTAATTTACTCCATTTAGTTTCAATTAGGTCCATTAGGTCAATCTTTGTTCCTCTAGGCAGTTGATTATAGAGCAATTAAGTGCAATTCCTAACCTCTGCTATTTACTTAATGAAGAAGCATGGATTGTGACTGAGTCCACTCTGTATTAGTGGGGTTAGTAAAGGATTTCACCTGATAAAATAAAGTGTCAAAAATTTTCTTGTAAAGGGGAATGAGTTTATGTTGCTGGAGAAATCATTCTCCTCTTGCACTCAGATTGAAAATTCCGCCTCTTATTTTTTTTAAACAGTGGGCCTCATATATTTTGTCTCTGCAACATGAGATAATATGTCTCATGGAATAAGAGATTTGTATTTTCCTATAAAAAAACTCTTAACCATTGAGATAATATGTCTCGTGCAATAGGAGATTTGTTTTCCTTATAGAAAAACTCTTAACCATTGTACTTAATTTCTATAATAAAAACAGAGGCATATGCACTCAAAAAACTCACACTAGAGGGACCAAATTCCTAGATAAACAAGAAAGGATAATGGTTCCGAAGATTTTTTTCTCCCGATGACACAACAAACAGATGGGTTCCACATGTTTTTAGTGGGTCTCAACTACTGCTTGTGTTAGCAGGAAAAAGAAAATCTTCTTCGTGCCAAGAAGAAATCATTAACCCAAACAAAAATAGAGGGACAAAAGTTGAAATCAAGCGTAAATACTGAGTAGGGGAAAGCACGGGAATGAACGTAGCAAAGCCACAATTGCCTGCATCAAGGCACAAAATCCTAGAAGATATCTAGTTTCAATCTTGACTTCACAAAAACAAATAAGTTAAAAGATGGTCTTTTTTATACCAAAAAAAAACAAAAGAGAATATAGTTTATCATGTTGCATGAAATAAAATTGTTTCGTACACATGCACACACAAAAAAAAAATATGTGTAATCTATTAAGGATAAGAGAGAGAAATAAAATAAGTGAATTCAACCCACTTTATTGGATGTATATGAGATAATTTTGTCTCATTCAATATTAGAAACTATATTAAAAAAAACATATGATTTTTGGTGATCGGTGAAGAGAAAAGAGGAAAAGAGATTGTAAACTTTCGTATTAAATATGAGTAAAGGAACAATAAATATTGTTTTTGAATGATTCTTGGCATTTTAGTTGACTTCATCAACCTTGTCTTTCGTATTCAGCTGCCATGTCATCCAGCATGTGATGGGAGCATATCATTTGCTACATACTATGAAAGATGTGCTATCATTTAAATAATGTTTTATCTTGGCTGAGTCCTGTGGCAATGCTTCAAAACCAGAATGCAGAAACTATAGTAGAGGATTAGTACATGGAAATTAGCCACGTATGCTGTCGTCTTATCTTTGTTTCTTCACTCTGTTTTCTTCATAAGCCAATGAAATGGCTTGATAAGTTTCCATCAGTCTTGTAATTTACTAAGAGAGCTGCAGAAAATATATTATAGACAATTAGACAAGCATTGTTATGATGTAGAGGTGAATTTCATTTTGGTTTATTTACTGTAGCTATTTGGTGTCTTATTCGGATAAGGATCTTTCTTTGGCGTCGCAAGTGGCATCCATGCCACAAGCTCGTGGCATGTATCTGCACTTCTCAACTTTCAATGTAAAATACTCATCTAAACGGTTAAGATGATTTGAAGGAAAACTGGAACTCTTAGAGCGTGTTTGGATTGGATTCTAAAAAAAGTTACTTTTATACTCTGCTTATTTTAAAAGTGCTTTTTATAAAAGTTAAAACTATTTAAATTTTTTATAAAAATTATTTTTTGAAAAAAAAAATTGGTTTTTAACTTTTGCTTTTTTGAGAAGCTAAAATTTTTAGCTTTTGAGAAAAGGAGATTTTTGGCTTTTTTATGACTTTTGCTTTTTTTAAAAGTAGCATCCAAATGCACTTAAAAAAAAGTTCTTTTTTTGGGAAGAAAAAATAATTTCTGACTGAAAAAAAGCTCATCCAAAAGGGCCCAATCTAGCATACCCCTCTTTGTTTTTTTTTAGTTTGATTTCTGAAATCTTTTGAATTTTGAGTGGTAAATGTTTTATTTTATTTTTTATTACACATGCCAGAAAGGAAAATAGATAAATGCAGAATTTGTTTCCAAATCGTTATGATAATTGCACGAAATTTATAAGTTGAAGGCACATTTTCAAGATACTGACTGACTGACCCCAATAAATATATATATATGGGTTAGGATTATTTTACACCAGTGTAAGTTACACTCTTAATCTTATCCGTTAATCACATTTATATCTAAGGGCTCAAATTTTTTAGTAATGTGAGTCATTGGATACAAGTGGATCAATGATCAAGATTGAGTGTAAGACTTCTAACTCTTACACCAGTGTAAGAATATTCTGCCCCTATATATATATATATATATATTAAAATGAGCTCACTTTAAAATATTCCAAAATCTACAAAGTTAATTTTTCTCTAAGTTTTACTTTCCTTTTAACGAAAAGATCATATAAAAATATAGGAAAATGTTATATTTATAAGTTTTTTTTTACAAATTACACTAAGTATGACCAATCATACTTCAATCAAGAGTATATAACCGATCATATTTAATATAATTTATATAAAAAAATTATAAACGGATTTTTCTCAAAAAAAACATATTAAAACACACTGTCAATCTATTACGTTGTCACATTCCCAGAACGCAATTTTCTCTTTTTAAAGCACCTATCTTCGAAAACACGTATTCTCTCTCTCTCTCCTCTGTCCTTTAAGTCAATTATAGGTTTTTTTGTGTAATATCATTTTGAAAGACATTTTCAGCTGGATCACTGTTCGATATTTATCATTTTCGCTGGCTCAAATCTCTGTAATGTGAGTTAAGTAACAATGCACTCTTCTTAATTGAGAGTGATTCCTCTCTTATTAAAAAATGACTGCGTAGAGGAAAGATAGAGCAAAAATAAATAAATTTATATGATGCATGCGTGGTCATTTATGAAGTAGTTTGCGTAGTTGATATATTAATTAGCCGGACTACCAATAAATAAGCATAAGGATTTGAATAAGGTAGGTATTTTATCTATATGACAATATTCAAATGTTTGGAGGTTATGAACAGTTCTGCCGAGAATGGAAAAAGTGTATTCTTCCCATGACATTATTGTCCTTCGGCTCCTGAATAAGGCTTGAATAGTAAAAAATAAATAAGGGTATGTGAGTGTGTGTTTGACTGTCTGTGAGCCTCTATCTACTCGACTTTATACCTGTTAAGTTGAATTTGCTGGCAACCACATTTGTAGACATAACATTCTATTCATTATTTATTGCTCCTAGATTCTGTTTGTCTTGGCGCTTGTGTTTTGCTTACAAGACAAGATGGCCCTTGTGCCCTTTGTCCCTTTTAGTTTTTTTTTTTTTTCCAATAATAATTATACTCATCACATCATAATGAGATTTAAGTGTTTGTAATATGTTTCGATAAAGATTAGAAAAGAAAAAGGTTTCGTTTTTAAATTAAGAAATTTCATATTTATAAAACATATGTAAGAGTATTCATAATTATTACGGACCTATATAAAGCTCATATATCTAAAAGTCCAACAAACACCAATTGCAAGAAGATATTTGAGCTTATGAATAGATGACCCATAATTCATATATCCACGGGTAAAACTCTATAAATAAAGGGTTTTATAAGAGTTATGTTGTAGAAAAAGTGATTGTGTAATGTTATAGAGATTCGTTTTGCGTGCCTTAATTTTTTATTTATTTTTTTGTTTTAAAAAGTGTGGGCCCCACAAAATGTTGTGAGTGTAGGAAAGTTTGTTGTGTTATGTTAAAGGATAAAACGAAAACCCATAAATAAAAGGTAAAACTATGACCTAATATCTCTCGAACATATATACTGTCACTGTGCAGCCCCTTTGGCTAATGTCGTTATCAGTTGTGTACAGTGATCTGTCATCTCATGGTATTTACTATATAGATACCTTAAAAAAGGAACTCGATCCAATATCGATCTATTAGCTTTGGACTAGACATCTTTATCATCTAGAATGAACAATAATGAAGGTATTAAACGCTCAATGATCATCTTAAAAGTTACACAGCCTTCATTTCTTTGCCTTTTTATATACGCAGTTTGCTCCAAAGACGCACACATAATTTAAAAGGTACTTTCACAAAGATAATTATAGGTGAATGTTATTTTAATTTATGAATATGAATAAAACTGCTTATTTTTCATTTAGATGAATGGCTATCTCCTTCGAAAAAAGTTTAAACTTAAAAACATAATCAATTTTCCCTTAGAATTGATGAGAACGAGGTATATAAATGAAAGCATAGGCCATAGGGAGTGCTAAAAAGTAGCAGTTCTAAATAGTCTGCTTCAACCTTTCTGAGTTCCTTTTCCTTATTAGAAAAAGCCTACAATGTTCAGTTTTTAAATTTCTCTTTGGATAAGAACCATAAACATAGTGCATGTGCTTTGTGACAACTATAATATACTGGCTGGCGGGGCTATCAGCATCATATGTGTATAATTAGCATACTAGTACATATATTATATATCACCAGCTTCAAGTTGCAATGTGGTCCTGTCGGTTACAGCACTGCAGGAATACACACGTGACATACGCGTGCGTATCCACCTAACCTGCATAATAATACAATATTCACAGCGATGCACATTGTCAACCCAACTGTTCCTAGACACACAGAGTCATCATGTCTCTGTGCACAGAAAACAGCAACTTGTGTCACCTTCTCTATTTCGAGAATGTCCTATATCCAATATAAATAACAGGACACCCATCCATTATGTCCCTCAAACCCTAAAAGTTAGGTTTGAATAATATATATATTTTCTTAGATGCATGATACTTTATTCAGCCAGAAAAAAGTTAGGAAATAGGATTAATACATAAATCATATACTACTACACACATGAAGCCAGTTATGAGACAGAAGAACAAACAAAGACATTTTTTTTAAAACAAAGGCATACATCATCTCAACCACTACACAGTACACTGATATGATTCACTCACACACCCATCCCTAACACATTCATCTTCCCCCACCAAATTACAGTCAAACGCTATACTAGCTTGGTAAATGGGACTACTTTTAAGGTCAAACCAACATGCTTTGTTCCTTTCTTGCTTTTTTTTTTTTCACATTTTAGCTCTACAATCTATTGTTACATTATAGAACAGCTGCTGCTAGTATTGTCATCACTGAACATGTGTGCAGCAGAGTGATCATCCCCGGGATAACTAGGGTAGGCGTAAGAGTAATTTGCAGGGCTATAGTTATGACTGTGGTAATAGCCAGTATTAGGAGGAATAAAAGGGGACCTGTGATACATCATCTGGGGTTGTTGTTGCTGCATGGCTTGCCTTGCCTGCATGTTCATGTTCATCATATATGGTGATGGGGATGGATGGTTGTTGAAGCCATTCATGTTCATTGGCATAGATGATGGATATTGGCCTGTAGCAAAACCACCATTTGATGATCCAGGAATCATATTGTTGGACTGAACAGGAAAACCTCCGAAACCATTGGAATTTCCCCCAAGAACAGTAGCACTACCTACATTAGCACCATTCCCATTAAACCCAGCTAAACTCATCATAGCTCCAATGTCATTTGCCCTTTTGGCTTCTCCAAGATTGAGGGTTTCACCACCCAAGTGGGCATTGTTCAATTTCAAAGCTGCTAAGGTTTTCTGATCAAGCCCACCAGGGATGTCCTTCATTCCCATATTCTGATTTGGGCCTCCTTTCTTGCCACCATTGGCATTGCCAGCATTGTTGTTCATCTTACCATTGTTGGAAACTGCAGAAATGGCTCCAATACCTTTTTTCACATTATTTGCCTCAGCAGCTGCTTGCTGCCTGAGCAAGTGCAGTTGATTGGCTTTCTCCCTGATGAACCGCATCTCTTCATCTTCATCATCTTCGTCATCATCATAGTCGTAGTAGTCATCATCCTCTTCAGAACTAACAGCAGGAAATTTCTGCTGATTTTTGAAAGCCTCAAGCCCCTTCACCAGTCCTTGCTTTTGCCCTTTGTTCTTGTCATCTTTGGCACTGTTGTTCTTCTGCTTTTGGTTCTGATTTGATTTCTGAGACCAGAGCTCAGCATATTTACCAGCTCTGACCAGTTTCTTGATCAAAGTTGCAGAATCCACACTACCTGAAACTGTTACTTTCTGCTGTTCTGCATCTATTTGAACTTGGTAAACACCTAAAGAACAAGTGACCAAAAATATCAACTCCAAGCATGGCAATAAATTAATAGATAAACTCGAGAATCTTATATCCACCTTCCAGGAAGTAGAAATATGTTATGCTTCCCACTTCAAAGAGCACTCCAAAGTGATATTTTCTTCCATGGGGAAAATTACTTGGAAGCCTAATTGTTGTTGTTATATCTCTTATCTGACAAAGTCTCCTCAATATTTTTTATGAATTACTTCACATTATCCATATGGTACATTAGAAGTCAAACAAGGACATTTATTAAGAAAACTGCTACAAGTTCCAAATACCAAACTAAAAGCCTAACTTCCCATTCATGCGCTCTGTCTGCTTAAAGAAGCAAATCAGTTCTGAATAGGCAATATAGTTTTTTTTAATTTTTTTCATTCAACTCCCATAACTTACGAAAGGAAACCTTTTTAATGTGAGTAAATAATGTTACCACACTAAATTTGAGTATGATTCTTATATCATGAATGTACTATACTTTGATTTCCATCTAAGAAAAATTTACCCAATCTTTTCTCTTCCGTACATTTACTCCTCATGAAAACATGGCAAGGTAAAGATAATGTAGACAAGAATGAGTATAATGAGAGCAAAGTGAGTGAATAGTGAGGACAAGACAGGAAATGGTAAACGAGAGATATGAAAAGAAAGTGAGGACCTTCAATTCTCTGAAGGAGTTTCTTCACTTTCTGCTTACACCCATCACAGTGAATGTTCACTTTGAGAACACAAGTCTGTAAGATGAAAATGAGAAGAAACAAAGCAAACAACAAAAGAAAACAGAAAGATTCTTCAGGAAAAGACCAATACCCAACTTTGCTGTGTTCAAAGAAAACAAAATTAAAATAAAACCATAAACGAAAAGAAAGGTTCTTAAAAGACAGAAAGCAGCATGTGATGGATGGATAAGGGTAGAAAGACCTGGATTTTAAGGAGCTTAAAGTCTTCTTCTTTAGTCATTTCTTCAGTGCTGTTTGGAACGAAACAGGCTCCCTCTTTTCTCTCTCACTCTGTTTGCAACACGAAAAAATAAGCTCAAGCAAGTGGTAAAAGAAAGGTGCATGTGAGTTTCTATATAACTTATAGATTCTACTTTCTCTCTCTATGTTTGTGCTAGCTAGTAAGTAGTAAGTAACTAGTAACTACTCTTCTTACATACTCTCTCAAGTCTCAACCAGTTCTCAAAAGCAAACAAAAAAAAGGCACATGGGGCTTGAACATAATTTAAAATAATAAAAGGGAACATCAAGAATGCAAGCTAAACGCCAAGAAAAACTGTAGAAAGCACCCATTATAGAATATAACAAAAAAAATTCAGCGAGAGAGAGAGAAGGAGATATAAAAAAGTCAGACAGAAAATTGAAAGAGTAAAAAGGTAAAGAGAGAGAAATGCGGGATTGCTCTGAATTCTGAAATGATGTGATTTAACGTTAAATATTGAGGGAAAACAATAAAAGAAAAACAGCGACTTGACATGCCGAATTCATACTCTGTACCATTTGTCACATCTCAATGTACTCTTTTTTACCATTTCTCGTGATATTTCAAACTATCATTTTACTGGTTCATTTTTTAAACTTTTATTTATGTATTTTTATATAAAATATCCACATGGTTCATGGCTGCTTGTGAGACCATATGTAATATGAGATCAACCATGTAATTTCGAAGCAAAAATAGTAAACTGGTTGTAAGCATGAGGATTTGAAACTAACTTTTTAAACTAAGGTTGAGTATGACTTTTGGAGTGGCATTTTTTCTCAACTATAACCCTTCATTTTTAGGATAAGTTTTTTTGTGGCCATGATACATGATAGTCTTTTCCCAAAATAAAAATAAAAAAATAATTGAGGAGGAAAAAAAAAAAGATAGAAATGAAAAAAAGTGACCAACCTTAAAATTTTTTTCACTTTTAGAAACGAAATCATCTTTAAATTTTTCAAAAACCATAAAAAATATGAGATTTTCTTACGTTGCATAAAAATAGAATTTTTTCCTATACACTCAATACAGGTGGGACCCGCTAGGAGAGATGGAAAAAAAAGAGAAGGAAAAGTGGCCGTGGGAATTATGATGTATGTGCAGGAGAACAAAATCTTACTGTGTTGCATAAGGAGAATAAATTCAAAAAAATGTTAAATAAGTTTAAAAATCATTATTAAAAAATGGGTTTTATTAATCTCCTTCCACATAAGATAATTATCTTATGTGGTAGAGAGAAAATAGGTGGGTCCCACAATTACAAGAAAAAAGAAAAAGAAGAAAAAAGTGGGGTGCGAAAATCGATGTGAGAGAAAATGAGATAAGTTACCTCATGTAAAAGGAGAATAATATTTCCCTTAAAAAATTGTGGTAAGGCAATGTACAGTTTTCTTAGCACAAAAATCTCCATTTTTTTTTAAGCAATGGGATTGAAAATTTTAGGAGAAATTGTATTTATTATATATACATATATATATATATATATATATATATATATACATATAAAGGGTTTCGGAGGTAGGAGGAAATTTTCTCATGTTGTAGACACATCTTATATAGGCCACATCTATTAAAAAAATAAAAAAGCAAAATAAAATATTATACGAAAATCGAAGGGTCACTAGTAGGAGAAAACAACTCTCCTACGACATGAGAAAATGTTTTCCCATATATAAATGATAAAATCATTTCTGCAGCCGCTTTACGTACAACAACGACATGTGTAGTGTTATGATTCCCTAATTTTAAATATATATATATATATATATATATATATATATATATATATGACAGGTATCCGATTGTTGCACGTACAACAACTGCGGAAATATAAATTCCTATATATATATATATATATATATATATATATATATATATATATATGGGCTTATCATTTCTCAAGTTGCCGGAGATAAAGTTATCTCCTGCTACTAAATCATAACCGTATAAAGATGGATTTATCTCCTGCTACTAAATCATAACCGTATAAAGATGGATCAGTGGTGATAAAGAAAGAGAGAGAAAATAGGAATCATAATCATTCAAAGGTGAATCAATATATATAAGAAAATAAATAATCAAAACGACGTAATTTTGGGGTGGCCGGAGATATATTTGTTTCAAGCAGCTTGAAAAATGTTTTTTCCTATATATATATATATATGAGAAAAGTGTTTATCCTTTTAAATTACACAACTTATATCATTTCACTCTCACAAAGAGGTGAGACCCACACTTTTTATTTTTTTTGTCAACTCTCTCTCCTCCTTTATCTATCTCTTTCTCCCTCTCTTAAAATGACACAACTTTACATCCTTTAAAATGACACACACTTTACCCTATGTATATATATAAGTTTACTGTTTCTTATATTGTAGAAGATAAATTTGTCTCCTATACTCAAAGAAGAGAGAAAAAAAGAAAATATGACTCCACTTATTTTTATATATGTGTAAGAGATAAAATTATCTTATGAGAAACATCAAACTCTATATATATAGGGCTCATATAATCTCATGAAGTATGAGATAAGATCTCTCATGTTACATACATATGTGATAGGCCCGTCATTTACAAAAAAGTGTCACGAATTTTTATGGGTCGGTTGGAGATAAAAACACTCTCATATTACATGAGAGTAGTTTTTCATACACACATATATATAGGGGCAGATTATTCATATACTGGTGTAAGTTGATCATATCTCTACGTGGATGTGATCTTTAAGGAATATGTTATATTTACTACCTCTCTTTTTTATTGTCAAATTATAATCGCTGTCAATCTAACGATTATAATTTTTTGAAAATTATAATTTATTGAATTATATTATATAATTCAATAAATTATTATCGTTAAATTACAAAAATCAATCGCTAAAATTTGATAATAAGAAATAGTAAGTATAACTTTAAATAAAATGTTGAAAATGTGTCCACCGAATTGACGTGTCTTTTCAAATTGTTCATTTCACGTATTTATAGATATAAAGGATAAAAGGATTTCAGAATTTTTTTCCAATTTTCCGGTAATTTTTTTTCGATTTTACTTTCTATACATATTATATTAAATCATATCACTCCGTAACAATTATTCTGTCATTTTATGAAGTTTGAAAGGTTTATTTATGTTTGTATCACCAATTGTAAAAGATGTAATTCTATTTATTCCCTAATACAATTGTCCATTATTCTTAAACACCGATCGAGCGAACAAATTGTTTTAAAGAAATGTGGACAAAACTTGGGCTCAGAATGGAATTTACAGACTTTAGGAGATATTGCAGATTAATCAATTAGCGATATGCGCCACCTCTGAATGGAATCCATGAATCTCGAACTAGTTGGTCTTGTCCCTACTAAAATTGAGTTTTATTAATCATTTGCCTTGTGGATCATGACTACACTCGTTTCGATACTACAAACAAAAGTAATGAATGATCAATGAAGAGCTTCGCTGTACCTTTGTCGCAGTTGACAATCCTTGCTTTGCTACCATTGTCTGAGGCAAATTATTCGCTATGAATGCTAGCGTTGTCACGACTTGTTTGTCATTTGATTGGAGCACTCGGGGTAATGATATTTACAAATGATTTTCTACAAGAATATGATTGAGGAATGTAGTTGAAACATCATAGCCAGTTACTTTGGATGTGGTGACCAACAAATGAATCCCATGTAACATGAAATTAATGACTTGCTAGTATACATCAACGCAGTAAAATTGAATTTTCTCCAATGAGAGTGGAATTGCTACTTTGTGTGACAAGATTTGATAGATGAACTTATTGTCTGAATGAGACGAGATGTAAAAGGAAGGAAGGCGAGGTAATCGGTGAATTGGATTATGATTTAAATAATCAAGATAACCTTAAAATAATGGAAATTAGGTCTTTTGTTTTTCCAATATGTACTTTGCCAGTCAAAATAGATTTCACGTCGAATTTTAATTTAATCAATGCAATGAACATTTAAGGACTAATTTAATTGAAAGAATATATGTTTATAAACTTTGAATGTAACTGATATTATATCTTTCCCAATTAGTTTGATTATTTACTCAGATTAGTTTTGTTAAATTAGACAATAGTGAAATGATTGGAACAACTTAATAAAATATATGATTTAAGTTACTAAAATCATAGTAAAAAAAATCAGGTGACATAATTTATGTTGATATGACCCAACTTTAACAACACGATCTAATTTATAAGTTGGAACTGTTATAATAATTTTATGATTATTAATTTTTAAAATTTTAATTTTGCTTAAATATCATTTTAAGATAAACATTAATGAATTGTAAATAAAATTAATTTTCTTGAATAATTGATGATAAAGATAATGTTAATTAAATAATTTATTTCAAATTTCTATTTTTAACTCTAGATACATAATTAAAAAAAATATTTACTAATGAAAAAATTTAAATGTCGAACACCCCCCCCCCCCCCCCCACAAAATTAAGTTAAATTAATAATATATTAATTCAAATTAAACTTAAATCCTTATGACCAAATTCATTTTAACTAACCAAGCTGGTCAGCCGAAAGGTGCAGTTCAGCCAAGAGATCCGATCCCACAAAAATTATGGTATTTTGGTTGTTTCAAATATATATATATATATATATATATTTGGTATATATATATATATATATATATATATATATATATATATATATGTGTGTGTGGTTAGTAACAAGAGACACTAACTATTTGAAAAAAATAAAAATAAATTAGTAGTTATTAGTTAAAAAGAATTTAACCATTACTTTAGACAGTACAGAATTTTTCCATCTTCTGTTGGTCTGTTTTTTATTTTTATTTTTTATTTTTACTGTTTTTGTCATCCAACATATATAACTTTCTTAAAAGGAATTTTTTGCATTAACAGGATCAAGCATATTCTTCCAAATCCATGATCTGTTTTGTGAAGATAATCCTTATAAAGGAGATAAGTATTTTCACATTTAGAAATTGGAAATAAAGTTTTTAATTAGCATGAAACAATCTCTATCATTGCTTAGATTTAATT